GCCGCCAAGCGCACCGTAGCCACAGGCGGGTATTTGGAAAGTGGCCAATGAGCGTCCTCGCAAATCACTGACATACGGCGTATGTCCCCGTCACTTTATGACAAGCTGTCTGAAGACGCTCGTCCGATTCTTCAGTGCTTTGCAGCACACTAATTACAGGCTTTAAATCCCGAACAGCGAATGCCGTGGTCGGAGTATCGTCGCGTAGTCTCCGCGTGTTGTGCAGTGACAATCCAAGGTCGTCCTCGGCATGTAACAGACAGAAGCACGCAAGCACGATCATACGGTGGGAATGTAATTCTCGTCTGAGAAGTGGCGCCGGAGTGCATGGCCGGAAACGGTGAGACATCGCAACGCGTTTAGACGTTGTGTAGGGAACCACTGTGCAGTTAGCAAAATTGCGCTACAGTTTGGCAAAATGCACATCTTAGCGAACTCACAAAGTGACTTAAAGCATCAGGACAGTTCCCATAGACGTCTCCTCAAAACTTTTATCGTATAACTCAGCGCCATCTAGACACACCGTGCTATGCGGATGGTACAATTGGTAATAAACATGAAGCTGCCTCGTGGCATTTCATCCGAACTTCGCGTGCTACATATCAGATGAATTTGACGTTTTAGCAGCCTGCCTTGAAGCAACACTTATATGGATATGTAGTCGTTTAATTGTTTTAAAGGAAATATTTTAATATACAGATATCTCAGCGACCAAAAAGTAGTCGGTCAATTGATATATACCCGTCCTTTCCCTCTGAATTGCGTCTGCGAATGTTGACGAACGCGAAATGAAGTTGTCTGTTGTGGGTTCGAGTGTGATTCTTCCTGATGGCGAGTCCATCGATGGAGTGCTCCGACTGTCGCCGCCGATGTAACACAAGCTAGGGGCGAGTAGGGTGTGACACTCCGCACTTTGAGCTCCGAGGTATGTCGAACGCATGTCCATAGGTATCTTTGCCAGCCATGCTAGTTCAGCTTTGTTCATAAGAGCCACAATCAATAATAGTACATCTTCCACTTGTAAGATGACAGTCTGCAACGTGAAACAAAGTAGACTTTATATGGAATATGACCCAACGCTATATACATCCGTTAAACCGAATTTGTGTATGCCCATCAAAATTATATACACCGTGGTAGTGAAAATGCTGCAGGCCGTCTAGATAATAAAAAAGATCAAACGCCGTCGCTGTGTACAGTTGCTGACCGTAGCCCTACCCAATAGCAAGAAGAGCAATGTGCAAAAGAAATGTAAGTAAATGCGTGAAGGGCAGAGCCCGTTCTCCGGGCCCATCTTCCGTGACGCGGCGTAGATTACTCGCATCGGGGAAAGCGACATACAAACGTGGTACGTTCCATGTCGGCCCCGCGTGGATCGCGTCACATCTCGTCATGACCCAACAAGCAGTGTCTATACCGCCGTGGTCGACGACCGGAAGCGGGAGTTGACGTCACGCGTCCAATCGTCGTCCTTTTGCCGTCCGAGCCAGAAGTTGCGGCCCACCCCCACCAGAGCCCGGCCAAGCTTACCCTTCCAGCCTTCGCCGGCAGGTGAGCCCTCCGCAAACGGATTCGTGCTACTGGGACTGGACGGGAGCGGCGCTTGTGGACGCCGCCGCGGGAATGTCGATGGCTTGTTGCGCCGACGGTGGCGACGGCCACGTGTAGACCGTGAGCCTGGCTTGAGCCCCGCCTCCTCCTCGTCAATGTCAGTGTTGCGCTCGCTCTTTCCCTCTCCCCCGTTGTGGTATTTGGACTCTTCGAGGCCGCTGTATTCTTCACTGTCGTCGAGAGCGCCGTCGGCGGCCGCGGCCGATTCGGCAACATGGTCGCCGTACCGCTGGAGAGCCTGCCGGGTGTGTGCAACGACAACGAAGCTAAAGTAGAAGCGCACCACGGTCACGAGAACAATGAGCGCCAAGCTCGCTGTCGTTTCGTGCGCACCCATCCACCCGCCGCCGCCCGCTGTCGGAACTGCGCTTGGGCTAGCCTCAACAGCCGTGGCCCTCGTACTTGGCCCTGTTGCCGTCCCCATTGCATCGTCGCGCAGGATCAAAACCGACGCTGCCGTCGCAGTTGCCGCCACCGTTGATGTTGCCGATGCTGTGGCTGAAACTATCGCGTCGGAGGCCGCCGATGCCGTCTCCATCGCCGCCGGGACGGTCGTGCTCACTGCTGATGCAACAGCTGCTGCGGACGAAGTTGCCGCCGCCGCCACGGCCGCCGAGCTCGATGCAAAGTACCATCGGAGGGCAAATGTCGCCGTGTACGCTGCATTGACGAGGGTATCGATCGTGTAGGCCCAAGCGAGGACCAGGTTTGGCAACGGCGTTTCGCGGCGGATATGCGGGATGCAGATTGCGAGAAGAACAAGGATTGCGACATTGTACAAGTATGCTGAAAGCTGGAGGAAGGACAACGAGTAACCCGTCAGGATGGCCAGCAGGCCGTATGCGCCGGTGAGCTTGTTGAAGAAGAGCGTGGCCGAGATGATCTCAGTGCCCATCTGGATGGGAATAAAGCCAAGAAAGGCCTATTCATCAGAGTGTCGTTAGCAAGCGGCGCGGTCCACAAGGTGCGGGTGGTATATCTGCCTCCGGATTTCCAACGGGGATTTTCTACATTGCAAAACGTCCGGCGCCAAACCTTACCCTTGGCCTGGCCAATTTTGGCCGTAGGCTGCGCAGTGCGTACAGCAGCCTCATGGTCGTTTCTCGTCGCGTCACCGTGTACCTGGAAAAAGAACGAGACGCCGGCAATCCGTCATGGGCGATTGTGTCGTGAGACTTCGTCCGCGCGGTCCGAAGCGTCTTGAAGGAACGTCAGTCTTTGCGGCGGAAAAATGGATACCCTTAGTAACAGCAAACTTAAAAAAGGGGTTCAGAAGAGGCCCAGGTACCAGTACATAATTACACACACTATAAGTACCAAATTGGGTGTACCCATACCATTATTGAACTAAGAAATAAGCTGACTCATCGACCCAGATTTTACGAAACTTGCAGCTGCGCTCAACCATCAGGAAAGCGCGACCAAAAGAGTAGCCACAGCTGGAATTGACCTGCGGATGAGTGCTCGCCTTCTAAACGGAAGGAACATTGAACAGTGCAATGTCCTCGTAAATATCTTGATCTTGTATTCTTTGAAATGTCTCTCTTGCCTCGTCCAGCAATGAAACCAAGAGCCACCAGCCTCAAATTGTCGGCCTTTAATACTGTTTCACATCACTCTGCGGCATTATCAAGACCCCTCATCGCAGAGACTCTAAGCCGTTGTTCCACGGGGTGAGTTGTGATTTTTTGTCCAGTCTCCGACGATCGTGAAAAGAAAATGGGGACAATATTTCAGTCGTGTTTTTGTAATGCAGGTTATTTCATTTTGTTGCAATTGTAATTGATTTTCATCTTTTGGAATTGAAAAAACGACAAAAAGAATATTGCATACGTATTTAATATTCGATTTAACAAAATTTTAGCGCGTCAAAACACACCACCAGAGCTTTGGTGTCGTCACTTCGTCCATTGCAACGGCTCCGAACCTCTCCACGCCATCTCCCCCGTCACAGCAACCTCCAGTCTGCAGCCACCATGAGTTCTCAGGCCGATCTCATTGAGAGCTCCAAGAAGGCGGCCGCCTACCTGGCCGTCAAGGAGCACCTCGAGCCCAGCTTCCGCCACATCGGCATTGGCTCCGGCTCGACCGTAGTCTACGTCGTCGAAGCCATTGCCGCACTCGGCGCTGACGCCACCCGTGACATGACCTTCTACCCGACCGGTGACCAGTCTCGGGCCCTGATCGAGGACGCCAACTTGCGCCTCGCTTCCATCTCGCAGCTCCCGCTCAACAGCCGCCTGGATGTTTGCTTCGACGGTGCCGACGAGGTCGACGAGAACCTCAACCTGATCAAGGGTGGCGGCGCCTGCCTGTTCCAGGAGAAGATTGTGGCCACGGCCTCCAAGAAGTTCATCTGTGTGGCAGGTATGTAGGATGACAACGTTTTCCGTGAAGCGAAGACCCGGTTAACACGACCAGACTATCGCAAACTGTCGCCGCGTCTGGGTACAACCTGGAAGCAGGGCATCCCCATTGAGGTCCTGCCGCTGGCCGCAAAACGCGTGCTGAGCGAGCTTGTTCTCATCGGTGCCCAGCAGCCCGTCATCCGCCAGGGTGTCCCGCGCAAGGCAGGCCCCGTTGTGACGGACAACAGCATGTGGCTGATTGATGCACCGTTCCAACCCCTGCAGCTGTCCAGGGACCCCAACGAGGCCCGTGCTGACGGCGAAGGTGGTGTCTGGACGGTCGACGGCCTGGCCGATCGCCTGATCAAGATCCCCGGCATTGTCGAGACGGGCCTCTTCGCGGGCTTCAACGGCTTGGAAACTAAGGCCGTGTCTGGCGGTGCGCAGAAGCCGATTGCGGCGTACTTTGGCATGGCGGATGGCAGTGTGCAAGTGCGCAAGGCATAAATGCTGCTTCCTATATGATGCATCGCGCGAAAACGAATTTTGGGTGTGAGTTATGCCGGATTAGACGTCAACAGAGCGAACAGAGACATAGTCTACCTGGAGCATTGAGAGGCAGACCCATTGTGGTTATATTAGAAAACAAGGTAAACACACCGGCAGGCATTGATTACAACTAGAGAAAACGAATAAATTGGTACAAGAAACGAATAAACAAAAAGAAACGGTAATTACAATGCCGTATCTCAAAAAAATATACTATTAAGAGGGAAGCGAAAGAAGAATGTGACGTCTGATGTATAGTAATAGAGAAAGCCCTTGGCATTTCACCGCCCTTAGTCGGTGTTTGTCATGCTACTTATACAATTGTTTATTTTATGCATGACCTCTGCCGGAACTGATGGATTTGGTGGGAATAGTTTTGTCTTTCTTTACTTTGTGTGGCTGGGGCGGAAACAGTGCGGTAGTCCAACCGTGCCCTCAAGTGCTATGTATATGCGATGCAACGACAGTTGGCCCGGTACGGTTTGATTTGGCTCAGCATGCGCAGCCGTCTTGGTTGGTAGGGGTAGTCGTCGTCCGAACATCGATCACTGGATGAGTGGTTAGCCGAAACGGTTGCTTCGAGACAACAAGTAGCAGCCAGACAAGGGGAGCAAGTGACTTACTCTGACTAGACGCCTGCGCGGCAGCATCCGTGCCTTCCATGCCAGGCAGGGCCTGTGCTATTCTCCGGAAGAGCTGTTTGACGTTGTGCCCCAGTTTGGCACTTGTCTCAACAAACATGAGGTTGTTTCTCTTGGCCTCCTCTTCGCCCTGTTGCGTGGTGACCTCACGCTTGTCGTTCAGATCCGTCTTGTTGCCCACGAGCACAATGATAACGTCATTGCCGCGCTCGGCCCGGACATCGTCGATCCACTTCCGCGTATTTTGGAATGATTTTGCGTCTGTAGACGAGCGGTCAGCACCCTCTAGCTGTATGGTATCTTTTCCGGGGTATGCGCAAGCGTCACGTACTCGAGATGTCGTAAACAACGACTGCCACACTCGAGTCGCGGATATACGAGGGGATCAGACTCCGGAAACGCTCCTGGCCTGCCGTATCCCATAATTGTAACCGCACAGTCCGGTCCTCCAGGTACATTGTCTGCGGCGCGCCCGAGTTAGCCCAAGATACCATATTATCCGCCCGATGCCGATTCCGGAGCCGGGACGCCACAACACCGCCGATTGCTTGCCTTTGACAGAAAATCGATGCCGATCGTCGCTTGGTACATGTTGTCGAACGAGTCGTACATAAACCGGGTGATGAGAGATGTCTTGCCGACTGCATATAAATCCCTGGTTAGCCTTTGTTCGTCCTGGTTCCCTTCTTTCACCTCAAACATTTGGTAACAGCCTAACAAAGGCACCCATTTAAAAACCGCAGCGGGGAGCATAGTGTACATACCACTCTGTTCGCCCAAAAACACCAGCCTGGTGCGCAAAAAAACAAAGAAAGTCAGTCTACTGTCCTCATTCTCCTCGAGAAACGCCTGCCACGGTTTCCATACTTGAACTTCTTCAGCGGGTTGTTGTAGGACGCGCCCACAGCGGCTTGCGCCATGACTGCAGTTGTGAGGGGGGTTGTGCGAAGGGACGAGAGGCAGAGTATGTCGTGTGCGAGAGGCCGTTCTGCAGTGCCGAGAGTGAGGTCCGGGAGCAGCAGAAATTGGTGACAACGTTAAGACGGCGTAAACAGCAGCACAAGTTTTGGTGGCACAATGGCGCCCCTTTTGGTCGACGTCGACTGTGGAGAAGGCTAGGCAGATGCGGAAAGGGAGGTCAGGAGTCCCCAGAAAAGAAGGATCAGGGAGAGAAAACGGACGGACGAGATCGAAGGAAGGAGCCAGTCGGTTCGTCAATCGTAAAGCGTAAAGTGGTACTGGTAGCCCGTCGAAGAAAAGGAAGGAGGAAAGAAGAGGTCGAAAGAGGTCTAAAGAGGCAACCGCTTTTGTGGCGCTGTCGAAAGTTTATTCCAACATGCGCGAGGGGGAAGGGCGAGTCTGGATTGGGCTTGGACTTGACACAGAGACGGGTCGGGGCCTCGATTTGGCCAGTGAGCCAGTGAAGACGCGCCAGGGATGCCGAACTGGCCGCTAATTCCTCAGCGAAGACGATCACGTGGCGATAAGTCGTCTGAACTTCTTATCGAACTAGCAAAGGCTCAAATTTCTAGAAGCCCCCACCCGGCAGAAAAAAAAGACGGGCAGTCGCAGAGATAGCATTTCTGCCGGCCTAGACGCAGAAAAAGCAAACTCAACAGCGGCGAAGACAAGATTCCAACGCACTTTTTTTAAGCGATCCCATCCAATTTTGACGACGAGCAGCATAGTTTGCGATTGCGATTGCGGAGGGGACTCTCACATCACCGCGATGCCGGTCATACAACCCAAGGCTGGCTCATACTCGGCGCCGCAGCAACACAATCAGCCGTCGAGAAAAGGTAGAAAGGCATGGAGAAAGAACGTGGACGTCTCGGAGGTGGAGCGAGGACTGGAAGAGCGTAATGAAGAGATTATCAAGGGGTAAGGTCACACACAAAAGCAGGACTCTCCGTTTGTATATTCCCGTCATGCTGACACTGCGTTCTCCATCGCAGTGGCTTGGTGAAGGAGACAGAATCGGCCGACCTCTTCCAAATAGAAGAGACGGGAGACCTCGAGGTCGCCAAGAAACTTTCCAAGAAGACAAAGACGCTCAAAGTCGATGAGATTCTCGCACAGCGGTCGGCCGTCCCAGCCGTGTCGGGTCGGAAACGGGCAGGAGACAGCGGCAACAAAACGACGGACGGTGTCCTGGCCGCCAAGCGCCAGCGCAAGGACTACGTGCCCCAAAAAGAGTTGGCCCACCTCAAGAAGGTCGCCGACGGACACCATGCCGAGACTGTTACGATTCAGGATGCGACGTACGATCTGTGGGGCGCAGCACCGGCTTCGAAGGCTGTCGCAGCCACCTCCCTGCCGGCCGACAAGGACGACAAGTACACTTTCATCCCCCGCGTTCCCGGCGCCAAGGTCCCTGTCACGATGAAGCACGCCCCCATATCGCTGGCTGCCAACGGCAAGGCGGTCCCGGCCATCGCGAAACCCAAGGGCGACATGAGCTACAACCCTGCATTTGAGGACTACGAGAATCGATTGACGCTCGAGGGCAACAAAGCCGTCGAGGCTGAGAAGAAGCGCCTGGAAGACGAGGAGGCAGAGCGCATCCGCATGGAGGGCGTGGCACGGTCGGCGGCCGAGGCCGACGAGGCTGCGGCGCGCGAGGCGCTCTCGCAGTGGGACGAGGACTCGGCCTGGGAGGGCTTCCAGAGCGGTGCTGAGACGGACAACGACGGCACAGGCAGCGCGAAGCGCCCGAAGCGCAAGACGCCGGCACAGCGCAATCGTGCGAACCGCCGCAAGGAGGCTGAGGCCAAGAAGCGGCACGACGCCATGACCCTTCGGAAGCAGGAGCAGGCCAAGAACATTGAGAAGCTGCTCGCCGAGGACAAGTTCAATCACGAGCAGGCTCTTGCCCTGGCAGCGGCAGCAGGCCCATCCGACGACGAGAGCGACGAGGAGGGCGGCGACGACAATGCGCTTCGGCGGCGGCAGCTGGGCAAGTTCCACCTGCCCGAGAAGGACCTGGAGATCATGCTGCCGGATGAGCTGCCGGACTCACTACGTCTGCTGAAGCCCGAGGGTAATCTGCTCAAGGACCGGTACCGCAGCTTGCTGGTGCGCGGCAAGGTGGAGGCGCGCCGCAAGCGGCCGTTCAAGAAGCAGGCCAAGGCCAAGATCACGGAGAAGTGGGCTCACAAAGACTTCCATCTATTTTAGGACGACAATGAGTGTAGCGGGAGTCTGTGCTTTTCGAGAACATTTGTCAGATCCTTACAGACCCATTTCGGATCTTTCCCCGCGTTTTCACAGCTTTTCAACCCATTTCTAGACCTCTTTTTTGTGCGGCATATGCTGTTATTCTGTTGCCTATTTATTTTCAATGGCGTTTTGGGGAAGTGGGTTTCTTGGGTCGCAGTGTTCTATTTTTGACTTTAAGCTTTAGCCCATGTCGTCTATTATCCCTTTCAAAGCTCTCAAGCCCTTCTGCACTTGGCGCATGCTGCATCTTTATCAAAAGCAATTGTTATTTTTGTACAACTCGTCGAGTCCGTCGCTTGTCTGGCCTGTCAAGTTGCTGCGAATTGTTCTGCCTGGCGTCGGCTGTCGTGCGGCTGTTCCTGCGGCTGGCTCTGACCGCCACTGAAACGTTGCCTGCCTAGCGCTAGCAGCCCGCCGGCTGCTCCATACACAAAGATTTCCTTCTCCGTATCTGCCCGCCGCGATCGCTCTTCGTCCGTAGATCTGGTAACAGGTTGTAAAAATAGCATGGGGGCCGTTGAGGCAAGAATCACCCATGCAGCCACCCCGGCTCCGTATTTTCGTCTACTTTGTATCGGGCGTTGTTCGCCATGATGATGCCTGTTTTGCCGCACGTGATGTAACTTCCTCATTCGGCGGGCTTTGAATCATCGTGTTCGCGCTTTCCGTGCGCGCTCTACAACGCTGCCACTCCGTCTCACCTTCCGTTTCGTGTTCCCAACTTGCGATCTGCTGCCTATCTCGATGGCGAAGCATTCTGTTCCCGTCATTTCGTTTTTTTTTCCCATTCTGCTTTGGCTGCTCACTCTTTTCTCCATCCGCATCATATCAAATAAACCTGCCCCTCGGCACCCGGGCCTTCATGCACTGCGTGCTGATAGTCTATGGCCGCTACGACGGTCGCCTGTCTCCAAAACAGAGGGCCCACTATTCCGGAATCTCGGCGCAACTCTGTCGATCCGGCCATATCACATCGGATTTGGAGGCAATATGGCCGGTTGCTTAATTCGTACAAGTGTTGGCAACTCGTTGCCGCAGGTTGACGACCCATGTGCTCACCGGCTACTACACGCGCGCCTAAGGTGTTGCTCATCTCCACTCGACTTCAACATTCCTTTTAAGCGTCGCTGCAGCCGCCCTCGTCGGAACATTATTTGACTTCAAAGCCCTTCAGCTCTCTCCCACCGCAACGCCGGCACATCTTTTTATCGTCTAGCACCCGCATTGGCATGTGCAAGCAGATATACGGAGATATACGAATTTACGCGCCCTCTACACCACCTACCGTTGCCCTATTGACGCCCAAAGGCACCCCTCTTTGGCAGTCCTTGACGCTCCTCCACGCCACTGGAAGGTGTAAAACACGTTCCGTTTCCGCTTAGCGCAACCTGCATTGTGGAAATTCGCCGTGCTTCGGCGTCTCGTTGTAGCAAAGCACGCTCCAAGCTCCGGATCCTTTTGTGTGACCGCTGTTTCCTTTGTTGCTCGCAGTGTGCATCATGGCCGGCACTCCCCGAGAAGGTGCTGCCGCTACGCCCCCTCCACCAGACGCGGATGGACGGCAGCGGACCACGACGCTCCGGCGCTCTTGCGAAGCATGCAGGGCAGTCAAGGCCCGTTGCGTGGTTGAACCGCCCAATGGAACCCCTGGCCAGACACGGTACTGCAAACGGTAATGCTTCATACGGCCCCCCATTTTTGACACGTCCCTTTCCTTCCAGCCCAGATCGTCCCCGTGCATATGTACGAGAGTGTACGAGATCGACGTACGACTACCGACGGACAACTAACGGGACGTTGTGCTGGGGACAGGTGTTTGAGCCACGGTATTGAGTGCCACTTTGAAAATGCTCTGGCGCGTCCTAAAAAGCTCAAGTACACGGCGTAAGTTTTCCATTTCCTGCTCATGCGCTCTTGATTTTGCCGCCAATCGATACCCATTGCCACTGACACGTAGAACTACTACTAGTCGCACTCGAGTCAAGGATGTCGAGGAAAAGCTGGACGGCCTCATTGCGCTGATCTCGTCCAGGAGAGAAGGTTCGTCCAGCGCTGCCGTGGCAGCATCTGCTGTGGCTTCTTTGTCGGGGTCGGCTGTGGCAGGCCCGTCTGAACAGACAACTGCTGCAACCTCCACGCCGAACAACAGTTACTTTTACTCGCAGCCGCTGAATAACCTCCCCCCCATCACCTACCCGGCGCCCATCGGATTCGATCTCAACTTTGACGAAATGCCGTACCTCGATAACTCTGGCGCGCCCATTGCAATGCACTCCAGCCATTCTCTGACTGCCTCGTACGGTGATGTCATTGACCGAGGCCTGGTCCAGGAGGAGCTCGCCTCTGTTCTCCTGGACGAATTCACAACGTACTCGGAAAAGCAGTTTCCCTTTGTGGCAATGCCGTCGTACGCTTCCCTGAGTTACATGCGCCGAGACCGGCCTTACGTTCTTCTCGCCGTCCTCACGGTAACGGCTGACACGTCTCTCCAGGCGCGACTAGCCCTTGAGTACCGCAAGGCACTTTCCCAGGCAATGCTCGTCGAATCCCGCAACAGCCTTGACCTGCTCCAGAGCGTGCTTATTTTCTGCATTTGGTAAGGACTGTTGCCGGAAAACTATAAGACATGGAACCTGCTGCTCAGATAACTAACAATTGCTATAGGCATCATCATTACTTTCGGCCCTACAGCAGTCAGTTGTACCAGCTGTCGCAGATCGCCGTGACGATGGCGGTGGAGATCAACCTTCCAAGCTCCATGTCGCCCACGCTCAACAGCCTTATGGCGCCTCACCACCAGGCGTTGGGTCAGCGACCCAGGAGCAGCCGCACCCCGACAGAGCAAATGGCCAATGAGATTGAGCGCGCACGTACCTTCCTCGGCACGTACTGTGTTTCGGCGAGCATTGCGACAGCGCACCGCAAGCCGACGCACTTCAAGTACGACCGACGGATGGACCAGGCCGTCCAGTTTCTCACCAATGCGCGCGAGATTCCGTCCGACACCCATCTTCTGCCCTACCACGTCCAAATACGGAAAATCTCTGAAGATGTGGACCGGGTCTTTGGCAGCCTGGACCAAGGAGGTATCACTTTGGACGCGAGATACATTGAAGCAATGGTCAAGGATTTCGAGCGCCAGTACGAGGCACTGCGGAACTCCATGACAACGCAATCCTGGGACAATGGTACGTTTCGGTTGTGACCGGTTCAGAGTACGTCAGGTCGCTAACAAAATAAAAAATAAAAACAGCTGCTTTGAAATGCGCTATGATGTACCTTCCTGTCGTTATATACGAGGTCGCCCTACGCATCCCACCGGAACATCAAGCTCTTCTTGAAGTGACACCCAACGCACAATGTTGCAACTGGTGTTGCTCATCGATACGCCTGGAAATTCTCATGAAGTGTGTCGCCGCTGCACAGGCTTACATCCGCAGCTACCTGGATTTGTCCGAGGACGACTCGCGCCACGTCACCATTGTCGAAGTCAGCCGTCACGTCGACGCCGTCCTCATTCTCACGCGTGCTGGTCTCGGGTTTGACACCAAAAATTTCCAGCAGGGCGTCATGGCTCTAGGCCGCGCTGACCTTCTCAAAGCGGCCGATGTAGCACGCTACCTCGAGGCATCGAAGCGCAAGATGGCGTCGCTTGTGACTATGACCGATGCCATGACCAGCGGCAGCGGCTCGTCCGGTACGGGCCAAGTGGAGAAGCAGGACCTCTTCTGGCAGATGAAGCACATTTTCCAACTCAGCCTCGACTGGTACAACAAGCACGTCAACAGCGAGACGGGCACGCCCCAGCAAATCAGCCAGGTCGAGGCCCACGAGAACGCCAAGCTGGACGTGTCACCCATTTTCTGGATCAGCGAGGGAACGACCATGGTGCGCGAGAAGTGTGCGACCGGTGTGGACAAGGCCATGGAGGGTATACCGCACTTTGCCGCGAACAGTGTCTACAGCATGATCCAGGCGCTCAGTTCGTGCGTGGAAAACGCGCCGGTGGCGCCAACCGCTATTGGGACCGAACAGCCGGGTGCTGCCGGCGCCATCGGCTCCATGACTGGTCCACCCGTGTCTGCTGCTTTGCACCCCAGTGCCGTATCTGGCCATTCTGTGTCTCCCGACCCCATGAACACCTCTACGCCGGCCAGCAGCAGTGGATATGTGCCGCCCCTTGACCCAAGACTGGCTGGTAGCGTGGCTGCGACCAACGAAGCCATTCCGCCATGGTCGGCCGACCAGTCTGCGGAGCTGTTTTCCAACATTCCGCAATCGTCTACAAACTCGCCTTGGTTTACTCTTTAGAGCGTCTACCGTTTTTTTTTTTTTCTTTTTTTTTTGTCTTCTTCGATTTTTGTCAAGTTTAGTGTTTTGCTGTCATTGGTTAGCTTATATGGGCAGCTTTGGTTGCTTTTGGTTTTATTGATTTCGGGGCTTTCCCACGTCATTCGCTATATACCACCGGGGTTTAGTTTTGGAACGTGTTTGGATTTATAGATGATTGTTTTTTTTCTCATTTTAAGACTTCGTTTTCCTCTCTCTTTGTCTCTATACCGCAGTGTATGGAACCTGCAAGGCCGAAGTAAAGAGTAAAAATTATCAAAGTAAGCTTGGGGATCATCCGTTGCCAGCTCTGAATTAAAAGAAAGATGTATTCTACTCTAGCTCAGGAGAGTGCACAAAAAGTGCAGGAAATCACCAGAATCAAACGAAATTCGTAACAAACGGGACAAATACTCATGGCGAAAAATAAAGATAAAATCCCCAGATTGAACGCCAGCACAAATGTAGAAAAGACCCCATTGAAGAACTTTAGCTGAAGCTGATCAGATCTATTGCCAACAAAGTTAGTAAATATTTCCACACATTGATATATGCAAGTCAAGGAAGAATTGTTCTTACCTCTGCCAAAGAGACCACGCTTAAACCAGTCCATCATCAACAGAATGCGCGTCCGCATGCTGACGCTCTGCGCAAAGTACACACTGCGCCATGCGTAAACAGCCCAAAGGCCGCCAGAGACGTTGTAGTTGCCCAGCTCAAACACAGCCGAGTTGCCCAGGTACGCCAGACTGCCTAGGTGGTGGTACTCAAAAGCCTTGTATACGGTAGCATCCAGATCGCCGTCTTGGATGTCGTTGACGTGCAGACCAGGCGACGCCCGCACCGCCTTGTTCAGTTTGCGCGCGAGGTACTGGCCCTGCTGGTGTGCGCGCTGGGCCGTCGCCGGCAGACTGGTCAGCTTGCTGTCGATCTGCTTCAGCAGCTCGCGCAGCTCGCCAAAGTCGAGGGTGCCCGAATGGTCCTTGTCAAACTCAGAGAACAGCTTGTCGAGGCGGCGGAGGTGGACCACGGCCTGCGGGAACTTCTTCTTGACGTCGGCCGCAATGTTGCGCCAGTCGGCAAAGTGGATCTCGAGAGTCTCAGGGTCCTTGCCGTGCTTCCAGGCCAGGTTGCGGACAAAGCTGATGATGTGGTCGGCCACGTTGTTCTGGACCGTGCTGCAGTCACCAATTGCATACACGTCACCAAGGGGGGTGCCGTTGAGACGCAGGTGCGTGTCAGTCTCGAGGGCGTGGCGGTTCGTCTGCGAGGCGCCCAACTTGGCAGCCAGGCGCTGACAGAATTCGGTCTGGGACAATCCGGTCGACCACAGACAAAGGCCCATGGGTAGCTCCTTTTTAATGATCTCGCCATTGTCCGTCTTCTGGCTGAAGATGATGCGATCCGGGCGCACCTCGTTGACGCGGGAGTTGGTCAGGACATCGACCTGGTCGCGCAGGAAGCGCTCCTCCGCGTACTTGGAAACGGTCTCGTCGTATGTGTTCAGAATGTGGCTGCGGCTCTGCACGAGGTGGACAGAGATCTCGTTCCGGAGCAGAAGCGGGTAGTTCTTGATCAGATCCTCGTTGAGCATGTCGTAGAGTTCGGCAGCAAACTCAACACCGGTAGGACCACCGCCGCTAACGACAAAGGACAGCAGGCGCCGGCGCTCCTCATCGGGTGTGGTCGGCAGGCAGGCAATCTCGAGATTCTGGACAACCTTGTTCCGGATCTTGCGAGCGTCGTCGATGTCCTTGAGAAAGAAGCAATTCTCGAGGCCCTTGACACCGTGCGGGTTGGTAACGGAGCCAACAGCGATCACAAGCTTATCGTAGGGCACGTAGAAACGGGTTTCGTTGCCCTTCTGGTCCGCCTGGGACACTTCGACCAGCTTGTATGAGAACTCCACGTCCTCGGCGCGGGCCCGCAAAAAGTGGCCATTCACGCGCCTGAGGATGCGACGGATCGATTCGACCAGAGACTTGAGCTCAAGCGTACCAACAGTGGCAGACGGAAGCATGGGCGTAAAGAGAAAGTAGTTTGTAGGCGAGATGACCGTCACATGATAGTCGTCCGGGTTGAGCTCCTTGAGCATGGCCACGCTGCCCCAGCCACCACCAAGAATCACGAGCTTGGGCTTGTCCTTGGTCTTGAGGCGTTCTTCGCAGTCGGAGTCATCGATCTGCACCTCGTACAGGGGCAAGTTCTTTGGGCCGCCGCGGCGCGGGTTGAGGGCAAGCTGGGGGACGGCAATGTCCTCGAGATCGGCGCCCTCCTTGTAGGTCGTTGCATCGTAGACGAAGAACCCCACGACGCCCAAGGTGATGAAAACGAACGAGCCACCGATCCATGCGAGGGCTAACTGTGTAAAGCTCTTGAACGTGTGGCCGCCCACCTTGGCGGCAGGAACCGCACTGGTAGCTGCTGCGGGATTGGCGTCCTTTGTCGGCTTTTCAGGCTTCGTCGAAGCATTCCGAATCGCGGCGATTGTGTTGGAGCTGGTTATCGACGTAGCGGCTCCAGGGCGCCGAGAGAAGAAGAATTGCGCTGGCAGCGGCTGGCGAGCTGCGGCGTTGACGAGGCTCGCACCATTCTTGGGCGGGGCAACCGGCGCACGCCGTGAGGTTCGTACGGAAAAGGCGCGGGTCGTGGCACCACTGTGCAAGGCCGAGAGATTCGCGACCGACGAGGAGGTGGGGATGAAGGCGGAGGACGAAGTCAGAGAGCTGTAAAGGGCTACCGGTCTCGCCAGGCTGTGTCGCAGGACGACGCTGCCCCGCGAAACAAGAGGAGCGCCGGTCATGACCAAGACGGGAGAAGGACAGAGCACAGCGCTCTTGCGTGTTGTCTAGATTGCGGCCACGGCAGTTTGTGTGAGGCGAAACGAGAGCTACTTTTTGGTCTACCGCAAACGATGTAGGAGGCTGGCAGAAACTGGAAAGAACGGGGGAATGATGTCACCGTTGAAGCGCGCGACGCACGATCTTGATGAAAGCCGCTATCGTGAATGGGGTAGGCTCGAGTCGCTAGTGGGAAACCGAGTGCGATGTGAGTGACGAAGCCAATGCCCTCGGAAGCATGTCGTGGAAAGGAACGCTGGGGATCGTGAGAATAACGAGAGACGACAAAAAGGAGAGGTGGGACGGGGGAAATAAAACGTGGAGGGGAGAGGCAATTGAGCGGCAACGAAGTGACAAATATGTAGGGCAGGAACAATCAACAGCACAGCAAGAGGGACCGAACTAGCAGCGGTGGCACTACGGCGAGTTCCTTGGTCTAAGAAGGCACGACCGGGCCGGTGACGGAAGCTCCAGTGGAGAGCCAACTGAAAATATTCGCTGTAATACGTCTTGCCTCACTGTATGATAGGTTCCTACCCACTCGCTAAGCCGTCTTTGCCTCCGGCGCGACCTTCGCGCTTTCCCAGTCGCCGTTGCGCGAACGCTGTGGCGCTCTTGCCCCATTCGGGGTGAATTTTGTGCCTCTGTCAGCAAACCCATTCCCTGGGAGTGGGGCAAATATACGGGACTGACAGCACGGGAGCGCTGAGCAAGGTGATTAGGTCATATTTTCAATCAACAGTGGGGTTGACATGGCTGAGGAGGGGCCGACTGAACTCTGGCAGCTGGGGCTTGAAGCGGGACAGGACGTCATCAGCCTGGCAGTTGGAGAGTCTCGACAAGGATGCTAAACTACAAAGAAGAAAGGCGCGTCCTGCGATGGGCTACGATGCGGTATTATTTGCATGTGCTGGGACGGAGCCGTGCACAGTGTTATGTCTGGTCGCAAACCTGGTCTTCAGTTTGCATGCATTGTCGATTGTGCATCCAGCGCTTCTGGTGCTGACTCGTCTGCATGATACTTGCTGCAGGAGAGCAATGGCATTCTTCAGACCTGCCAATGCGATTGGCTTGGTTTAACTGGACACTGACACTGTCGGCCAGTCCAGCCAACACCTGGCGTTGGCTCCGAACCCGTGAGACAGTGCTGCTTTAAATGAAGCGACATCGTCTCTTTGTGTCGAAAAGAATGTATCGGGAGTACATGCGGTTTATATCCAAGTCACATAAATAGCTTGGCGAAGCTTATTCTTAGTGAAGAAGCCGGTAAACGCGTCTTGAATCCCAGCCGGAAAGCCTCACTGTTCTTGCCGTTTAGTGGCGATAGCTGGAAAGATAGCGTGGCCCACGCCTTCTTCACCAATGCGACTAGCAACACGCCATAAAACACCCAAAACAACCTCTGAGGTCGTCGGACATGGCATGAGGTGCATTTTCTGCAAGGCGAGCCTTGTCCGGACAAACATTTTGAGACGCTGCACCCGAGCGTGCTCATGGCACTTGCCTGTGACTTATATCACTTGCCAACGCAGCGGTTAGCAAAGCACGACATCGAGATCCGGCGTTACGTAACCTCCACGTCAACCAACACTTGGGCTCGAAACTTGGCAAATATTGGAGAATTCCCAACTTCTCTCGTCACGACTTTCGTCAACCTCGACTTGCCATCTATCTACGATCGCGTCCATGGTGGTCATTCCCCTTCAGCCTAGCGCCATGCGGCCTGCCAGGACCTCGGTGTCGGATAGGGGGTCTTTGGCCCCCGGTACCAAGCCGCTTATCAACCTCCTCCGTGGATGGCCTGCACCATCTGTGCTGCCGGTTGCCCAGTTGAAGGCAGCCACAGCCGACGTCCTGGCCGACTCAGACATGGCCGTCAGCAGCCTGCAGTACGGCCCCGACGCTGGCTTTCAGCTTCTGCGCGAGCTGCTGGCCAGTTACTTGAGCCGGATTTTCTCGGTGTACGGCGTGCCCAACGACCCAAGCCGCATTTGCATTACCGGCGGCGCGAGCCAAAACGCGGCGTGCATCTTGCAGTCGTTTACAGACCCGGCCTACACGGCCTGTATCTGGGTGTCGGCGCCGTGCTACTTCTTGATGTGCCCCATCTTTGAAGATTCGGGTTTCGCAGGCCGGTTGCGTGCCGTGCCCGAAGACGACAAAGGTACCGATGTAGAGGCGCTGGAGCGCGGATTCCAAGAGTTTGGACCTCGCCCGCCCGTGTCGGATTCTTACAAGCCCAACCTGGCACCAGACCGCAAGGCCTACCGCCACGTGGTGTACGTAGTGCCGACATCGTCCAACCCGTCTGGCAGCCGCATGACGGTCGCACGGCGCGAGCAGCTGGTGCGTCTGGCGCGCAAATACGATGCTCTGCTGATTGCCGACGACGTCTACGATTTCTTGCAGTGGGATGTGCCGCATGCGGACGCCGTCCTGGCCAACAAGCAGGGGTCGGTCGCACTGCCGGCGCCGCTGCCGCGCCTTGTCGACGTTGACCGCATGCTGCCGCGTGCCGAGGACGACGAGAACGACGGCAGAGACGTTCACGACCGGCGCTTCGGCAACGCCATCTCCAACGCCTCTTTCAGCAAGATCGTGGCACCAGGCATGCGCACGGGCTGGGTTGAGGCGACGCCGGCGTTTTCGTACGGCCTAGCACAGACAGGCAGTACCAAGAGCGGCGGTGCACCCAGCCAGTTTAGTGCCGCTACAATTGCTGTGCTGATGCACACGGGCGAGCTGGACCGACATCTTCGGGAGGTAGTACGACCCGCACTGCAGTGGCGACACCGCCTGCTGGCACAGGCTGTCCAGGAACACTTGGGCGAGTTCTTGGACATCAAGTGCGGCGCATTGCCTACGGGACCGTCGTCGACGATGACGACGTTCGGCGGCTACTTTTTGTGGCTCAAGTTGCGCCGGACGGACATCAGCGCGGCCGCCATCTCGAAACGGGCACTCGCTGACGAAAACCTCGTCATTGCCGAGGGGCCACTCTTTGAGGTCAAGGGCGACGAAAGAAGCGCACAGTTTGACGACCATATCCGCCTATGTTTCGCGTGGGAGGACGAGGCGAAGATTGTGGAGGGCGTGAAACGGCTGGCACATGTGCTGCGCAACTGGGACCAGCCGCGAGCAAAGGCATCAAATTCGATCGACGCAGGTGCATTTAAATGATTTGGACAGACATGTATATGCGCAGATACGGCAAAACAGGCACAAATATTTGGAACCACTTGACGTACAGAGTAAAACCGGGTATCGCTTTTTTATTGTACAATCCAAAAATACTACCAGGAGCCTTATTCAAAACACAAACCGCTAAAATACCAACATAAAGTAGCATAAAAGAAACCGCGTAGAAGGGAAGTCCTGCAAGCGCAAACAAAATTACCAGCCCCAGGTACGCGACGCCGCCGTAAACACAGGCGGCTTCCACTGGATCTGGCTCGGAATAATGACACGGCGGTTCTTTTTCTTGATGACTTGGCGCTGCTCAAGCAAGCGGGTCGGAATGACCACCTTGTGTTCGCCTTTGTGGTAGACCTGCATCTTGAGCGCTTGCAGAGTGTGCTCGACATCCTGTGTCGTCATGGCCAGCGTGGTCGCAATGGCCTCAATGCTGCACCGGTCGTCGCGCTCGTTGTAGTCATGCAGCAGGTTGATGATGCTCTCGGTCCAGTACTGCCGGTAGCCCAGCAGACCCAAATCGGACAGTGGCTTTTCGGGCGAGCCCAGCTTGCCCTCAATCTTGGACAGCTCATACGAGAACTGGATCAGCAGGCGGCCATAGCCACGGCGCTGGAACTGTGGAAGAGTCATGATGCACGCCACGTTGTAGTTGTCGGCGCTCTCCTTTTCCTTGGAAAAGTAGCCCGTGAGGTGCATGCCCTTTTCGTCGCGCTGCGTCATGACGTAGAACAAGAACGGGTCCACGTCGTAGTAGAGCGTCTTGTGATCCAGAAACATCTTGGACAGCAAGCACAAGTTGCGGCACCAGGTGCGCTGGCGACGGCCGTCAATCTCGAAAAAGGACAGGTCGTCGTCGCGGTAGATCTCGTTGCCGGGAGGGTGTTGCAGCGTGCACTTGGCACGGTGGCGCGTGTAGGACTTGAGGTCGCCGTGGTAGCCCAAGCAGAACTCGCAAATGTAAATCACGTCCTCCATACTAAAAGCCTCCGGGTACGGCGAGAAATACCACGGGTACAGGTCGAACTTGCCGAACTGCACTTTGGAGATGTTTCGAATGCGCGAGATCTCGGCCGGGTTGTGCGTCATAGAGCCACCCGTCCGCAGCTTCTCGACTTCCTCTTCGCGACTGAAACTCTTGTCACCGGCCTCCGCAGCAGCCAGGCTGGCGGCGGCTTCGGCGCGGATCGCCGCATTCGTATCACCGTTGGCCGCGTCTTCCGCATTGGCAGCGGCAACCGCTGCCGCATCCTCGCTGGACGCTCCGCCCGTCGCTGCTGGCGTCGATGTAGCGCCCGTGTCTGTGCCGGTGGCCTTGTCCTCCGAGCCGTCCTCGCCACCAGGGGTGCCCTTGTGCTGGGACTCGACAAACTCTGTCCACGGATGTGGCGTGCTGGCCTCGGATGCCGTACTTTGCTCGCGCTTGCCGAGGCGCTTCTGGGCGGTCTTTTTGGCGATGGCGGCCTTTTTGGATTGCGCAGCGGCCGTCGTCTTCTTGTTCTTGGCGTCCTTGGGCTTGTCCTTTTCCGGGTTGGGCCACTCGACGTCCTGCGTAAAGTCGATGCGCGTCACGGGCACCCACTCGTCGAGACGCTTGTTGAAGTTGTCAAAATTGCAGTAATAGTGCCGCCCGCTCTTCTTGTCACGGATGCTGAGGATTTCGGCGCGGCGTGCGACGCCGTCCTTGAGCACCATGGCAATGCATCCAATCTTCAGCGTCTCGGGCGTCGCCTTGCCGCGCTCGCGAGGTTCGCTGGAGCCGACAGCGGCGTGGGGACTCATCGTAGGCGGCTGCAAATGAAAACAAGGGTTGGTGTGGATTTTTGGCGATGAGAGGCGGTGAAATCGCGATGAAAATGGGTGGCGCGTGGCCGAACGTCGATGAAAATTGCTGTACAGTACTGCCAATGTTTTGAGATTTGGTGATGAAGCTGGAAAATGCGACGATGCAATTGAATGTTGTAGATTTTTAGGCCCTGTAGACAAGGCTCTGGCGAGGGAAAGAACAAGACGCTAAAATAGGAAGGCGACAGAAGAGGCGAGTCGCACTTGCCACCACAGGTAGTTCTGAACCGACCAATCCGAGGCTAGTAAAAGCCCTGAAGAATGACTGCGGGCGAGCAAGCTGCACCGCTATTGGAAAGGCTGAAATTCTGCCGGCATATTGGATTAAATTAAACCGCAAAATAAATACTAAATTCAAACTTTCCATGAATTTTCGACGATTCCGAGAAGTCCAACAACAAAACCAGCACTACAGATACTCAGCGGCAGTCCTACGATTCATTCTTGTTCCACGCGGACTCGCCATGATTTTACAGAAAGCGGCACATATCTGAGCGCGACCGAAGCAGCGCTCCACCACAATAATCTGCCATGGCCGCGCAATTGTCGTCCAACTGGAAGAAGCTGCAGGCCCAAATCAAGGCAGAACCGTCCAAGCCGAAACCGGCAGCCAAGCCGGCAGCCAAGCCGGCAGCGAAGGCAGCAGCGGGGAAGAAGCGACCACACGGCGTCGAGGACTCGACACGCAAGGGCAAACCGCCGGCAAAAAGGTCTCGGCCAGAAACCGCGCCTGCGACCGGAAAGACAAAACCTAGAACGAGCCCCAAAACGATGGGCGTGGCACAGTCGTCGAAGCTATCCAATGAGGCCGCCTACGACCACAACGGCAAGGGCCAGATGCTGCCCAAGGGCATCACGCCGTCGCTGGCGCTGTGGGCCGAGGACCACGACATTTCGGCCGAGGACATGGCGCAGGCGTACGGATTGGGCGGTGTAGCGACGTCAACGCTGTCTGGGGGCCGGGCCAAGGTCGGCGCGGCCGCCGTGGGCGACACTGACGCAGCAGCCTCGTCCGCCGTGACGGACCGTGAAAACGCGGGCCGCACGCCCGGCCTAGCGGTCGGCAAGTACATTGCGCTGGACTGCGAGATGGTGGGCGTCGGCGCGGACGGACGGGATGACGCGCTGGCACGGGTCAGCGTGGTGGATTTCTTCGGGCGGCAGGTATACGATTCGTTTGTGAAGCCACAGGCAGGGCAACGGGTAACGGACTGGCGGACACACGTCAGCGGCGTGTCGGCGCGGCATCTGCGGTTGGCGCGGCCGTTCGAAGAGGTGCGGACCGCCATCGAGGATCTGCTGCGGGGGGAGGACGAAGTAGGCGGAGCCAAAAAGGAGACGCGCATCCTGGTCGGGCACGACGTAAAGCACGATCTGACGGTGCTGGGCCTGAGCCACCCGCCACGGCTGATCCGGGACACGGCCAAGTTTTCCGGTTTCAAAAAGTACGGATACGGGCCCAAGCCGGCACTGCGGGTGCTGGCGCGGGAAATTCTGGGCATTGAGATCCAGGGAGGCGCTCACTCGAGTGTCGAGGATGCTCGGGTGACTATGCAGCTGTTCCGGCAGCACAAACCGGCATTTGACGTGGAGTGTGCCAACAAGTTTGGGCCAGAGCCGACGTCGGGCGCGGCGAAAAGCAAAGGAAGCAAAAAGAAGAGGAGGTGAACACGGAGATAATGTTGGGAGGAGAGAGGGACAGAGTGACAGAGGGAGGAAGAGAGAATATTGTTTCCAGATTCAGCGCATTTCATGTTGGCGTCTAGTCTATCATTTGTTTGCATACCCCATCCATAGCCATAGTCATGTTGATGATTCCCTTTCAGCTAATGCCAGCCTACTCTCACAGTGGAATGCCCTCCATCAACTCCAACGCGCCTTCACGGCCGACAGTGATGATCACGTCGCCCAGCGTCTTGGTCACAAAGCCAGCTTCGCAGTAGGTAAAGTAATACTAAAAAGTCAGTCGTGATACACAATTAGGGATCATGGCCACATTGCGGCAGTGACATACCTCCCACTTGCGCCGGAACACCTCGATTTCGGCGTCCGACATGCCTGCGTGTTCCTTCCGCAGCGCCGGCCGGATCGTGTCGTCAAAGCGTGCTAGAAAATTCTCGCGCCACAGCCGCAGCGTGCGCGCATAGTGACCGCCAATGTTCTCGATGCGCTCGACAATCAGCGTGCCAGCCGATTCGGTGGTGATGTGGTGCAGCAGCTGCGTCGTCGAGGGCAGGTAGCCGCCGGGGAAGATGTAGTGGTTGATAAAGTCGACAGTCTTGGAGTAGGCGGCGTGGCGGCCCTCGGGCATGGTGATGCACTGGAAGACGGCGATGCCGCTGCCATCGCGTTTCAGCAGATTGTGGATGCAGCGGAAGTACGTCGCCAGGTACTCCTGGCCGACAGCCTCGAGCATTTCAATAGAAATAATTTTGTCGTACGTGCGCCCGCCGTCGGCCGCCGCCTCAGCTGCCAGTGTGCGGTAGTCCTTGAGCAGAACCGTGATGCGGTCCGCCAGCCCGGCGGCGGCGATGCGTGCCTCGGCCAGCGTCTTTTGCTCGCGCGAGAGCGTGAGACTTGTGACGCGGCAGCCTGTCCGCTGGACGGCGCGCATGGCCAGCGAGCCCCAGCCAGTGCCAATCTCAAGCACGTGGTCGGTGGCCTTGACGCGGGCGCCGTCAATAAAGCGGTCCAGCTTGCGCATCTGGGCCTCTTCGAGCGGCTCATCGTAGACGATGATTCCGTTTGTTTTCTTTGTCGTCGGCGTTGTCGCCCATATCGGGCACGAGTATGTCATGTCCGGCGACAAAAACGCGGCGAACATATCGTTGCTGATGTCGTAGTGTGCCGAGATGTTGAGCAGTGCGTTGGAGAGCGTGTTGGTCGTGCGTGCCAGGCTGGCCAGACCCCGCGAGAGCGAGGCTAGGCGCGTGTTCCCGTTCCCAAGGCGGTCGCGGTTCAGGATAAACAGCTGGAAGAAGGCGGCCAGGTCTGAGCATTCGATCTCGCCCAGCATGTAGGCCTCGGCGAAGCCCATGTCGGAGAAGATGAAGACACGCATCCAAAAGGCCTCGCTGTGGACGACGAGCTCGACTCGTGGTACTGTCGTGGCTGAGCGGCTGTTGTAGTCGTGGTTGGCGTCACGGTCGCTGTCGCTGTCGCTGTCGCTCAAGCCGTGGATGCCGTTGATGTCGTTGACGCCATTGACGATACTCACCTTGGCATCGTTCACCTTCACCTTCACTCCATTGGCCTTGGCCCAGTTCGTCTTGGTGCCACTTCCGCTCGCCTTAACAGTGCCGAGCGGTACATGTTCCCCCAGCACATCTCGCGTGCCTGACGGCTCGTCTACAAGAATCAGAGTGCCAATCTCGATCTGTTCGAGAACCGCCATCACTGTCGGCTTCGCAATAGCGATGCCAGGTCCCCAGGTGAGACTGCCCACCGCGCTGCGGACAAGCTCGGTGCTCTTGGCCAACGGCCGGGCCACCATGTCTGGTAACAATGACGATATCATAATGTGTGTGATATCCAAAGGTGAAGACGTATGAAAGGACGATTGTGAGATATTGGGCCAAGAAGGTGGGAGAGAAATCAACAGTCAGCAAACGCCAACAAAATACTTGAGACGACAATGAACACAACTTCGCAAACAGGTACAAAAAGACACGCCCCAGAGAGGAAACACTTGGTTAAAAAGAATAGGGCACACGACACAGACCGAGCTCGGAGGGGAGAGACTGCAACAGCGGTACACAGTTGGTCGTCTTATAGCCTAACTTATGCTTATATGTTGGGGCCTCTTTCCTGCCGCATCTTGTCCTCCGCGTTGTCTTGCCTACCCGCTATCCGTGTCTTGTGGTTTGTATTTGTGAGCTGCACGGACGGAACCGGGGTACAATGACCTGTCGGTGATTTCTCATTTTTTTCCCGTCCTGCCACGACCCTGGCTTTCGCTTGACACTAGAGTGCGGTCGTTTTGCTATTATTCAGTGTCAACACTTGTTACCGTTTGTCGACGGGAACTGCCCCTATGTGTGAAGCTTCAGAGTTCCAGGGCGAGCCTGGATCGGCCCGTTGCTGAATCCAATCGCGTGAATATGTGTAAGTGAGGAATTAAATCTCCGTTGAGATGTGGCAGGCGTCGTCATAGGGGGACACTATCAGGCCTAAAGCCCACTAGAGCTTTTTCGAAGGCAAGACGAAATACAACATGTTTTCCTCTCACCAGCAGAGTAAAGGGATGGAAGAAAGCAGACAAGGGGGGTCAGTATTACAAAACAAAGCAGCATAATAAAGACAGGCTTCAAAAGAGGTCGGAAGTGGATGTTGCCGAGCCAGGATGGCTACAGATGCCTGCCTAGAAGCTTTTCGAAAGACGGGCCCGAACCCAGAACAGGGGTGACTAGGGGAAGAAGCCAGAAGCTGCCGGGCGGTCTTGAGACAGAAGATCGCGTCCCGCATTCTCCGTCTCCCCATAGTTCACGCAACTCCTCGTCCTGGGCTTGTGTCGGTCACAGTAAGGCAGCCTAGGCGGTCATCGACGGCGTCGGCACCAACGCTTGACATAGACGGCCATCTGTTTGTCGATCGAGGGGCAGGTCAACGACAGACAAAGTATCAGTCACATCGCCTCCTGGGCGGTCCAAGTCTGCGCACATGCCGCCTGGTTTTATTGCGCTAGATTGCTGGCGGCTGGGGGTTTGATGCAATGCGGGCAGAGACGATGCAACACCCACAGACCGCCACGCAGACGTGTGCAGTGGGGAAAAAATGGGGAGAGAAAAGAGGAGAACGGAAACACGAGAGTGAAGCGGCAGTGGTCGTGGGCAAGCCTGAAACAAAAACAAATGTCTGGCTTGGGGGCGGTGCTGTTGATTAAGGTGAACGGAACGGCAATGATGAAGGAGTCGCAATTGTCGTTGTTTGGGCGGACCACACTTGTCAAGCCCCCCTAAGAACATAAACTGGGGTGTGCAGCTAGCGGGGCAGTTTAGAGCACCTTCCCGGCGCGTCTCCCACGCGTATCGGCGAACACCATCACAGTTCTTGTCAATTAAGTATCTGTTGACAACGTTACAGAAATACCGTGGTACTCGTCCACGTTCCCAACATGACGCAGCCAATTCTCGAAATCACGGCCGACAGTGCCACTTCCACACCCACACAAGCTACACCACACCTGCTGCCCTGCCAAATCCACCACAACGGACCGGTTGGACAAGTCGACGCCTTTTGGCGGCCACAAGAGAAGGGTGTGTTGAGTACTTTGAGAGCGGTTGGCTTTTTGCCGAACTCAGCACCTGCTAATATCTCAGACGGCCAAGCTACGGCCTACTTCCGCGGACGCAAGCTGCACGGCCAGACCGTCACGCTGCCCGCCGACTACCGGGGCGTTGTAGGCCTGCGTCGCGGCTCGCCCCGCGAACAAGCCCGTGCCAGCAATACAAGCGCTCCCGAAGAGGTTGTCGACGTCGACGCCACAGCGGCCGAACAGGAGGCACAACGACAGCGTCTGGATTCGGGCGGGCTCGTGGTGCAGGCCGAGTTTGACAAGATCGTGATTTGGGGCCACCAGACCACGGCCGACGCGAGTACCGACCCGTATGTTCGCAGCATGGAGGAGTGGGTAGCATTGTCAGAGAAGGTGTGTACAGTCTACAAGCGCATTCACATTCCTCCGTGTCATTGCTAACAAGCAGATACACTCGTACGAATAATGTCCACATATTAAGACAATTTTGGTCACGGGACCTGGCGTTTGGGATCACGACATGTTGCTTTTTATCTGGGAAACACGGCAATTACATAGCGTTGACGCAAATTCAAGACCCTGTGGAGCTCGTGCTCCCTGTCAAAGACACTTCTGAACCACACAACAGTGTATCGCGTGCAATCGTAGTCTCTCTCATCAGAGTTTAATGGGCGCCCACAATTTGGCTGCAACCACTTTAATGTTTTCGCGTCACGCCAATCAGAGCTAGTCATTGGATCCACTTCGACGCGTCCTGGACGCGTACCTTCCCACTCTACATGATAGGGAGGGGCCAAATCGCGTCTCCCGCGAAAGCAATTTGTCCATCGACAACAAGACATCATTATTCCTTGTCATTGTCCTAGTCCAGCGCATATTTTGACTCTGTCTTTCGTCATTCCTCATTTTTGATCATTTCCATTTTTCTCTTCCCTTGACATCGTCGCTCTCGTCCCAAACAAAGCCTTTGGATCGGCCCTCCTCGACGCTCTTTAGACCTCACCCCCTTTTCCTTCTTTTCTCCATTTCTTCCTTACTGCTCTCAACCTGTGATAACCCCCCACAACAAACAGCCATGGCTACGCCGTCCAGTGACTTCGGCCTCGCCATGTCCGACGGCCCCTCGCGCGCCACCTCGGCCGCACCCACCCCCCGCCGCTTCCACGGCCTCAGCTCGTCCTCAGCACGGCCACGCGGGCCGCCTTCAGAAAGCGTTGGCGGTGCCATGAGCGACGACGAGGGCGAGGGCTTTGCCGACGACAAGGTGCCGCAGCGGGTACGGCGGAACAACGGCGAGCCCATTCCGCGTGTCGAGGACAAGATTGGTCTCGCCGTGCAGCAGTACTTTGAGTCGTTTATCGAGGAGTGCGTTGCCCCATCGTTCTCTGTTTATTTTCTATGTGTGTCTTTTGTCTGACAGTTCAGTTTCATCGAGGAGCCCTCCGCCTCGGGCGAGACGCCGTCCGCCCCCGTTACCGACAAGTTCTACGTCGCCCAGATCCACGCCATGCGCTCCTACCAACTGTCGACCTTCTACGTTGACTTCAAGCACCTGACCTCCTGGAACAACGGCGTGCTCTCCGAGGCCGCCCTACGCATGTACTTCCGGCTGCTGCCCTACCTCAACGCCGGCCTGCACAATATGATCGCCAAGTACGAGCCCCACTACTTCCGCCAGCATCGCCAGCTCACGTCCAGCACCGCTTCCACCAACCGTACCACATCGGCCGCCAGCAATGCCGGTTCCGCCTCGCAGCAGTCGGCCGACCTCGGCAGCAAGACCAGCAACCAGCAGACCGACAAGCTGTTCACGGTCGCCATCTACAACATGCCGCTCGTTTCGCGCATCCGCGCCCTGCGTGCCGCCAACATTGGCCAGCTGCTCAGCATCTCCGGCACCGTCACCCGCACCTCCGAAGTCCGCCCCGAGCTGTCCCTGGCCACCTTCATCTGCCCCGCCTGCAAGGTCGTCGTCCCCAATGTCGAGCAGGCCTTCCGCTACACCGAGCCCACACAGTGCCCCAACACCACCTGCCAGAACCGCCAGTCCTGGCAGCTCGACATCCGCCAGAGCACCTTTGTCGACTGGCAAAAAGTCCGCATCCAGGAGAACAGCAGCGAGATTCCAACAGGAAGCATGCCGCGCACCATGGACGTCATCCTGCGTGGCGAGATGGTCGACCGCGCCAAGGCCGGTGAGAAGTGCATCTTCAACGGCATGCTCATGGTCGTGCCCGACGTCAGCCAGCTGGGTCTGCCCGGTGTGCGCCCCACAGCCATCCGCGATGACCGCAACGCCGCACGTGCCGGTAACGATGCCGGCGGCTCTGGTATCTCGGGCCTCAAGGCCCTCGGTGTGCGCGACCTCACCTACCGTATGGCCTTCTTGGCCTGCATGGTCTTGCCCGACACCACCAGCCTCGGTGGCAGCAGCAGCATTCCCAACGGTCCGGACGCCTCGGGCGCCGACATTGTCGCTGCGTTGACTCAGGCATCGGTGCGCGACGGCACCGCAGGCGGCAATGCGGCCAACGGCTTCATGACTGCACAGGAGGCGCAGGAGCTCGTGCTCGGTGCCTACACCAAGGCCGAGATTGACGACCTGCGCAAGATGGTCCACAGTGACTACATTTACTCGCGTCTCGTCAAGTCGCTGGCGCCCATGGTCTACGGCCATGAGATTGTCAAGAAGGGCCTGTTGCTGCAGCTGGTGTCCGGTGTGCACAAGTCCACCGCGGAGGGCATGCAGCTACGTGGCGACCTCAACATTTGCATTGTCGGCGACCCCTCCACCTCCAAGTCGCAGTTCCTCAAGTACATTTGCAGTTTCGCGCCGCGCGCCGTCTACACCTCTGGCAAGGCCTCGTCCGCTGCCGGTCTGACGGCCGCCGTTGTCAAGGACGAGGAGACGGGCGAGTTCACCATTGAGGCCGGTGCGCTGATGCTTGCGGACAACGGCATCTGCTGTATCGACGAGTTTGACAAGATGGACATTGGTGACCAGGTCGCCATCCACGAAGCCATGGAACAGCAGACCATTTCCATTGCCAAGGCTGGCATCCAGGCCACCCTCAACGCTCGCACGTCCATCCTGGCCGCCGCCAACCCAGTCGCCGGTCGCTACAACCGCAAAGCCACGCTACGCGCTAACATCAACATGTCCGCGCCCATCATGTCGCGTTTCGATCTCTTCTTTGTCATCCTCGACGAGTGCAACGAGAGCGTCGACCGCCGCCTGGCCGAGCACATTGTCGGCATCCACCAGCTGCGTGACGAGGCCGTCACCCCCGAGTTCACCACCGAGCAGCTGCAGCGCTACATCCAGTTCGCGCGCACCTTCCAGCCCGAGTTTACCGACGAGGCCAAGCAGCTTCTTGTCGACCGCTATCGCGACCTGCGCGCCGACGATGCCCAGGGCGGTGTCGGCAAGAACTCGTACCGCATCACCGTGCGTCAGCTCGAGTCCATGATCCGTCTGAGTGAGGCCATTGCCAAGGCCAACTGCGTTGACGAGATCACCCCGGACATGGTCACCGAGGCCTACAACCTTCTGCGCCAGAGCATCATCTCCGTCGAGCACGACGATGTCGAGGTCGAAGACGACGAGGACGGTGCCGCCGACGAAGCCACCGAGGCCGCTGCCCTGGCGGCCGCAGCCAACGGCCCCGACCCGAACAGTGATGTCGCCATGGACGAGCACGACACAGCCGCCACCAATGCTGCCACCGGTCGCCGCAACAAGGTCGCCATCACCTACGACAAGTACATTGCCATTGTCAATGCGATTGTCCAGCGTGTGCGCGACGACGAGGTATCCGGCCCCGGCGAAGGTGTCGCCGCAGACGTCCTCTCCACATGGTACCTCGAGCAGCAGGAGGGCGACCTCGATACCGAAGAGGACTACCACCGCGAGAAGTCGCTCGTGAACATGGTGCTCAAGAAGATGGTCAAGGAGAACATTCTCATGGCCATCCGCGGCCAGGGCATGGCAGACGAGAATGCTACGGAGGGCCCGGCGTCGAACGCACATGAGCAGATCATCTATGTGCTACACCCCAACTGTACATTCGAGGAGTTTTAGTATTTGATCAGTGATGCTAAGATGATGTCAGAATGAAAATAATAAACTAAGGTATACAATGGGGAGTGCAGGGCGTGGTTGAAGGGAGTCTAGGAGTTTCTCTTTTGCTTTCGGCTGTGGGACAATTATTTTATATTTACTTTCTGTTTTGATAGTCGTTCTCATGTTCACCTGCTTATCTGTATGTCTGCTGAAGGGTAAGCCTATGATGTACAATCTATGCGCAATGTTATATACGGAATGAATTCAAATTTTAGATGAAAATAATCTTCGAAATAGCTCCCGCCTTGTTCCAACTATCTCTATATTTGTTGGTGGATCACAGTTTCTTGATTTTGATGTTTTATTTAGGTGATGACGTTTTATCATAGGTCGTGTTTTATGTAGCAAAAATATAAAATATGAGTTATTGATGATCGTTTCAAAAATAAAATACACGTAAAGTTAACCATTAAAACAAAAATGATTTATGGAGAAATTGTTTTTTCTGTTCCGAGAGGGACAGGTGCCGACGCTGCCAAATATGACCAGAAACAATGTGAGCCGTAGGCATATGCCCCAAGTTCGATACACCAAGCGCTTTGACGAACCTCATGTCACCGAGTTCACGTCCAAGAGGTGGGATAAATGTCCATGTTTTTTATTATTATTCATTGGTATAGGCTTCCAAGGTATCCTCCGTTTCCATGTGTCCCTGGCACGTTATCCGCCTTGTCCCATTTGTTCCATAACCATGATCTCATTTACCGAATGCTGATAAAAAGATGGCAGGCCACAAGACATTTCCGAGACGTGCCGTGCATTTTCTTCTTTCCAGTTTGTTGATACTCGCGGTGCTCAGCTGAGAGACACGCGTGTTCCCAATTTCCTTGTTCCTTAGACGTCAAGTCATTGTCGTCTGCCTCGTCGTTGCCCCATTCCCTATATAAAAAGGCACTAAGCCTCGTCATATGTTGTTCTAAACCAGTCATCATCTTGCTATTTTCGTGCTCTCCTCGTCCCATAGGCAAGCTTGTCGATTTGGCAGCGCCAGGCGTCAAACCGCATAAATCGCGCCGCTTTCTTCCCAAGAAAGAGGCCATGTCGCGCCGAGTGAACCGCAGAAGGATGTTGGAAGAAAATTATCAGACAAAGTTCAATAGTCGAACATGGGGTTTCGAATCAAAGCATCAAGGGAGTCCAAATAGCACCGTCAAAAAAGGATCGTGGCTCGGTTGGTTAGAGGTAAACGCCGAGCCCAGATCGAGACCAAAACAGGGTCAAAAAGTAGCAGCAGTTGAAGAAAAGAAGAGTTCCACGGTAGAATAAAATCGGTGCTTGCTCTGAAATAAAGTAGTAATGAAGAGGTAGTACAAGAATTGTGCGAGAGCCATGATAAAATTCATGCATGGTCTCAGGTGTTTTAAAATAGAATAGTAAAAGAACACGCAGAGTAGACGTGACCCGAGAGACAAAGAGGAGACGGGACGAGTCATGTCAGACGCCGCATCCTCCTCCCTTGCTCAAAAGACATACTCTGGCTCAAATCGGGACCAAAAGGCACGAAAGCTGGGGATGAGCAAAGAGGACACTCAGGTTGTGCTTAAAACCCAAATGGGATCTCAGAATGACATTGCTTCGAACGATCGCCGTTTAAGTCTGGACAGGTGCAGATGTGCCTCGGGTCCAGTTCTCAGAACGGTGACGCATTCCTCCACCGCGAGATCGGCCACCGGACGACCCTTGTCTGGTGCTGGGCGGGGTGGTCTTGTCGTTGACAGAGTGCGTGCTGGACGCGTCGCGATTCTTGTTCCCGCCCCTGTGAGATGATCCGTGGCGGCCGCTACCGCTGCGTCCATATGTCGTCCGGCGCGGGTTGCTGTTCGTGCGTGGAGTCGGCAGGTTGACAGACTTGCCATTGCCTGCCATACCTGGAAATTGGATGCTGACGGAATGAGGTACACCGAAGTAGTCCTTCAAGAAGCCCTCATGGTCGCCGCTGGTGGCGGTCGATAGCAAGAAGCGCCTGGCGAGAGGCTTAGGAATGGGGGCGGGGGTCCATGCCAGTTCGGGAACCTTGTTAGGCAGGTGGACTGGGGGCAGTGAACCCATCTCCTGTCGTTCAAAGCAGTCCTCTGCCATGAGACGCGTCGTAAAAGGCTCCTTGGGAGTTGCTTTCACGCTTCTCGGAGCAACAGGTGCTTTCGTAGACGTGGGTGCCGTGTTTTCAGAACTGGTGCGATTTTGCATGTCGTGCCGCCCAGCGCCCGACGTTGGCTTGGACGGGGAGACAGCGGGCTTCCGGTCAAACAGGTTGTTAAACTTGGCTTGCCATGAGGCGCCGTCTGACGGTGTCGATTGGGACTCGTTCGCATGCGAGGCGGCGCTACGTAGCTGTGTGTGCTTTGCATGTGACCCAGACGCAGGGGGGTGTTCGGCGGCAGCTGTCGTGTCCTTCGGGGGCAGCCGTACAACAATTTGCGGCCGCGGAAGAGAAACGTGCGGGTGTGCTGCATCACCGTCAAATGCCGGATGGCCGTCCATATCGGGAGGCGGCGGCGATGGTGAGCCGGGGCGTCCTTGACTACTACTGTTTATAGCCGACGCCCCACCAAGGGCTGTTCCCTGTGCGGCGGCAACGGCATCCTCCAGACGAGTGTCACGGGTAGGGAAGAACCGTGATGGTCTGGATTGGGAGTGAATGGTCGAGCCTGGGCTGCTGCTCCCACCCACAGTGGTACCGGGGCGGTGCACCACAGACTGGTTGGCCTTGTCCTCAACCCGGTTGCCATCCTCGTTCATGCGGGTCGGCAACCAGGTATCCTTGATGGCCGGGTGCAGATCTTTCAGACCCAGACCACGAGCTTCAGCCTCGCGCTGTTGTTCGGCACGTTGAGCCTTTTGCTGCGCAAATTGGGTTTCGTCGCTGGCCTTGACAGCGTTAGCCCAGGCACTACGTGCCACTTCAGCCGAGTTGCCGCCGGCGGATTGCTGCGCCACTGCGGAACGGGCTGACGTTCTCTGGACGTCAGCCGGAGGGGGTGGCGGAGGGAGCGACACAGTGGACTTCGGGGGGCCAATTGGTGCCATAGGAGGCGCCGCGGCATTCTTCTGGACAGACGGTGGCCCAATAGGTCCGAGGTCTGACGTGAATGTACCGTTTCCGAGGCTTCGGTTGTTTGGCGAGCCCCATACATTCCGGGTAGACTGGTTCGTGCTGCCCCAAGAGGCCATGCGCTCGGTCTGTGGCGGAACTGGGCTCTGCCAGGTCTGTGGTTGTTGCTGCGATTGGTCATGGGTGTTCTCTGCAGTCGCCGGCACACCGCTATGGTGCTCCGTGGCGTGCATGGGGTGATTGCTACCCGAAGCTCCAGCATCCGTCGTAGCCTCTCCACCTGGTGTGCTTAAGTTTGCGTTGACTTGGATAGGAGTCACCGGCGCGGCGGCTGCTGTTGCTGGGGCCGCTTCATCCTTGGATGGTTCTTTCTTGGCGCTCTTTCGCTCCGGTGCTGGGCCCATCGCTTCGAGCTTGAGCCGGATGCGCTCACGCTTCGCGGCCTCCTCGCGCTCTTCCTCTTCCAGGCGTCTCTTCTTGGCAAGTTCGCGGCGCTCTCTCATAATCTTCTTTTGGATCTCGAGTTCGTCCTCGATGCTGGCGCTTGCAGCCTGTGGCGCCCCCTGTGTATGCGGCTGCGCGGAGCCTGGCGGGGCGTTGGACTGGGGGTTCGAGTGCGTGGATGCAAGTGTTGCGGCTGGAGAGCCGTGTGCTTGCCACGACCGTGTGCCGGACGGAGAGAAGTTTCTCGGAGAAGTGGGACTATCGCTTCTACCTGCGAGAGATGGCTGTTGGGCATGGAGGAGTTCGGGAGGAACATTCTGGTCATGCGGTCTTCCAAGACGCTGCATAAAGCTGCCACTGCCACCGCTGACATTGGATGAATTCCGGCGTCTTCCATAAGGACCTTCGTGGGCCGACCGATGAGTCTGGAATGCGGCAGAAGGCTCAGGCTGCTGGTCCGACCCATGGGACTGTCGCTGCAACAGTGCTGACGGTGGCTGCCTGTGATGCATGTCGCCTCTCATGCTGCCGCGGCGATCTTGCACAGGCTCCATCCGGCCAGACTGCGAGTTGTACAGCTCTCGGTTTGCATAGGGGTGACTATCCCTAAAGCCACCACGGCTGAAGTCGTCGGCGGCTATTTCCTTAAACGGTGGAGGAGGTGTCGAGCCTCTCGGGGGACCGCCGTACATGTCTCGCGGAGGATATTGGTGGAACTGCGACTGCTGGTAAGGCAGGCGCGAGTTTCCAATGGAAGGGGGCAGGTCCATTGTAACAGGGGACGCCTTGTCAACCGGTGGCAAAGAAGCCCACGGCGACTTGACCGGGGTCGGAGGCGCTGGAGGCTTCGCGACCAGTGTTGGCTTCTCGGGTGCGCCTTTCAAAATCAAACCTCTGCCGGACGGCAGTCCGCCAGATCGCACGCCTGTCGGGGCGGGCGACTTTGGCTTGTCATTGGCGTCGACTTCTCTCGATAGAGAGGACGGAATGGCAGTCGGCGACGGCTGGCTAGCAGATGCCACGGAGTGCTGCTGTGCCTGTGGTGACTGCGAGTGAGCCTGTAAATAGTAGTGCGACTGCGCGTGGGACATATCTGGTTGAACACTGTGAGGTTGTGGAGACGGCTGGATTTCATCGTGATGCGGAATGGTGGACTTCGTGCCGTCCGTCCACGTGATCTCCTCGGGAGCCCAGTCTTCATCATCGTCGTCGATATCTGCCCAGTTCGCTTGGCCCTTGCCGTCGTCGTTCTGCTGAAGACGTGTTGAAATGTGAATTCCATATTTCTTCAATTCTTCGTCCGTGAGTTTGCGTGGGTCTGGGGGAACAACGGCTGAGAGAAAGCAATATTAGCTTGATGAGACCCATGAGGAACGGAAGAAGAAGAGTACTTACGTCTGTTTTTGTTCCAGACAGCGTTCGGATCTGGCGCCGCAGCAGGTCGTCCGTTTGCACCAGGACCTTTGACGAGGCCAGTCTTGGCCACCAGTCTCGGGCGAGGCGAGGCGGATGAAGCCGAGGTGAGGGAAGCGACACCGAGAGTTGGCGATGCCTTGTCACCGGGCTTGGCCACGCCGGCCGTACCGGCAGCCTTGGCCGCAAGGAAGGTCTTGTTGACGGAGACTGATTTGAATGTGGTGGGTTTTCTCGCCGTGGACGACGTCCGCACGTGTCCCTTGTCTCCATCTTTGTTTTTGGCCGCGTCGAGTCTCGAAGTCTCCGTGTCCGAACCCCCACTAATGCTCGGCTCCGCAGAGTTTACCAGGTCGTCAACATTATCGGCGATGTGTTTGTTGGATAGTTCGTCTGGGGAGCCGGAGGTGGCCGTGCCGTTCACAGAAGGCGGATTTGAGTCGCCATTGTGCAAGTCGTCGCTGATCTTGGGAACCTGCGGGAAAAGAAGCCTGGTTAGCGGGGCGAGGGTCTATGGAGCCGCATCGACAGCTACGGTGCGCGGGGCTGCCAGGAGCAAAACTCACGGCTTCAGGTTCGGAGTTGGCGGGAGCTTCAACGGGTGTAGATTCATTGATCTCAGCAGCCATCATACGATGCGCTTAGCTCGCAATGTGTTGAAATGAGGGTGACCGTTTGCGGGACAGCTTTCCGAGTCACCAATCGGCAGAGCAGAAGGTGATGGAGCCTTTGAAACGGTATCGTCGCCGGGGTGCGTAGAGGCGGTCAGGTGCGAAGATTTTCTCTCTGTGTTCACGACTGGCGAAAAGCGGATCTCGCAGTTGACGCAAGGTGGTGGATTCGATGTTGGGTGGTCTTCACCTAAACTGCAAGAGAAAGAGAAGTGGGTGAGTCGTTTAAGGTTCGTTGTAGACGAAGAGGAAGAAGATGGAAGGCAAATCCGGCTAGCAGTCACGTTGGTCTGGCTTTCGCTCGGATTATTTGGGTGGCTCCTTATCCTTACCTAGGCAAGTCTTTGTATTGAGAAATGCACCTTCTGGGGCAACTGGGAGAAATGATGCAATGATTGTCTGTTGGCCAGGGCGCGGGTGCGAAATCAGTACTATTCAGAGCTCGGCGTTCCTGTGACCGGGAATGCTTGTTGCGTCTGATGTAGGAATCGAGAGTGTCGCTGAGGAGAGAGCAGAGGGACAGCTCGTGATGATGGTCAAAGGAGGAGAAACAAAGCGAAGATGTCGAAAATGCGGCTGGGCTGCCTTCGTTTTTTCCTACTGGACAGAGCGCAAAGGGAAGGAACGGGGCCCTGCCTTGGTGCTGGGCTGCTTTGGTAGTGCTTTGGCGTCGCCGTCCGCTGATTGGCTGGGACGCCGATGTGGCTATTTTAGGCTTAGCTTATGTCGCGACCCACAGGAGAATGGAAGGAGCGACTGGGTGAGAGGTAGGAAATGACCCGAGAAAGAAGGAGCAGGCCAGCTCAGCTACAAGCAGAGCACGGCAGGTGAATGACCTTGCCATTGTTGAATATGCCTCTGCGCCTCTATATGAGAGTTGATCAACTTTTACACAAATAGAATGCTAGCATTTTGAAAGGCCTTGTCGTACCATTATGGGCCGTCTTCTGCGTGATGACTCCTTGTCAAGCCAAACTACCACACGTTATCACAAAGCGTGAATCAACAAGGCGGCTTCTTGGCAGCGCCAATATGTAAAGTCTGCTAGAATCCTAGCTGTTGCCTGGCGGTAAGACTCACTGTCCGGCATGAGTTTGAAAGCCGCTATTTAGCATTTAATGACCTGTTTATGGGCACGTTTTGGGTTGGATGTTTCACGGGTTGCTGTGATGGCATCGATACGATTTGGTACAAATGAAATAAATATGATGGCAAAGCACGTATACGCACGAAGCCCTTCGCGGGTGTTTCCACAATCTCTCTATTCGGCAACACAAGATATATGTACAACGGAACGGAGGCTCGGCAAAAACCACATCGCCTCCGCCAATCTCAGTTCCAGCCTTCTTTTTAGTTTTCCAGGTAAGACGTCGCTTAGTGGGCGTTGTTCTTGTGGTGGCCTGTGACAAACGGACATGTTAGTATAGAGTGTTATGCAAAGAGCGTCGATGTTGGCCATTGGCCTATTGTAGCCGTTGCTCGTCTCAGAGTGGGGAGGTACACACGCAGGTGGAAGTAGTACTGCTGGGCGTAGCCGATGACAATCAGAAGGGCAACAGCCTGGATAATGGCTAAGGTAGGTGTCAGTAATTGTGTCTTTACGACGAGTAGCACATTTGCCCTTGCCGATACGCTCATCCATTTCTGCTCGGGGGTTCGTTCACGTACGCTTGACCGTGGGGTTCTTGCCGAAGTGCTTGGCCTGGTAGCGGCCGAGGAGGCCCTTGGCCTTGACCTCGGGGGCCGGGCCACGAGGCAGCTTCTCGTAGAAGCTCACGACACGCTGCATGCGGACAGCATCAGGAGCAGCGCCAATGGCCTGAGTCAGTCGTTAGCATTCTCGACCTATCTCTCATTTCGGTCACATCGCTTGATCGTGTCGTCTCGCATCGTTCGATCACGTTGTTCGGTTGCGCCGTTCTGGGCCGTCGCCAAATCGTTGATGGGGCCGCGGTGTCCGTCTTCGCAGTTAATGTGCACGCCGACCTGCTGACAATACCGCCGTTTTGCCACATTACTGATGGGATTATATGAGTCGTCGAATATCGCAAGGCCAAATTGATTGTGGCGGCCGTTGTCGTGAGTTGGGCGAAAAGTCGCGCGTTTTCCTGCGAACCAAAACATCCACACAACCAGTCGTCCGTCGTATTTCAAAACGTACCTTGGGCGAAGCAACCTGGAGAACCCGTGTTAGCTGATCAGTGTATTGACCAGGTCGGCACCACCGAACGCATTGAACAAACCTTGGGGGGAATGAGCGTCGAGAGCGCCCGGCGAGTGATGTAGCTCATGTTGAAAAATTTTGCGGACCGACGGAAACGAGAAAGGGGTCGAGAGCGGCGAGGAGAGTTACGAGAAGGGTGAGATTAGAAGAGGAATTGAAATCCGTGGCGGTGCCGGACGACAATTGAACGTGGCTTGCGGGTGGATGGGGAGAAGGCCGGTGATTTGGGTTGCGAATGGTCGTCACTCAGAAAACGTTTCGCGATGCCAGGGAAAACGAAGATTCCGACAGCTTTCCCTCGGATTAGCGGTTGTTCCCGGTAGCCAGTCACGTGAGGCTCCTCAGTTGGCGGCGTTGGGGGGAGCGGAGAGTCGTTAGGCGGTTTCTAGCAGGAAACGAGGGAATTACGGAGCGGCTAGAGGGGAGTTGAAGGAGAACTATAGCGCCAAAACAAGTCCCGGAACATCTTTTTTGCTTACAGTACTACGATTTACCTTGCTTGCTATTCGCGAGACGGCACTGCGTGAACCACGACTGCAGCAAATTCGTAGCCATCGCGAAACGGATTCGGCGTCGGCAAACGGCGACAAGGCGAACAACGAACGGCCATCCACAACCCAATTGAGTCGTCCGAATCTATTACACGTCTTGGGGCTTATTTACAAGCCCAACTACCACTCTTTCCCATGGCTTCGATCCGCCCAACGGCCTCGGCAGCTGCCGCCCAGATGCTGAGAAGCGCCTCCGTTGCTCCCATCACTCGCCGGCCGATGGTGGCCGCCGCCGCGACCCTCTCCCTGCGGCGGCTTGAGAGCTCATTGACGCCTGCTCCTCCCAAGACGGTTGCCCCGGTAACTCCCCGTGCTGCCAACAACGCTCCCGACTACACTGCTCACACGGACCGCGCGACTTCGTATGTCTCTCTCGGTGATGCGAGGCCTTCCGGCGACGGAAGCCAACAAGGGAAAGGATCTTGCTGACTCATTTTTGCTATAGAAACTTCACGCCAGTCCCCAAGCGTGTGCTGGATGGCAGCGAGGACAATGACGCTCTTCCGGCAGCCGTGCTCTCTGGCGCCCCGATGGAGCTCGAGGCCCGGACGGTCAGGTATGCCTCACTCTCTCTAGACGCGTATGATCCTCTCACTTGATTCTCGGCTTTATTTTACTAACATACCATCTCTTATGCAGAATTTATAAGCCCACAAAGCCGGCCACGCAGTCGGGCGACTGGCACGGCACCAAGTGGCGGATGGACTGGGACGTCCTGGAGAAGGGCCACCGGTGGGAGAACCCGTTGATGGGCTGGCAGTCATCCGGAGACTTCATGCAGGGCACGCACATCCATTTCAAGACCAAGGAGGATGCCATTGCCTTTGCTGAGAAGCAGGGCTACGAGTACTTTGTGCAGGAGCCGCAGGAGCGCAAGATTGTGCCCAAGGCGTATGCCAACAACTTCCTGTACTCGGCGAAGAAGCTGAAGCACATCCGGACAAAGTAGGCGAAGTAGGAACGAGAAACGGGGCAGACGAGCGGCCGGTGGGGCAGGGGCGTGGATAGATATATTTTACTGCTCGCAGGAGTGAGCAGTTCATTATGCGATTGCTTCTGTACATATAATCGAAGACATTTTTATATTTGAGTTTTCTCGGGTTTCATTAGCTTAGTAAAGGTAACGAAACGAACACACAATTGCCTTGCACAGTCGTTGACAATCCCTTAAAAGATTTCATCGGTCAATTAGCCAACACGGCTAGTTGTGAAAATAATATTGTTCGTCCATGTGACGGAGTGTTCATTCGCCGACCCAATAAGAAAGCCAGAAAATAAGTAACTGCTAGAGTAGACGATGCTATGCCGTCATGCTCAGAACCGATAATATCAAATGCCCGCTCAAAAACACAATACACGATAAAATACACCCCTTGCTCAAACCGATATTGTGAACGCCGATGAAAGTTGGCAAAACAACCAGCCCATACAACTCCGCATATTGACAGCCAGTCAATATAAACATACTAAGACAAACATAGAAACAATGAAAAAAGAAAGAAAAAAAATACCCAGGGGTATAGGGCCACTACGTGGTGATCATAGCCTCGTGTTCGTGGTCGTGGAACCGGTTGTCCGCAGTAGCGTTGAGACCAAGATCAATGATATCAGGCACATCCAGCTTTTTCTCACGGGCCACGTTCTCAGCCCAAGCGCGCATCCTGACGATTTGGCGGATGGCGGCTTCACGGCGTTTGCTGTGGTGGAATAGGATGGCCTTGTTGACTTTGTCGGCAACCTCCTCACGCAGATCAGGCGACAACAGCCTCTGCTGTGCCGCCGGCATCTTGTCTGGGGTGAAGAAGAGCATGACCATGGTCTCCTCAAGGTCCTCGAGGAATTCCTTCTTCGTGGACGCACGAGGCGCGAGCTGGTCCTGGGCAAACTTCACGACCGGCGCGAAGTCGTTGCCGCTGCTATTCGCCTGACGAATGCGCTCGACCAACTGCAGACGCAGCAAAGCAAAGTGAAGGGGCGGATCTTGATCCAGAATCTGAATAATAATCTGTTAGCTAAGGACGATTTCCGCGAACGAAGGCATGAAAGCTCGGAAGGTTAAATAACAGGGTTGCAATATCGGTCGCTCATAATTTTCAGTGTGGTTTGTTACTCATCAGTGGCACGAGGCCTATGAGTGGTGCATGAAACGGTTTATAATCATAGCGAGACGGAGGGAACAAGACAACTATAAAGGGCGGGTGTGTAAGACGATTGTCCAATGCTTACCTCTGGGTTGAAGTGGTTGAGAAGGGTGATTGCCTCATCGATCTTGCCATTATGGATGGCACTCCGGATCTGCTGCCTCGCGTGGACAAATGACTTGTCCTGCTGCGGTGGTAAGTTCGCCTCTTTGGAAAAGTTTGCAGCGGCTTGAGGGTAGCCCTCCATGGTGAGGTAGTCCAGAATCAACGCATTGATGTCACTGTAACATTGTTAGCAACAGGCTCAGCCAACCAGCCGCGCGAGACGCGTCGTGAAGAGAGTAGACAGTGAAGAATGAGACGTTGGCAATATCAGACCGCTTGGACAAAGTAATATGTTACTCCGCATAGTAATTACTCAGAGAGATTCCCATTATATTTTGCATCATCATTTTGCCAGGGGAGGGGGGGATTTGCGTAGGATGAGGTGTTGGAAGAGGTACTTTATACACACCTCTTAGGAGTCTTCACCGCGTTGACCCGGCTCTGGAAGCTCATCTTCGCTGGTGTAGCTGTCGATGATGTGGACGCCTGCGGAGGACGTTAGCTTGATGCGGCGGCGACGGGACGATGTCCTTGCGACGACTGCGAGGGATAGACGCGTACCATCTCGAGTCGGTGTGAGGTACGAGAGAAACTGAGAAGAAATTTCTTCGGTGGAGACAAAACTGGGGAGGACGACGAGGTAGACGATGGAGAGAAGAGGCTGCAAAGGCTGCAAGAGAGCTCGACAGCGACAGTTAAGCGTGCGAGTCTCGTGGAATGTGCATTGGGTGGCGGGTGTTGCGATCCCCGAGTCAAACCACTCCTTGTTCCTCGAGTCACCGACACCAAAAACCGGGAGGAGTGGCAGAGCACTGCTTTTGGGGCGGTGGGCGACGAAAGAAGACAAAAGGAGGAAGAAGTTGTATTGAGAGAAGAAAATTACAAGGTTAAATAGGTCGGATGTGGACGACGCACGAGAGAAAAAATAGCAACGCGGGCAAGAGCAGCAGAAAAGGAAGAAAAGGGCAGGAAGGAGAGCAGAAAAGCGGGGCGCTTCTTTCCTTTCGGCGCTGAGTGGGCGGCGGGTCAGCTCTACACCAGCCAATCATCACACGAGAAAGCTCTGGCAGGTCACTGTGCTGTCGGTGCTAATCTTTAGTGGACGTTGGGGGGCGTGGCAGCGGCTCAAGGCAGAGTTCGAGTGCAGAGGTGAGAGCAGTCGGCGAGGCTTCGACATTGCCTCCGTGAGAATGCACTTTCTGTCACATCGCTTCATATTGAAGGACATTTTCATTTATGAAGTCCTGTGACTATAAGACAGGACACCAGCACCGAGCTCTATTTGCCTGGAATCAAAGACGAGTGGTCAGCAAACATCGACATTCGGCGACCGTCGATTCTGATCCGTTTCTGAGTCTCAATACCGCACGTGCCAAGGCAGTCGTCTCATTTGACAGTGCACGATGACCTCGACACCCAAGGCGATCGTTAGCAAGGCTCGCTATGCTCCGCCATGGTCTGACCTCAGCATTATTGGCATTGCCGGTAGCTCTGGTTCTGGCAAGTCGAGTATTGCGAGGAGCATCGTGAGCCAGTTGAACCTGCCATGGGTGGTGATTGTGTCGATGGTAAGAACCGAGCGATTGAGTCTGGTTTTGGTTTCCACTTTTTGGAGAATTGAAAAATCTAACAACGTTTTAAAGGATTCGTTTTACAAGAGTCTGGACCCTGAGTCGTCCCGCAAGGCATTTTTGAACGAGTTTGATTTTGACTCGCCGGAGGTAGGGTCTTCATACAAAGAAGTCCTGGTACTGGTGGTCAAATAAAACATCTAACAGGAATCAAGGCTATTGACTTCGACGCGTTATTGCATGTTCTCAAAGACTTGAAAGCTGGGTACGTTGCGTTGCCTTCATGGTGTTTGCATTTTGTGTGTCGAACGAACATACTTATGAATCAACAGACGGCGAGCCGAGATACCACAATACTCGTTCACCGAACACAAACGCCTCAAGGGAACAACATCCATATACTCGCCTCATGTCGTCATTCTCGAGGGTATTTTGGCGCTGCATGACCAGAGAATTCTGGACATGATGGACATGAAGGTACATTGTTTGTTTACCATGCAGTTTTAACTTCGACGAGCAAATTGTGGCTGACCATATGCAAGATCTTTTGTGACGAGGACGCCGATGTGTGTCTTTCAAGGCGCAGTATGGACGATATATCCCGACCTGGGCGTGTTGTGTACGTGACGTGTGCTGCGTAACAGTTTCCTAACCGTCCTGATGACAGTCATCCGTGATGTGAACGAACGTGGCCGTGATGTCCAGGGCATCATCAAGCAGTGGCTCGCGTTTGTGAAGCCCAACTTTGTCAAGGTGAGTTACTTGTACTGCTAGAAAGTATATGAGTGTGTTGTAGCTGATGGTCTTTAGTACGTCGACCCGCAACGAAAGGTTGCCGACATTATTGTGCCGCGTGGCATCATGAACAAGGTTGCCATCAGTATGTGCATTCCATACCACTGAAATGTCTGCAGGGACGCCATCTGACACACAAAAGCCACGGTTGTACAGTATATCCAGCAGAAGCTTCGCGAAAAATCAAAAGAGCACCAGGCCACCCTGACAAGGTTGCAGCGGGAGGCTAAGATGACGTCGCTGTCAGACCGAATTGTGTTTCTGCCTCCGACGCCACAGCTGCGAGGCATGAACACCATCATCCATGATGTTGAGACCGCCAGTGAGGACTTTATCTTTTACTTTGACCGCCTCTCGGCCCTTCTCATCGAGCTGTACGTAATTGTGGGGGAACCAGTGCCTTGGCTATTGAACGCCCGCTAACATACCACCAGTGCCTTGAACAATGCCACCTTTGCTCCTGCCGTCGTCGAGACGCCCCAGGGCAACTCCTACCAAGGCCTAAAGTCCGATGGTATTGTCAGTGCGGTTGTGTTGGAGCGAGGTGGCTCGGCCCTCAAGACGGGCCTACAACGCGTCATCCCTGACTGCCGACTGGGCCACATCCTGATCGAGACAAACGTGCGCACGGGCGAGCCAGAGCTGCGGTACCAGAAACTGGCGCGCGACATTGACACACACGCCACAGTGCTGCTGCTGGACGCGCAGATGTCGTCGGGCGGCTCGGCGCTGATGGCGGTGCAGGTGCTGCTGGACCACGGCGTGGTGCCGGAACGCATTGTGTTGGCGACGTACTCCGCCGGGCGGATGGGCCTGCAGCGGCTGACGAGCTGCTTCCCGGCGATCTCGGTCGTCGTGTGCCACCTGGTGGAGGATATCGAGGAGCGGTGGATCGAGCGCCGGTACTTCCGGTGCTGAGACGGAAGCCTTCGCTTGCTGTGATTTGATTTTCTATTGTAGGTGCACCATTGCATAGAGCGCGAGCCAAGGTACCATCACTTGCAAATAGCTCACCAACTTCTTTTTGAATGTTTGTTTTCAAAACCCTCCTGTTTTATTCATTCGGGTAAGCTACTGCTGTGCTGTGGCCTCTGTGACCTGAACGCCGTCATATAACATGTGTATCACGAAGAAAAACGCCGCAAGTCAAAAGACAAGAAACTAAAAATACACGCTGGTTATCCCATCATTTATATCTCGTATGCCTCGGCCGGCGCCTTGAAAATGAGGTGCGGCTTCCGCTTGGCCAAGTCCAGGATGGTCTCGGCAAACACGCCGTTGGCCCCTATCGAAGTTGTCAGTATTTTTGGCACGTAATGTATGAATATGAAACAGACTGCTTACATGCAAACCAACTCCGTGTGTAGGAGGTGATGTAGTTGACGTCCACGCTCTCGTGAATCAGACCCAACGGGGCCGACTTGAGGACCATGTTGAGACACTCCTGGATCTCAGCATCGTCATCGGATGTCTGTGCCTGGATCAACAGACTCATGGGCCAGGCATTCTGCAGTCCAATGTGCGGGCCGCCAATGCCCTTGAAGTCGCGGCCCTTGAGGTAGTACGGGTTCGACTGCTTGCTCAGCAGCATGCGCCGCGTGTTCTGGTACGTCGGGTCAGACGCCGGAAGAAAGCCCATCAGCGGCAGTGCCAGAAGAGACGGGTAGTTGGCATCATCCATCATGATGTGCGAACCGTAGCCGTCGACCTCGTACGCAAAAACGTCTCCGAACTCGCGGTGCTTCACGACGCCATGTTCCCACACGCCGTTGGTGATTTCCTGGCTCCACGAAGCGACTGCCTTGGCAAGTGCCTCCTTGCCCTTAATTTTCGCCAGCACAGCCGCTGTGCGCTTTAGCTCGACGGCCATCATGGCGTTGGCCGGGACAAAGAAGCCTAGGATCGTAGAATCGTCGCTGGGTCGGAAAGCCGAGCGGATCAGACCCGTGCCGTTGTTGAGCGGGTTGCCAATGCCGGCCAGGTTCAGGGTCTCCGTGCCAGTGTCTGTCTGGCGCTGGAAGGTGTACTCGTTGCGCCGATAGTGGTTCGTCACCGGATCAAACGTCGACAGAGACTGCTGGTCGAGCACACGCAGCACAGTGGCCAGGGCCCGGTACCAGCGCCGGTTCAGGTAGTCGGTGGAGCCCGTGTGGTCGTGAAAATCGTTGCCCAGGGCCAGAAAGTGCGCCAGGCTGTCGAGCTCGTACTTGCACTCAAAGACGAACGACGGCTCAAAGGCCGGGTGCACCTTGTCGTCCTGGCCGTTGTGGCTGGGCCGCAGACCAGAAATAGGCGGCGGCTGGAAGGCGTTGCAGTATGGGCTCTCAATCACATATTCAGACTGCGTGTTGATGGCACCGAGGATGAGGTTGTACACAGCAGGGTCGGTCTTGGCCAGGGGCTGGTACGGCGACAACTGGTTGGTGGAGTCGCGCAGCCACTCGGCAATAATGTCACCGGTGATGACAAAGGACTGGGCGCCCTCCCACTTGCCATCGTCGTATGCGCCCCCCGACGCTGCCTTGATCTTGGCCCGCACCGCTTCGGAGACCTTGCCGTCGGTGCCGTTGGTGTGGAACTTGACTGTGGTGTCTGTGGTCGAGGGGAAGGTGTTTTCAAAGAGACGGGCCATGTCGACGTCCTTCATGCGCGAAGTCACATCGCTAATGACGGACTCGATGGCGTTCGAGTGGAAGGTCCGGCAGTTCTTGTGTGGTCGTTGGAATGGCAGGGCGAGGGGACCCTTGGTGAGTGGTCGGCTGAAGAAAACGACGGTTAGCTTTGCAGCAAACACAAAGTGACAATAGCAGTCGCAAACTAACAGCCGATGCTCTAAATAACTTACTGTGGGTAGGTCGAGTAGAGGACGTAGTCGGGGCATGCATTGAGTTCGAGGACCGACTGGTCGATTTGGCCGGACGACTGTTGCACGAGCAGCGCCAGTGCGATCGAAGCCAGGAATCGAGACGCCATGGCGAGGATCGAATTGAAGACGGCCGCCGATCAAGGAGCCTTTGAATGTTAGAGAAAAAGAGCGAGAGGAGGTGCCGAGAAACGGTGTCGGGAGAATGAAGGAAAGGGGAGCGAAAAGGTAGAGAAGAGCGAGGAAGTATCCATCGATGTTGTCGGCAGCGGCAAAATGTCCGTCTGTGTCGCTGGGCTCCCCCGACGCACAACAAAGAGCGGATCGTGATGTGGCTGCTCACTGTAACATCGGTGCTCGTGCGCTAGCTGACCCTGAAGACGCTGAGACTGCTAAAACGGTTAAGCGCATTGTACCCCTACACCGTCACAGAGACTGGTTGTCACAACGAGTTAGTATCACTGATTGTGTGACAAGGGAGCTTACCGGCCGCCCTAAAGAGCAACTGCGGCCACTACCGAAAACACCGGCCCCCTGTCAAAATCATCCCTTCAGTGACCGCCGCCACACGGCTATTGTTTCGTTTCCATGTTCATCTCATATTGATAGTCATGTTTACTATCTGTGTTTGCCCACTATCAAAGCAAAGCAACGCATTCATTACATAGGATGTATCAGCCAGGTTCCCAACAATGTGCAAATAAAATGTACAGCCCTACATTTTTTACGTCTCCTCCTGTTCTCCTGTTACTTCTTTCCAAAGAACGACATGATGCTGCCCTGGCCGGTCTTCGGTGCCGGTTTCTTTGCTTTTGGTGCAGACGAAGAGGGAGTGGAAGAGACTGGTGCCGCCTTGGCGGGTGCCTCGTCTTCAGAGAACGACTCCCAGCCGGGCTCTTGGATAGTGACTGGAAAATGTTAGCAAAGCAGCGTGGACCCGGAGCAAACGCGGCATTGGAAACTTACCCAAGTAGCCGTCCTTATCTTCAATCATCTTCTTACGCACCACGCGCCGCTTGCCGCGCCGACGTCCGTCGCCCGCGCTGGCGATGACGACCTCGCTAGGGCCGTCGTCTTTGGGGGCCTCTGCCGCCTCGGTGGGCTTGTCCTCCTCCACGTCTTCCATGGGCGTGTCCTCCCGCTCGTCTTCGTCCTTCTCGTCTTCAGCATCGTCACCATCGTCATCGTCGTCATCCTCCATCATCTTGCGCAGCTCTTCCTGCCGCTCCTGGCGGGATTTTCCACCCACAACTTGTTGTGCCTTGGGAATGATGTCTTCGTCGTCGCCGTCATCACCACCGTCGTCAGACATGGCCATCGACGCGTCTTCCTCAGCAGGCTTCTTGACGACGGGCGCGGTCTCCTTTTTCTTCGGCTTGGCGGCACTGGCACCCTTGGCAAACGCTTGCATGATGCCTCCAGGCCCACCTGACGAACCCGCTCTCTTTAGAGCCGGTGGAGCGGCCGCGGACGACGACGCGGCGGCAATGGGCTTCTTCGCATCTTTGGGTTCGGGCGTGGCGCTGTCTGCTGCGGATTTGGAGGCCGCAGCGTCCGGCTTCGTATCGTCCTTTGCGGCGTTCACCTTGTTCCAGATGGAGTTGGGCCCGGGCGCATTTTCGGTCTTGGACGCCTTTGAAAATACGGAAGTTGGTGTGGCCGCGGGCGTAGACGCAGAAGATGCAGCAGCAGCAGCCGCAATGGGTGCTTGGCCTTTACGCTGGCGGCGCCTCACGTGGGAGTTGGGGATTGTACCAAACGTCTTGGGAGAGTCTTCTGGCGCCGCAGCCCCGCGAAGTTCACGAAGCTGGCGGGTAGTATCTGCGAGCAGTTGAAGATCCTGTGACGATGTCAGTAACAACATCAGTAGCGTCGCAGAGGAGGCGACCGTGATGAAATGCAAGCAGTGCGACTACGTACACTCATCGGCTGAGGCGACAAACTGTACACATGAATGGAGCGAAGCGACTCGTATTGTGAAAGTGCACCTGTTTGGGTAGTAAGAGCCGTTAGCACGAACACCTCCGCTAGAGTTCGACTTCCGAGAAGACGGCCATACTCTCCAGGTTCTCCTCGGCCACGAGAGTTATCACGCTCGTAGGGACCGCCTCAGACTGCAGGTAGTCCGGCAGGTCGTCCTCCATGTCAATGTCTTCTTCACCAAGGCCACCGTTCCGTGCATGGCTTGCATCGGCTAAAGACTTTGCACCATAGAGCAGGTAGGTCGCATGCAAGGAACCAGCCTTTTTGGCGTTCTGTGCTGCGTGGAAGTCAAAGAGTGCTCTGAAATAGCTTGTCAGCATCTGAACAGACGTATATGGCAGCATCATAGGCGTTCACAAACTTCTTTGCAACATTGACGTGAATCTTCAGAGCTCTGCTTAGGTAGCGATATGTGATCTTGGCGCGTCAGCTTTGTTTCTTATACAGCTAGGAACAGCCATGATGTGTTGTTCTGTACTTACCACTTTCTTCTCAACAAGAACCTCCTCGGCGAGAAATTCGTTTGGTGAGGCCATGGCTGCTATATGACGTAAATGCGGCGTTGCGGGTGTCCTGGGTACGAGAGCGTTCAGTCGAGTGCAGATGCAAGAGTCGCGATATGCACCCCTCCACGTCGAAGCAATTGGCGTCGCGTGGTCACGTGAATTTAAGTGGCTATTGCAGAGGAAGCGGCTGGCGTTCACTGGAAATGCGCCTACACCAGGCTGCAAGACCCCTGCAAATTTTCTTTTCAGGGAGGCTACGAGGCTGCTTGCCAAATCCGACGCGTCGCGCCCGCCACTTTATGCGTTAACATTTGAATGTCGTGAAGCCTCAGCCTCTCAACCTGACGACGGAGAGCGCAACAGGGACATTGTACATCATCTACCTTTCGGCCGACGCATGGCCTTCAATCCTTAAACCTCCGCAGATCAAAAACCAGGCGCCAGTCGTCCCCCTGCCCAATTCGCCTCGATGGATCCCCGCGACAGCAGCGATGTCGCCGACTCGACCGACTGGCTCACGACGACGCTGTCATGTCTGATGCCCGTTGAGCAGGCGCTGCGCTGCCATGTGTGCAAAGACTTTTACAACTCGCCCATGATAACGTCCTGCAACCACACGTTTTGCTCGCTCTGCATCCGGCGGTGCCTGTCGGTCGACGGCAAGTGTCCGCTGTGCCGTATGACGGACCAAGAGTCCAAGCTGCGCGGGAACTGGGCGCTGCGTGAGGCCGTTGACGCTTTCTGCAAGGCACGACCGGCCACGCTCGAAGTGGCACAGAAACCGCTACCACGTGCCAAGTCACCGACACCTCCACAGTCGAAACGGAAGGGAACGGACGAGGCAACTGCATCACAACCAAGTGGCAGCCAGCAGACGCCACCGGCAAAACGGACGCGGACTTCAGCTCGGTTAAGCAAGACAAAGGCTGCCGAAGCTGTAACAACCATTGCGCAGGATGAGGTGCAGGTGGAGGTGCCGGACAGCGACAGCAACAGCCGCGACAGTGGCGATATGGACTATGAGCCAGGTGTGTGGCCCTGCATGAATCTGGCAATGGGTCTCTCTACTACGCCGCACAATCTTTACTAATGTCTTCCTTTTTTCTCTAGACGACGGCCTTGTTGCCTGTCCTATTTGCCAACGGCGCATGAAGATGACACTGATCAACGGCCACCTCGACTCGTCCTGCGGCAGCTCGCCGCAAAAGCCAAAACCGTCTACATTCTCCGGACAACCCTCTTCGTATTCGAGGATACGACAACGAGACGCCCCGTCGTCCTCCTCCTCGTCCTCCTTTCATCCTTTCTCCGCAGCCTCTGCGCCTGCACCACCACCAGAACGGTTGCCGTCCGTCAGCTACTCGCTGCTCAACGACGGCGCTCTGCGCAAGAAAATGGCAGCTCTCGGTCTCGTGACGTCGGGCTCCCGCCAGCTGCTGGAGCGCCGGCACAAGGAGTGGACGACCATCTGGAACGCCAACTGCGACTCGGCGCGGCCGAAGCGCAAGGCAGACCTTTTGAACGACATGGACATTTGGGAGCGCACAGTCGGCGGAGGCGGCGCGGGTGGTGGCCTCACCGCTAGCATGCTAGGTGGCCGCGGTGCGACCCTGACGTCACGGACTGTCGCGGCTGCCACCCAGCAGGCGGCCCAGATTAAGGACAAGGAATTTGATGGGGCCGCGTGGTCGGCGAAACACAGCACGTCCTTCCAGGACTTGATTGCCAACGCACGAAAATCCCGATTAAAATCACAGGAAAACGCGGACAAGGAAGAAGACAAGGCAGAAACGAAAGAGGCCGGGCCCGAAGCGGCCTCGGAGCCAATAATTGCGGAGACACCGCCGCGCGAGGAACAGCAAACTTCTAATGTTCTTAGTACTGTTGATACAAACGCAGGAAGTAACGTATCATCATTACAACCAGGGAAGCAAGCAGAGCTGGACGGGTCAGATGCACAAGCAACAAGAGACAATGGGCCGACTGATGACAGTACAGCTATTGACCTTTAATTGGCCTGGTAATTACACAACAAGCCTTGGGATTTCGATATTAGATAGGATGTCTTGGAAAGAGTTTATGACAGCGATGAAATTCAGGCATACGTTATGAGCATGCACGACACTGGTATTATAAAAGGGAGTCGAGCAAAAAATTTCTATAATTTCCATCTATGTGTTAACATCTATGACTATGAAACAAAGGTATAGAGAACAATTCCATGAAAAGCAAACATAGTACCCCAACAGCAGAAAACAAAAATGCGCCAAGGCTAAACGATCGAGGCAGAGCCAAAGACAAAAGATTCCTCGACGAATACCGTCCATCTAGGCAGCTGCAACAACAGTTGCCGGACCCTCGGGCAGGTGACTGGCGGCAATGTTGCACTGGCGGAAGAGGCGCACCTCCTCCGGTGCAAACGCGCCCACAACTGAGTGGATCAGGCCACGGTTGTGAAACAGCACAAAGTCACCCTCCTGCCAGTCGTGCGGGTAGATGAGCTCCGGTGCAATACCCGGGCGCTGCAGACGGTAGATCGTCTCGCGGACCTCGGCGAGGTCGTCCATGACGGTGCCGTTGGCCAGGTGCAGGCGGCGCACGGCGCTAGGATGCACCTGCAGGGCGAGCTTGCCCGTCACCGGGTTGCGCCAGCACAAGGGCAGGATCTGGATCTTGTCCTGCTCAATGGGCGGCAGCTCCGCCTCCGTCAGCTCCTTGCCCTCGGACACCATGCCCAGGCCGTTGGAGCGCGACTTGGCGCCGCTCATCCAGATGTAGGGATGGGCGGCGTACTCGACACGGGTGGTGCGGGCAAACTCCTGGTCCTCGGGACTGAGCAGCTCAAACATGGTCTCGCCCGAGGCAAAGGCTGTGGTACCCAGGGGCACGTCGAGCACGTCGCCCGTGCCATCGTCGTAGCGGCAGGTCTGGCGACGACCGCTGGGGACTTTGACGGCGAGCAGCGTCGTGGCAACGGGTGGGGCCAGGCCGTAGAGAGCTGCGTCAATATGCCAGCGATAGAAGCGGGTGCAGTCCAGATCCTCCTCGTCGGAGATGACGGAGGCATGGAAGGTCCGGTGGTGCGGGTGGCGCAGCTGGATGTTGGTCAGGCCCTCGTACTCGGGCACGAGGCCGTTGCCAATGACCTGGACCTGCGGCTGGTGCGGGATGGTCTTGAGGTCCGGGTGTAGGACGGACTTTTTGGCATCAAGCGTCTTGCCGTGTCCATACGATTCACCAGCCGGGTCGAAGCGCTGAGTGAGCTCGAACTGCTTCTTCGGCGAAACATGGCTCTGGTTGGGGAAAACGAGCACCTGGTTCGTGAACAGGGCTTCCCGGATGATGTCAAAGTCGGCGTCTGTACCGAATGAAGAACATGTGTCAGCCGATCGTGCTTTTGCAGACAGTGCCGCCAAATAGGAGAATAAATATCTTACCGGGAGGTTACCGATTTCACGGGTATTCTCCCAAGGTGTTGCCCGACGATGGTTGCCCAGCAGACAAGACAAATGGAAAGCATTTTCTTTTGTAACACGAAGAGCTGTGCTCCTTCACGCTCTCTGCATTCTACTCACCCGTGAGGTTCTCGATATCGACATTGGAGACGACCGCACCAAACCTCACTTTTGAGCCTTCAGCGGGCTTGAGGGGCGAGATCTGGATAGCAGACATAGGGACTGTCTATGTGGAGAGACAATGGTAAGGTCGAGTTGGTGTGAGAGTCCCTTGGATATAGGCGAGGTCTGAGAGTTGTGCTTGCCGTTGAGAAGATGTTTGGAAATGTCTCGAGAGGGAGCGACGAGGAAGCTACTTATGGCTCTTTCCAGACCCTTTGCTTTCCTTTTGACTCGTCGGTTGCTCTTGCCGGTTACTTGTCGGTAGCGGCCGAGTCCGGATCCAGAACGAGCAAGAACGGTCGACCCGATCAACGACTGGAAAGAACGGTAGCCACGTTGAAGCCACTCACAAAGCAAGTGTATACTCAAAGGTGTGGAACGGATGGCTCAGCTTATCTCGCCAATAGGCTTAGATGCTGTGTCAGTGTGGTGGAGTTCCATAGCCAGTATGCAGCCAAAAAGAAAACCTTTCAGCGGCCTCGGTGTCACCTAACGCCAAAAGCAATGAGTGGATGTTATCTCGACCGCGGAAATGGCTCCTTCTTGCAGCTTCCTCTTTACCGTGTGCCTAAAGAAGATATAAGAGATAAGATGAGATCTGTAGCTACATTGGCGGAAATAGACAATCATTGATTCAATGTTCGAGCATAGATAAATGCAAATAGGGCGGGAGTACGGACGAGCTTTCCCACTCACCCGCAATCATATGTGGCTTGTATTCTGTACCTGTTGGAGATGTTTTTTTCTCACTCGACGGAGTTGTGCAACAATTTGTCTCGTTCCCGTTCCCTATCTTATTGTTTGTGAGACGTTTTACGTCACAGGGCTCAAAAGAGATTTTCAGTACACTCATAGTAATAAAAGTTGATACGTCACGAGGCATATTGAATCTATTATTTTCGTGGCAGATCATGATATCTAGAGAAACAGCGAGGCAAATGGTAAGACGAACGCCAGGTCCCATGCTCTTTCACTGTGTAGTGTGTAACAAAATTCGCGTTATTCGTGTCTGTGCCCCCTCCCACTCCTGCTTGTTGCCACTCGTTTCAAACCTTACACTTGCCCAAACCCGGACTCGTCCTGGCCGTCATCGTCCTCGTGCTCGGCCGCGGCCGACAGTCGTCTCGTCCGTAGTGGTGCCGACTCCAGCCCTGCCTGACCTGCACCGCTGCCTCCCAGCAGGCTGTCCCGGCGGGAGCGGCGCCGGGCGTTCTTGAGACTGGTCTCGTCCGCGGCGAGCTGCACCTCCTCGACGTCGACTTCTGTCTCGGGGTCTGCTGCCGCCATATCCGCCGGTTCGTCGCCACCTGCTGCTGAGCTCGCCGAGGCGGCGGTGGTTGTGGATGCGGCCAGGTCGACGTCTGCACCCGCCTCCGTTGCATGCTCCGCGACCGCAGCGGCCGCAGCCTCACCGGCGACCAGCAGGCCGTGCTTGAGCTGCTGCTGCAGGCCGGCCATATAGTCGCGGGCCCGGGCAAAGCCGTTGATGCCGTCGTCGCTCTGCAGCATGGAGTACATGCGGCGGGCCTCGTTGAGGCAGCGCTGGGCCTGGATGTACTTGGCCTGGGCGACCCAGGCCTCGGCGGCCAGGACGCTCCAAAAGGCCGACTTGCGGCGCCAGGTGCCCCAGCCCAGAGAGCCACGGCCGGCGCGCGTGGCGCAGCAGACGGCCATGCGCTCCCGCAGAAGCGGGTCGCCGACGTGGCCGACGAGGCGGGCGTCCAGCAGCCGCATGCCCCAGCGCACGGCCTCGTCGACAAAGGCGCCGCCGCGCAGGCGCTGCAGCTCCAGGGACAGAGTCACAACACGGGTGGCGCCGTAGGCGCTGCCGCAGCGGGTGTGGTACGAGTAAAAGGCCTGCTCGAGCATGCTGCTGATGGAGTCGAGCTTGGTGCGGGAGGACAGGCTGGGCGGCATGATGAGCAGCGACAGGGCGCACATCTCGTTGGCGGCGGCGTGGTATTTCCAGGCCTTGTCGTTGGTGTAGTCGGTGCGCAGAATGTCGTAGGTGGACATGGCGAGTTTCCAGTCGCGCAGCATAAAGGCGTAGTCGGCGAGCTTGCGCAGGATGGCCTCGCTGGCCTCGGCGCCGTAGTAGCCGCGCGCGGCGTCGTAGTTGGACGAGCCGCTGTCGCCGCGGCCGCCGCCGTTGCTGCTGTTGCTGCTGTTGCTGCTGCCGAAGCCGGCCCAGCGTTTCGACAGGCTCATGAAGCGGCCGCTCAGGCCCTTGCGCTTGGACGCGACCTGGTCGTTCCACAGGGACACGCTGCGCTCCATCGTGGGCAGGATGGACTGGGTGACCATTTCGCGCACAAAGGTGCGAATGGCCGTGGCGTCGGACTCGAAAATGTACCGCGTGGTCGGGTCGTCGACAATGTCATCGTCGGCCGCCGCGCTACCACCTGCCAGCTCTCCCTCGCCCTCGCCCGCGCCGCCCTCCGCTTCACTCGCTGCGTCGTCACCCTCGTCAAAGGCTTCGCTGCGCACAAGGTCGGCGTACTCTTCGACGGCTGTCATCCAGTCGCTGCGCGGCAGCAGCAGACTGTCGTCATCTGTTTCAGCGCTCTGGGTGCTGCGCAGGCGCAGCAGATGGCAGTGCAGGCCCAGGCTGCGCTTCATTTTCTCAAAGAGCGCCATGGACTGCACAATGTCGCCGTTCTCCTCGTCGTGCACGAGCACATAGTATCGTAAAAAGTCGCCGTCGACCCACGGCGGCAGCCGTGGGTCGCCCTGGCTGATGTCGCGGTACAGCTCCTGGAAGGTCTGGATGGGGGCCGGATTGCGCGAGCTGATGGCAATGACGCAGGCCACGGGGTGCGCAAACGTCTCGTGGCAGGCGACAGGCAGGCCCGACAGCATGCGCCGGAGGTACAGCGCGTAGTAGGGAGATGTGCCATCAACGTCGTACTGCTGTTGCTGCTGTTGCTGCTGCTGCTGCTGCTGCTGTGGTGGCGGGCCCTGGCCGGGTGTGGGCGGTGGTGGCGGCAGGCCGGAAAAGGCACTCTCTGCGTAGGTGAGGTGTTTGTCGACGATGGCTTCGACAATCGGGATGCGCGCAGCCGTCGCATTGCTCCGCGCGTCGGCGGTGCCCGCCCGGCTGCGCCCACCATTGGCACTACTGCTGGCCGTGCCAGCATGGCTCACGCTGCTGCTCCCGCGCTGGCGGCGGAGAAAGCGCTTGTCGTTGACCAGCTGGGGCGGCGGGCTCGTCGGCGGCTGAATGATGCCCTGGGCCGACTCGGGTGCCTCGATGTTGTCGCCAAACTTGGTGAAGCGCACAGAAAAGTCGTCCCAGGGCCGCGGCGCGCCGTTGCTGTCGCGCACATGTACGCGGCCCGCGACGCGCTCGCCAAAGGGCCGCAGCAGCTCCCAGAGGCCGTTGGGGAAGCCCTTTTCGCGGGCGAGCGCGTCGGTGTCGCTCGACGAGTATACAGCGACGTGGGGGACAAAGGCCTTGAGGACGAGGTTGAGCGGGTCGCCCGGGTTCTCGGCGGCGGGCAGGTCGAGGAGGGAGCGCGTGTAGGCGGCGCCGGGCGTGGCGGCGGCGGCGGCCGAGGAAGAGGAAGATGGGCGTTGTGAAGAGGGGGCAGTGATGGTGGTGGCAGAGGAGGCAGAGGCGGTGGTGGCGATGCTCGCATTGGACGTCATGGACAGGGTGCGGCTGGCGGGAGATCCGGCGCGGACGCCACCGACGGGCGACATTGACCGCGATCCGGGCGGCGTCAGGGTCGAGGCATAGAGCGAGGCTGCAGCGGAGTTGGGCGTGCTGCGGCGGACGGGCAAGCTGGCTTCGGACTGAGACAGTGGCAATGGCCGGGCGCGGATGGGAAGATCGCTGCCGCCGGCACCGGCGTGACCCAGCGGACCCATGGACGTCTGGCGAATTTTGGGCATTCTTAGGGAAGAAGCTGCCGGGGGCAGCGACTGTATCGACTCGGATAGCGGAGGGACATTGTCGGAAGGCGGCATGAGTGGAGGGAGAGGGGGCCGGAGAGCGAGGATGCGGGTATCGAGGCGGTATAGAGAACGGTAGGAGCCAGTATTGCCGTGGAGTCCTGGTTCGTGGGTAGGGACTGACGTCGTAGGGGGCGATGAAGAATGAAGTCGGATTGGGCGACGGATTGACAGAGGTGGAGCGAGGCCAGGGTGTAACGGACGACGAAGACGGTGATCGGTTTTGAAGTATGGACGAGCGATGTCAAATGACGACAATGGGAACAAGTCGGCTGGCGTGGTTGTACGGCGTGAGGGTGTCGTGCAGAAAGGGCCCTGTTCGTCGTCCAGGATCGTGATGCATCTCAGACTCCGATGGTCCCTGCCCAGCGTACCCTGCGTGTTATCGATAGCGTCACGTGCAGCTGTGGGGCGAGCAGTAGTCGGGCCTAGTTTCAGTGAATGCTCCCTAGTCCGTAGAATTATCTTACAAACGATACCCAAATACAGCGTCTTTAGCGCCTGTGGCAGTTTTTAGTGCCTTAAGCTTTCTTGCGTCACAGAGCTTCCCACATAGACTTGTTTACTTTTCACATTTTCCACGATTGTTTTCTGTCAAGTTTATATTTTATCTTCCATCTATCGAATATTTCTACAAAATTGTACTGATACTGTGTCTACACATGAATCATGGCTTCGTCTATCGTCGTTGCTTACTTTGCTTGTGTTTACGTTTCTGCCGTTTTCCTGTCCTCTATATCGGTTTTTTTTCTGTCTTCGGCCTCTTTCTTTCATCCTCGCCCTCCTCCCGATCGCCGACTCATCTTCCGCCGTGCGGCTCGCTCCAGGATCGGCTCCGCCACAATGCTGTTGATTGCATACTCGGCAGCCTGCCGCATCGCCATGTGTCGGACGCCGTTCAGGCTCTCTGGATGCCGGTGGCCCATGTACGTGTCCACCAGCGCCGCGCCCAGTGCCGCCGTCGCCACGCGCGAGCCCTTGTCGCCGAACCAGCTGCCGGGAGCGCCGTGATTGGTCAGGGCGGCCATGGTGCCCGCACGCAAGGCGTTGCGCGCAGCGGACTCCCATTTGGAGGAGGGCATGGACGGCTCCGCGCGGGTCGACCGCGTCGACGACAAGGCGGATGACGACAGCGTGGACGATGACGACGCTGCGGAAGATGTCGTGGAAGACGCCGTGGATGCCGAAGCGGACGACGAAGTGGACGACGAGGACGGCGGGCCGCGTTTGAGCGACCGGTGGTGGGACCGGTTGGGACTACGATCGTCGTTGCGGCCGGCCGCAGAGCGCGCGCGGGAGGGATATGTCCTCTGGCTGGGGCGACGGTGATGATCACTGTCGTGTCGATCGTGCCCGTAACGGTCGCCATAACGGTCGCCATAACGGTCGCTGTAACTGTCGCGGCTCAGGTCTCGATCGCGGTCATACTCACGGTCACGACCACGGCCACGGCCACGGCCACGAACGTCGTCGTGTTTTGACACCACCCCAACAGCAGAATCGTGGTCTGAAAGCGGCGACGCATCTCTACGACTGTAAGGCGAAGGCGCAGAAACAGGCGAGCATCTGTCTGGCGAGGAGTCTCTGTGGTGGTGGTGGCGGCGATGCTGCTGGATGTGATGGTGCGGCGGTCGCCGTTGGAAGTCGTATTCGTACTTGTCTCCCACGCTTTCAGCAAATGGATCGTCGTCAATGATGCCGAGGCGCTGCAGGAAAGAGGACACGCCTTTCAGGGTGTTTGATGCACCGCGCTGGACATTGTTGTTGCGTCTTTCGGGCGGTTGCCGAGGCTCGCGGCCTCTCGCGCGACCGCGTTCAAGAGCGACACTCGGGGGTCGACGACGACGATATGTGTCAGAGTCGTCTTGTCGCGTATGCGACGCTGGCCGATAGCGACGAGGTGGACTGGCACCTCTGCTGCGGAGCCGTGGCCGCCTGTCGGGCGATGGATAGCGGCGGTTGGCACTCTGCGTGCTATTTCGGCCCGCAGGAGTGTAGCGGAGACGGCTCCGGTCGTTGCCCTGCCCTTGCCCGGTATAAACCGACTTTCCCCTCGGAGGCCTAGCCGAAGCCATGGCCAGACGAGGGCAGACCAGAGGTCGATGTGGTATGTATGACTCCGCAGCTGGTATAAAATATGTGCAACGCGTATGGCAGCCGGTTTCTCGGGAAAGCTGCCGAGGGCTCTCCTGGGAGGAAAAGAGACGATGCTTCGTGCATGAGGCAATGTGGCAAGGGTGCATTTATATGGCCGTTCGTGGTCAGGTTTCGTCCCTCACCTTTTTCGTCTCCTCGTCCTTCTGTCTCCCCATCCATTCTCTTCTCCACGCACCAGTCGTGCTCAGTGTCCAGTGCTCATTGAGCAACCAGGCTCAACAAGTAGGCCAATGGTAGGTGTTACACCAACGACGTGGGCAAGAGGGAAAGGGAGGGCATGGCCAGGTCGCACAGGCTACGGTCTGCCGTGCTTCTTGTTTTACTCTTCTTTTATCTCTCACCCTTTCCGCGGGACGTCGTCTGTCCCGTCTGGGTTGGTTTCTCTTCGTCGCGCGCGTTTACCTCTTCCCATTCGACAGGATCTCTCTGTGACGGCAGGCCCTGGCATTGGCTATGCAGTTGGCTTTCCTGTTGGCAGATGACAGCTTTGGAAAGGTTGCTCGTCGCTCCCATCCAGTAGTGGACCCCAGCTCGTAACAGTCTGTTGGTCTTTCTCCCGAATTTGGAATGACGGTGGAAGCGACCATGGCTCTTATTCTGTCTTTTTCTTTTTTTTTTTTCTTTTATCTTTTTTCAATTTTCAATTTTCAGTTTCGTACAAGTACACTTCGACGTATTCTGTCAAGTGGTCTTCTCGTCTCTGTGACTTGTCCCGTTTAGGAAAATGCAATGGTAGCAAGCGGCCCAACACAGAGACCGTGTAAAGGTTGCATGCATTAGGCAGACGTCATTTGCGCGCATCCCAACGGCTCTTTTCCAATACTCCTTTTATTCGTGCGCCATATCGGTTCTTGTCCGATGTCGTCTTTCTGCTTTGTGACTAGACATGTAGACTGCAGGCTCCCATATTTCCGTATTTTCCATCTTCCTCGCCTTGTCTTTTTTTGTCGCCAATTCGACAGACGGGAGATTATCTTCTTCAAAGGAACCTGTCATTTTGTAGCACGCCATCGCTAGATCTGCTGGCAGTGTATGTTGTATGTAGGGGAGGGAATGCGAAGGTTGTGGACCGGGAACTGTGAGAGAAGAGCAAATAATGCCAAAACGACGTGGAAAATGCCACCCACTGCACTCTTTCCACCGTATGTACAACGTAGCCCACCCTCTATCTTACAAGGACACAGATGTAATCACATCGTGGCACAAGGCTGTGTTCTTGTTGGATCTGTAGGTTATATTGACGAGCCGCTGTTTGCAGCTGTCACCTTTGTTGAGAGTGAGAGTGGTTGAGGGAGGACAAGGCATGTCGAGCAACGTTTTATCTTCCTTCCTATTATCTCATTGGCTCCGTTCGTCGCTCTGATAGCCGAAGTCGGCTCCAGATGCCGTCTTGTGGCATCGTTCTGTGTTGAGGAGGGATCCTCTGTCGTCATTTCTGTGCCGCATCGTCCTGTTTCTTGTCGAGATGCAGGACAGCATCCATCAAAGGGAGCTCTTTTGATACGTGGGCTGATGTCCGTGGCACAGAAGCAAGACTAAGAATCGGCCGGGTTTGGTCCTCTCGCGTGTCCGGTTGCCGTCTGTTGTTGTCCTCACGTGTTTCTTTTGATTCAGAAAGCGGTTGATGTCTACAGCATAGGTTGAGTCTAACAACAAGCCACAACATGACCACTGAGCACAAGAAACCCAAGTGACGTGCAACAGTGAATGGAAAGAGAACGACTTGTGCTCACCAGCTGCTAACTTGTTTGACTCAGCTTTGTATTTCCTTGTTTTCCTTGTCTTTTCTTGCTTTCCTTGTCTTGTCTTGTTTTCCTTGTGTTTTGTATCTCTGTACGCTGCCACTGTCCACTCTCACTACCACTCGCTCTATTTCCTGTCTTCCTTGTGATGTGTTCCAGATCCTTTGCCAAGCCGGCCGTACGTCAGAACGGGGCGCAAGATAGGTACGATCGGCCGAGAAAAGAGTCCAAACAAATGTGGAGGATATTGTATATTGTTTTCGGAGTATGTATTACCCGCGACGTATCGTCGGCTGTCCTTGTGTCTACTCCCGAGTCGCCAACCCTCCTACGCCGCCCGACGCTCCTTGCCGCTGATAATGTACACGGCCGCCCGCAAGTCAATCAACGGGTCCGCCGACGCCTCGACGCCGTCCACGCGCGGCACCGGGTCGAAAATCAAGTACTTTTGCTCCGCCGCCTCGTCGCCGCCGCCGCCGCCGCCGTACAGCCGGTCCAGGGTCACGCGGCCCAGGGTGACGAGCTGGCGCGCGTCGGGCCCCTCCTCGGGCCAGTGCACCGAGCTGTCGTCGGTCACATCGCCGTCCTGGGCGACCTGGGCCACGAGGTCGTACTCGATCGTGTGGCCGGAGCCTTGCGCCAGCTGCGCCCGCACACCGTCGTACAAAAAGTCGGCCGGCTGCGCCTTGGCCGCGTCGGCGTCCAGCGTCTTGTGGCCCGCCACCGGCACGATCCGGTAGCGCACGTACGTCGCCTTGCCGTCGGCATTGGTAAACTTGAAAGCATGGAGGGCGTAGAAGGCCTCGTGCGCAAAGGCCGTGGGCGTCGGCTTGGGCGCGGCCAGAAACGCCTGGGCGGCCGGGTGCGCGGCAATGTGCTTGGTCAGCGTGTCGGGGTCGGTGCCGGCGCCCTTGACGGCACGGAAAAAGGCGAGCGCCTCGTCGGGCGTCGCGGCGGGGAAAAAGGGCACGCTGTGGCCGATGATGTCCGTGTGTTTGCGGCGGGGCGTTTCGGCGAGCACAAAGCGCAGGGCAATGGCGCGGGGGTTGCCGTTGGGGTCGGAGTCGGGCAGCGTCGGGTGGCCCGACGACGAGGAGAAGCGCACCAGCACGGGCGTGCCGGCGGCGTTGGTAAAGTGCGGTGCACGCGACAGAGACGCGGCGGCGGGCGTCGGGACAAACGTGCCCTGCACCAGCAGGCCCTTGGCGTGAGCTGGCCGGAAGCCTGGTTTGGGCCCGCCGGCGAGGTCCTTGAAGACGCCGAGGATGTCCTTGGCGGACTCGTTGGTCTTGGGATCGTCAGAAAGAGGCATCGTGACGGGGTGTTCAGGTGGTTGTGTGTGGTACGGTGGCTTTTGCTGGGTGCCTTGTACGTGAGGAGAGCAAATGTGTGCAAGTGGTCTTGGGGCTACGGCATGAGATTGCTGTCTACGTCGTCGAATGCGGGACGACAACCTCTTATACATCAACGCTTGCCATCTTTGTCGAGAATGCCGTCATCGCGTGGCGGCCCCTCAAAGGCATTTGCAGATAACGAAACTCAAATACCACCCTTTCCGTCTGTCTGGGCGACATGCGACTTGCAGTGGCCATCGCAAATCAGTGACCGACGATTGGCTGCGTGGAGCGCGACGGCTGCACGAGCATGCCATTGTTGCCGTTGTGGCACACCATCTCGCAAAACGACCACGACGCTGCCGGCTTTGAGACTATACGGATGGTGCTGAGTGAGAACGTAAACGGACGAGCTAGGGGTCTAGACCCAATACTTAATTTGTCAACGGACGGGGAGCTGTCAGCTTTTAGTGTGCGCGCCCATGTCTCGTCCGTATAAGTCAGGGATCGTGTTTCATGGCGGCGAGTTGTGATGCCGGCAGGATTGCCATGCATTTGATTTTGTTCCATGTATGTAAAATGTATTGCAGTCAGGAATTAAATTGAAAAACCTATAGTAAAGGGGGCAAAGGAAGGAAAGAAGGGTGAAGGAATAAAAACGACAACGAGGAAAGCAAGAAAGAAAGTCGAGACTGTTTTCCAACCGAAATGGACGAACAGCTCTAGAAAGAAAGCAAGTTAAGTGCAGAGGGTGGAAAAGGACTTTTTATGCTGGGCCGTGGTGTTTTCTCTAGTCTTTGTCTCGTCTCTTTCACTTATCCTGCTCTCTTCTCGTTCTTTGTTTTCTTTTTTCCCTCCCCTCGCCTCCCCTCGTCTCTCTGTCCTATGAGTTTGTCCTCTCTTACCATGTGAGTGATGCCAATACGCTATGCTCGGATCCCAAGTTGAAGGTGCCCCACCGCCATCCTTTGATGTTTGTTTTTATTTTTGTTTGTTTTTGCTTATGATTGAGATTCTTTTGCTTTCACCATCGCCTACAATGGAGGCGCCCGCGGATCCATCATGCACTGGTCCACCCGCATGAGCTGCTTGCCCGTGGCCTTGGCCAGCTGGATAAACTGGCGCAGGTACTTGACGGTGTTGGGGTACAGGTAGTGCATGACGACGAGGTTGCCGCCGTTGCCTAGGTCGCGCTTGAAGGCGTCGAGCTGCTTCTCGGGCGTCGACGACAGGCCCCAGAGCCAGTCCTCGACGTCGACGCTCCACATGACAATGTAGGGGTCCGTCACGTTGAGCGCGAGCGCCAGCCGCTGGCGCATGCGCGCGCCCTCGGTGCCAAACGGCGGCCGGAAGTAGGGCGTGTGCATGCCGTTGAACGTCTTGGAGACGGCGGCGATGTCGTTGTTGTACTCCCAGTCGATGGCCGCGTAGTCGGCGAGCCCCTCCATCTTGGGGTGCGTAAACGAGTGCAGCGCAATCTGGTGGCCGCGCGCCTGCATGTCGAGGTAGACGGTCGACAGGTTCGTCGACGGGTCCTCGAGCGGCAGGCCGACGGTGAAGAAGGTGACGTTGATGTTCTCCGACTTGACAATCTCGACGACCTGCTGCGCGAGCGCCGGGTCGCCGTCGTCAATGGCAAACGCAAACGAGTTGGGCCGCTTGCACGCAAACACGAGGTTGCCCGACGGCAGCTTGTTGGGGATCGTCACGTCCGCCGGCACCGACGGCACGATCTCGATGCGCTTGAGTGTCGTCGGCGCGAGCGTGTAGAAGCCCTTGAAGGCGAACGTCGTGACCCGGCTCAGGTCCACGTTGAAGTGCGCGATGGGGATGTAGATGTCCGTGTCCGTCGCGTACCGGCTGGCCTCGAGCGAGTCCCACGTCTCCGGGTACGGCGCCGCGTCCGGGTTGCAGTCCGCGTTGGCCTGCTGCAGCGAGATGGAGAACTTGTTGCTGCCGCTGTACGGAATGTGCAGGTACGCGTCCTTGAACGCCGTGATGTCCGCGCACTTGTCGGCCAGCGACGAGTACCACGCGAGGTCCGAGTCGTTGGTCTGCAGCCGCACCGTGTTGGCCTGGATGACCGACGTCACGCAGTCCTCGTCGCAGCCGTGCCACTGGCCGAGCGCGTTGCTGTCCTCGTTGCCAAAGTGGTCAATCAGCAGCGACGTGTGCGCGGACCCCGTCTCCGCCGGCGCCGGCACCGAGTACTGCGACTGCGGGTTGACGGGGTGCGCCGGCGCCGGGAACTCGGACACGCGCGTGCCGCAGTAAAACGCCATCGGCCCCAGCGTGATGGGCGCCGTCAGGGACGAGAAGTAGATCATGGACACCTTGGCGGGGTCGACACGGCCAAACTTGCTGAGCGGGAACGAGTACGCGCGCAGGCTGCCGTCAAACGTCCAGCCCAGGTCGGCCGTCGACAGCGTCTGCTGCTGCGTGTAGTTTCCGCTGCCGCACACGTCGACCGACGACATCTGCACCGAGAACTGCGTGCCGCGCGCCGCCTTGATCCGGAGCGACACGCCGCCGTACGCGTCCACCGTGTCCACGCACGGCATCTGGCTGTACAGGTACGAGTCCGTGTTGACCGGCGTGATCGACACCGTGTTGTCGTTGTTGACCACAATCGACTTCATCGTGCCGTCGTCGCTCGACGGCTGGTACATGGAGTTGTAGTACAGGAACGTCAGCCGCGACTGCGACTCCCAGTCGTCGATCAGCAGGTCGGTGCACGAGTCGGCCGACGTCGGCTTGGGCCGGTACGTGGTCGAGCTGATCACGGGCCTGCGCGTTGTCGTGGCGATGGGGATGATGGTGGTTTGGGGGATCTTGGAGGTGTGGGGGTGGGCAGGGCTGCGGTTGTCGTCCGCGCCGGCCCGGCGAAGCCGTTCAAGCCGGTGCGCGTTGGGGGGCACGGCGGCCGCTGTTGAAGAGGCCGCCGCAGGGTATGTGAGGGCGGCATAGGAGACACGAGAAGGAGACGAAACGGGAACAGGCGAAACAAGCGAAACAGACTGCGACAAAACACGAGAAACAAACGTGGACGGCCCGTCCACCGGCGACGCCGTGCGGCTCCTGTCAAAGAGCCCGGGCACGTCCTGGACGGAGGGCGTCGCCGGCGCCTGTGCAGAACTAGGCTTCAAATCGGGTGGCTCTAGAATAGTTAGACGTCTTGTCCGTACGAACACCGGGTACAAAAGTATGGCCTCGAAACCAACCCCCTCTCCCCCCCCCGACTCACCTTGGACCGCCCGCGCCTCAAGGTTGCGGCACACAAACTTGAGATCGCTCAGCGTGTAGGCCCCAACCTTGCTGAAGCTGGCAAACACCAGCCCCGTAATCGCGTCCAGGTTCGACGCCTCGTAGACGCCCAGGTCCAGCGTCACCACCTGCTGCGTCCCCGTCAGGCCCGAAATCTCAAACCACTCGCTCGTGTAGTTGGACGAGCTGCAGCCCCCCGACGCCGCCGGCACCGTCTGCAGCTCGAGCGTAAAGTCCGTGCCCGCCGGGTATGTCAGCGTGAACTGCAGGCCGCCGTACCCCGACGACTGCGCCTTCTGGCACGGGAACGTCTCGTAAAAGTACGAGTTGGCGTCCCTGGGCGTGAACTGCAGGATGCCGCCGGACGCCGCGATGGACGCCATGCTCTGGTCATCTGTGTGTGTTAGGGGAGGTGTTTTTTTCTATTGTGTTTTTTTTTTTTTTTTTGTCTATTTTGTATTTTTCTTTTTCCGCAATACGCACCACTCGCCGGTTGGTTCAGGCTGTTGCTCAGGCTGGCAAAGTTGGCAAAGTTGTCAATCTGTAGGTCTGACGTGCACTGCGCCGCGGCTTCGGCGCGCACGCCGGCCACGAAAAGGGCCGCGAGGAGCTGCTTGGCATACATGGCGAGAGTTGGTGATGGTTGTAACGGCGAGCCTGGAAGACAAGGAGGGAGAAGGAAGAGAAAGGAGAGAGAGAAAAAGGAGAAGGAGAAAAGGAGGGAAAAGAAGGAGAGGCGACAGGGACACAGTAATATGATAGACTGCACCGACAGCTAAGATATATACTCTGCAATGGCACGACGAAAAGTGGCAGTGGGCAGTCGCCAGAGCCGCGGAGCCGAGCGATTCCAAACCAGACAGTAGTTTTCTCATGGTGCTTTACAGATCTTGATTAATATTATTCGTATAATTGCCTGTTAGATATATCTTGATTTTGTCTTATGAGATACTGTTTGTCTCTCCCCCTGCAAAGGACCCTTGTAGCCTCTTTGGATAATTGCTCAGGAACGCTCTCATGGCATTGAGATCCGTTTTCAATGTCCGTTTTCAATTCCGTTTGTTCAGTTGCTCTTGCGGATGCCACTTCAACCTGCCAAAACTATCAATATCTCTATCAATATCTCCAAAGGGACAGAATAATAAAAAAAAGGAATCGGCTGAATGACGCAATATAAACAACCGTCATCTGCGTAACCTGCGGAAAGATTTTCGGACAGCCCAAAACCGCTCTCTCCCAACTCTCTCCCAATATCGAAACCTCTGCCGTGTTCGACCGCCCACCCATACTACCACACCAACAGTGAAAGGGCTGCAAAACAAGCCTTGCCAAGACTCGCAAAACGGTTGTTTGTGTCTGCCCCTGCCTCCTGGCGAGATTCTACACAATTTATTCGCATTTATTTATGTTGCGCAGTGTCGTCGCAGCCCCCGTCTGGGCCTGGCCATGCTGTTTGCCAAGACGAACGGAGTGTTTGGGCTTTGGAGTTGGCGTTGAGAAAAGAACACGTTGGTAGAATTGCTGGGCAAAAAAGAGGTACATCTTGGAGCAAAGCAAACGTATTGTAACATGATTAGGCACTTTTATTCTTGTGAGAATGCTTGAAATAAAAAATGTTATGATTATTTTCTGCTTTTTAACTTTTAATTTTTAATTCTATTTTCAAAAAAAAAAAAGCTTTTATGTTTCTTGAAATGTTCAGCAATACGGATTAAAACATTAGAATAGAGTCTGTTAAATAGGCACAACTCCATTGAACGGGAGATGGCTCCAGATCCCAGATGGACCCAAATCATCCACTCGGGAAAAAGGCGGAGCCAAGAAGATCATCGGAAGCACGTCGTAGACCTAGACACAGGAACAATTGGAAGAAACGGTGCCAAGCGGAAAACGAGGCTCGGCGAAAGTGCATTTCCGAAGACGCTTCATTTGCGTGCTTAGGCGAGAATCATAGTGGTACGTGGTATATGTGGTATGTAACATAGGTATACGCAGTATGTTATAAAATCATACCGATCGACAGCGGCACAGTGAGCCGCGTCGGCCGACTTTTACCTGTGCAAACTCCCGCGATATTCTTCCAGAACAGGCACAGGAACAGAGGCTGTGCCTGCAAACGGACCAGGCCCTGCGCATATGGAACGTAGCAGCAGACCACCAGAGGCGACCGCCAGGGCGAGGCGACGCGTGTTCAAGTATAAATGGATGCATGCACGTGAAAAGAGACGACAGAGGGAGAATGTGATAAGGAGAGCGTCGTTTTGGGGAGAGAAGGAGAGTAAAAGATACAACGCACATATGGCGGACGCACTTTGCGTATACCAAACCAGGCAGGCGTATCTGCTCTTGACCTCTTCTTGGCGTTGATCTGTTGATCCCATCTGCGGCTTCGTGATACACAGTCCTCGCGGACAGAATATCTCGACACTGGTTTCTCCTATTCAAGTATCCGCATACGCTCGGTTTCTCTCTGCCGGCGATGATTATGTGAATGTGACCACCGTCACGACATGCTCTCCTTGTCTGCAACGTATCGACTCTCACAACGACCCCGTGGACGCATTGCCGATAGTGGCTCGTATGAATATGCCCTTTTCGTAAAGTAGGGTTAGAATCCCCTCTCTAGCTGCACCATCCCTGCGTCCCCGTTTCTATCCCAGGTCCTTCTTGCCATCCCCCACACATATTGGCCTGGCCTTGTCAGCAGTGACGCAACCGGCATCTTTTCGCCGTGTATACCACGGGCCCGTCGAATGGGAAAGAACGAGCAGAGGGAGGGAGCAAATGCACATGCAAATGCAAACAACCCTAACCCATCCCTTCCCTACCCATTCCCTCATACCCCAATGTCCCGCCCAAGCTGCGCAATCAGTCCTGCAATCCGTTCCGACACCTCTGTTGTGCGCGGGATGTCATGTCCGCCACCATGATCGTACATTTTGCGCACCCGGCTCGCATGCGCCAGCTGCAGTGCGGCAGGATATCGTGGATCCCGGCTCCCAAAGACGTGCACTGTCGGTATTGTCAGGAACAAGTCGGCCGGGAAAGGGCCCGTGGCCGTAAAGTCCATGCCGAAGACGTCCTCGTCGGACGGCAGCGGCGCGCCCAGCTCGTGCACCAGGCCCGAGGTGTCGTCCCACAGCCCGACGCCGCGTTGGATCTGGTCCGGCTGGGACGCCAGCTCGCGAAACAAGCGTGTCTTGGCGTGCAAGGCCTCCGCGGACCGCTTCTCCAGCGCCAGCACCTCGGGCGGTATGGCCACGCCGAGCGCCGCGAGCGAGGTAAAGGACAGACCACCACACACAAAAATGGCGGCGCGAAACGGCAATGGCGGGCTGTTTGCGCCAACCGAAGAAGACCGCGGCGCCGATCCGAGGTCGCGGGCCCGGTGCATCAGATAGCTCGAAATTAGGAGGCAGCCCTGCGAGAAGCCCATGAGCGCGTCGTATGGCCCGTGGGCGGCCAGGTAGTCGTCGAGCCAGGCATGCGCCGAGCGGATGGACTGTGCCGATTCTGTCGGCCACCAACTATACGCCCCGCTGCCGGCATCAAAGAGCTTGTCCACCCCGGGCGCCGACGTGGATGCGAACGGGCCATCGACGAAATCAAACACATACGAGGCGTCCAACTTGGCACGGAGGGCCGCTGTTGACTCTTTTGTTAGATCATGTTCCGCACCGACCTGCTTGCTGTCTATGTCCTCCCAGGAGCCAAGTACGCACCCGTTTGCGACCGGAAGATGTCGCCGCTCGTGCCCTTTCCGTGAAGGCAGAGGATTCTCATATTGGCTGGCAGGGGTGGTGGTGTCGTGGGGTCTTTCGCCGTTCCAGGGTGGGATCGTCGCGGGTCTGGCCGCAGGCTGTAGCCAGTGGTTTTTAGCACACTGGAGTACGCTAAATGTCCTAAATCGAGCCGTTGGTACTGGGTCGTCGCTGTGATGTATTGTCTCTTCAGGATTCACACTTTTGAAGCCGTTGGGCTTTCTAGAGAATTTTTTTTGGTTCGCCTTCGGATGATTCTGGATCGCTCCTGCTGTTTTCCCCAGTCTTTACGTTGCCCAGGCAGCTCAAATACGAGTACCAGCATTTCGGGTGTCCGGCATGGCGATTGTCCGAGTTCAGAAGGTACCGCTGGAAAAAACAAGTGGATGGGTTTGTGGCCGAGGACACGCTAGTCCGAATCGGGAGACTTGTCTCCGGATGTCGCACGTCTGTCAAAAATATCAAATCAGGAAAGTGCCGAATCTTCCGACGATCGCGCTTTCCATTTTCCATCTCCATGCCATGTCGGGAACTTGACGTCGAAAAGGAGGCTCGACTCAGTCCTCAATTCAAACAACGACCGATATCCTCGACGACGCACATACTGCTGCGGCTACCAAATAGACCCGTACAATGCCCCGTCCTGCCCGGAAATCGCCACAGACGCCGATGCTTGGCGACACGCCAGCACCGCCAACACCACAAACCACGACTGCACGCACGCCCGTCGCTGGCACGCCAACTGCTGTGGCCTACTCTTGCGTGGCCTGCAAACAGCGCAAAGTTCGATGCAGCCGCCAGTTTCCCTGCGCCGAATGCGTGCGCATGGACGTCGAATGTGTTCCGTCTTCCAGGAAACCGTACGCGTCGCGGAAGCGGAGACGGGGCCAAGACGAAGCCGAAAGCTCCGAGCAGCCCCGGCCGCACAACCATCTGGTATCGCGTACCGTGGATACTCCGCGAGAACAAATGGGACCAGAACGCCGACAGACTGATGCGACCACCGAACGGCCTACGCTTCTCGCCTTTGGGCAGTACGTTTACAGGTGGCCTTGCCCCCCTCCGTGCTGCCAGATTGCTAACATCTGCCAAGACATTTATGGACAGGACTGCCAGAAGATGTACGTATGGCGGACGGCAACAACAACCAGACACGACTACGTTGGCACACAACCATGCTGAAGGTTTTATCGTATGCCCCTGCTGACTGATTTGTAGTTCCGCGAGCCACAATCTGTCGAGACGCCGGCTTCCGATGGCCGATCCGCGCCGCCTGTCGGTTCCGAGGCAACGCCACTGACAGATGCTAGTACTTTACTATTTGGTCAAAGCGTTGCCGGGTTCTCAAATGCCAGTCTCAGAAATGCACACCCACAGCCGGTTCACGCGTTTTCACTTTGGCAGACATATCTTCACAGCATCAATCCCCTGTCCAAGGTCATCTACGCGCCACAGGTGCAGGATCTCGTAATCCAGGCCGCAGGTAGCTACGACAGTCTCTCGACGGTCAACATTGCGCTGTTGTTTTCCATCTATGCTGCTGCGGTCTCGGCCATGTCCGAGGCCGATTGCGAGGCCAAGCTCGGCGAGGCCAAACAGACTCTTCTGGAGCGATACCTTTCGTGTGCTCAAAAAGCCCTGGCCGCTGCCGGTTTCATGCGTTATACGAACCTGGCCCTCGTCCAGGCATTCACTATCTTTTTGCTTGCTGCACGACAGAGCTACGATGCAAGTTCTATGTGGCTCTTGACGGGTATGGCCTTGCGGATGGGGCAGCGGCTTTTGGCGACGGTGCCTGCCAAGTCGACCAAGACGAGCGATGTCAATGGAAACCGTCACAGTATTAGGCCTAGAGACAGAAACAAAAGTGGCAAGCCAGAGGCTCCAAGTTTCTTCGAGACACAAATGCGCCTGCGCGTGTGGTGGCAGATCTTGCTGATTGATGGGCGTGTCGCTCAGTTGTCTGGCCAATCACGTATTGTATACAGCGCACTGCCCGACTACCCGCTGCCGGCCAACCTCAGCGACAGCGACATCAATCCCGACATGGTGAGCCCCCCTCCACCTATCGAGGACCGCCCTACGGAGATGGTATTTTGTCTTCTGCGCTACGAGATGGGCAAGTTCATGTTCGCCAAAGGCAGCCTGCTCAACGACCCGACATCCAAGATGGCCGATCGCGACGCCGCCATTGACGACATCGCCGCGTACTTCAAAGAAAAGTTCCTCGATCATCTCGATCCAGCCATTCCGCTTCACCACATTGCTGAGGCTGGTGCTCACGCTGCGGTCGACAAAATGCGTCTCATGGCCCACCACCCGGGCCAATATCCAGACAAGGGCAAGTCGATGCCGCAAGCCGAGCACGACATGCTCTTTAAGACGAGTATCGACATGGTTGACATTCTCGTTCAAGGGTTCGACGCACGGTACCTTGAGCACTTTAAATGGCACATTGACGTCTACTTTCAGCTCGATGCAGTTGTCTTTATGCTGATCGAGTCGCAAAGTCAGCCACCCGAGAGCGAGCTCGTCAACAGGGCGTGGGAGCTCGTCGCGTCGGTGCTGCATTTCAAGCGCGACCTCGTGCAGGAAGACGACGAATTGGGACGAGCGGTGCGGCAACTCGTCTTCCGAGCTTGGGAGTCCCGTGAGCGTCGGGCGCGGAAGCAGAACCCAGGGGCGGCACTACCTACGCCGCCTGCTTCTGTGGCACAGCTGTTCTCAGAAATGCGACAGAGAAGGAGGGCCGCGCAGACGCAAACAAATGGAGAAGGACCCTGTGCGAAGGACAACATATCTGGACCCGACGGCGACGGTGAATCCGCTCAACAAGTAAGCCCTGGTAGCACGGCTGTTGAGTCTGCAGCCGTCGTTTCGACAATGCACGAAACATTATCGGAGCTAGCACCACTGCCGGACTTACAATACTCTGGACCTGGGTCCTCCAGTCTTGACACGTCGCCATTTTCGTCGTACAACGATGTCGACTTGCTGGGCTGGGAGACGATAGACTGGGACTCGTGGGGCTACTGGAACCAGCTCCTGCAGGGCCAAGCCTGATGTTGGATAGTTGATTTCCATTGCAAAGGAACAAGAGTCAAAAGCAATCGGAGGGGAAATAAGCTGATAATGTCCGAGCAAAAGTGACGAAAAGACAGCAAAGAAACCGATTCGGAGTATTCAATCTCAATCTTCCGTGGCGATCAGTCGGATTAATTTACGCAGTGCTTACTTTTGCGATTTTGGTGACAGCGCTTCAGGAATTTGGCAGCCTGACCTGTAAGTCGGCATTTTCGGACATTTGGTTTAGTGGATGTTTTTATTGTACACACAATCGGAGATTTCGGTCATTTGAGTTTCCTCCTTTTGATCACCACGGTCCTCTATATTTCAAGGGGACGTCCATTTCTTTCGTTTCGTCCATCCAGACTTTCTTCAAACATCTGTTTCTTTCTTTATATATTCTATAGGTTCTTCCCGCCTATTCTTCGTTTTTGTCAAGACCATCAACTACAAACAGCAACTTACACATGTCTTATATCGAGATGGAATCCAGACCAACGACGGCCGCAACCAACGGCCTAGAAAAGCAACCCCAGGGCCAGCTCGACAATGACAAAGTCCGAACTGAAAATGTGGTTGGAGATGGGGACGCCCCTTCTGAGAAGACAGCAGAGCAAACATACCCACCCCTGAGGACTGTTCTTGTTGTGATGGCCGCTCTCTACCTTGCCATGTTCCTTGTGTCTCTTGTGAGTATCCACCCTGCCCCCGATTGAATTTGTTCGTTTAGAAACTGATCTGTTGCTAACTTTCTTTCTTCAGGATCGTATCATTATTGCCACGGCTATCCCTCGCATCACTGACGAATTCCACTCCATCAACGACATTGGCTGGTACGGCAGCGCCTACGTTCTATCCAGCTGCGCAACGCAGCTGCTCTTCGGCCGCATCTATGCCTTTTACAAGAACAAGGTTGTCTTTCTCGCCGCCATTGTGCTCTTCGAGGCTGGTTCGGCTCTGTGTGGAGCGGCGCCCAACTCGGTCGCCTTTATCCTGGGCCGTGCGCTGGCTGGTGCCGGTTCGGCGGGCGTCATGGCCGGTGCCATTGTCCTGTCGATCCCGCTCGTGCCGCTGGACAAGCGGCCCATGTTCCAGAGCATGCTCGGTGCCATCTTTGGCGTGTCGTCTGCGATTGGCCCGCTCATCGGTGGCGCGTTCACCTCGAATGTGCACTTGACCTGGCGCTGGTGCTTCTACATCAACCTGCCGATCGGGGGCGCGTCGATTGTGCTCATTCTGCTCTTCCTTCACCTGCCCCAGCCGCCGCGCTCCCATGCGCTGCCTGCCCTCGAAAAGGCCAAGCGCATGGACCCCATCGGCACGCTTCTGTTCACGCCGGCCGTCGTGTGCTTCTTGCTCGCCCTCGAGTGGGGTGGCACGGTGTACGCGTGGAACAGCGGCCGCGTGATTGCGCTGTTTGTGGTCTCGGGCGTGCTGTTTGTGGCCTGGGTCGCCAGCCAGGCCTGGCTCGGCAGTGAGTATGCCACAGTGCCCGGGCGCATCATCCGCCAGCGGTCGGTCATGGCGGGGTTTGTCTTCTCCATGTGCAACGGCGGCGTGCTGCTCTCGTTTACCTACTACCTGGCCGTCTGGTTCCAGGCCATCCAGGGCGTCGACGCACTGCAGTCGGGTATCCGGTCGCTGCCGTTTGTGCTGGCGCTCGTGGTCGCGTCCATCATCGGCGGCGGTCTCACCACGCGTTTCGGATACTACACGCCCTTTGCCATTGCCTGCTCGTGCCTTTTGTCCATTGGCGTCGGTCTCACCACCACGCTGCAGGTCGACAGCGGCCACAGCATGTGGATTGGGTACCAGGTGGTGGCCGGCCTGGGCATGGGCTTTGGCATGCAGATGTCTAGCCTGGCTGCGCAGACGGTGCTGGCGCCGCCGGACGTGCCCGTGGGTGCCTCGCTCATGTTCTTTGGCCAGGGCCTGGGCGGCTCCGTGTTCTTGTGCGTGACGCAGAGCATCTTCTTGCAGAAGCTGTTCCAGGACCTGTCCACGGTAATGCCGGCCGAGGCCGCGCGGCAGCTGGTCAACACCGGCGCCACGGCGATCCGGTCGGCCGTGTCGGCGAGCTTGCTGCCGGCGGCGCTGGTGGAGTACAACAAGGCCCTGACGACGGCATATTACGTGCCGTTGGCAGTGGCCTGTTTCGGTATTGTTCCAGCGCTGTGCTTTGAGTGGAAGAGCGTCAAGAAGGCGCGGGAGGCCATGATGGCGGGCCAGAAGCCGGCTGCTGCCACTACCGCCAAAAACGGCGAGGATGCCAGCAGCGCTGTATAGATTGTTTTCCAAGGAAGGGGGCTTACCGAGTAACACAATGTGTTTAATAGAAGTAGAATTAGACAACCCTAGAATAATAGAAACCATACCACTCCGTCAAAAAAGCATACCATGGACAGTGCAACGTGAACAGTAGAAATGTAAACCATAAGCAGTAAAGTCATAAAACGCCACAACTATGCAAAGGATATATCGTCGCAAACAAAACACACGTTACCACTGAGAGTGCAGCCGTCTCTCACCTGCCAGAAAAACACATAGCCGTACTGCACTCAGTTTGCCGGCAGCGGCTCTTCGGCCTTGAGCGACAGATTGCGCAGGCTCTTGGTGGTCTCTTCTTCCAGCTCTTCTTGAGTTTTTGGGGCCTCTTGGCGAACGTTGTCGGGGACAGCGCCAGCAGCCTCCAGTTTTCGCCGGGTCACTTCGGCTTCTGCCTTTTGGGTCTCCTCCTTGCCCTTCTGCGCGGCTGCTTCGGACGCCTGCTGCTCCTCCTTTTCGAGCGCCGCCAGCTCGTCGTCAATCTCGCCCTCGTCGACGACCATGCCATTCGCCGACGTCGGGTCGACCAGGATGCGGTTGATCTCATCGGCGGCATCCATCTGGTCGCGCAGGCGATCCACGACCTCCTCGACGCCCTCGGCGCCGCCGACCTGTGCATTGAGCGACTTGAGAGCGTCGGCACTGGCGGCCATGGCCTGGACGACCTGGACCTGGCCCGAGGCCTGCTCGATCTGGCTCGCCGTGGTTTCGAGCTGTGCGAGCGTCGCAAAGCGTGTCGTCAAAGCACCCTCGGCCTGCTTCTTCTGTTTGAGGGCCGCCAGCGCGGCCACGCGGTTCTTGCGCAGAACCGCGTCGCGCGCCGCGACGGTGAGGTTGTCGATGCGTTTGCTGAGGACGCCTGTCTGATGCGTCAATGAGTCGATCAGTTCCCGCAGCTGGGCGACGGCGCGGTCTTCTTCTGTGATGACGTTGCCGTGGTCAGAGACGGTCGATGCCCCGCGCAGCTTGACGACGTGGCCGTCAAAGACGACCAGGTTCTTGTCCCGCGACAAGAAGGCGAGCAGGACATTGAGGTCCATGTCCGAGAGGCGCGGCTGCTCCACGGCCGACCCGACCGGGAGACCGCTGTCTTCGGCGAGGACGGCGCCCGGCGCTGAGAACATACGCTTGAAGTGAGCGACGGACCATACGTGCTCAAATGGTGACTGTGCGTCGGCCGTCTTATCGGCAAACGCGGCAGCCGCCGTCTCGACGTTGGCCAGCACAACATGCTGATCGGGCGCAAGACGGCCGCCGCCCTGAAGCAATGAGAAGGCCGCTGCGTTCCCAGCTGCGGCCGCGTTTGCCTTCTGCTGCACCTGGCTGTTGCCCTCGATCACGCCCAGCCGATGGAGGCCCCATGACACTGCGTGCCACGGCAAGCCCGCGGCCCATGCGGACCACGACCGCCGGTTGTAGATGCTCTCCTTGGCCCGCAAAAAGGCCTCGAGAGGCACGAGGTCACGCTCCAGCACAGCCTCCTGAATGACGGCATCCAAAGCCAGCGGCCGTCCGTAGCGGTCGCTTTGCAGGGCGTCGAGGAGAGGCTGGCCGGCCGCGAGAACAAGGAAGCTGCGGGCGGCCGTCGACGCTGTGCTTGCCGAGGGTGTGCCCTTGGACTTGGACGGAGCGAGCACAGCTGCCGTTGCCGGGAGCATGCCGCCACGAACGAGCGAGCCGAGTGCGCGGCGCCAGGCGGCGACGTTGGCCGCATAGCCCTCAGGGTTGGTCGTTCGCAGGCTGCGGAAGTCGGAATAGAGCGCGGGCAGGCGGGAGCGTGTGAAGCCGTCCTGTTGCGCGATGAGAAACTGGATGCGCTGCGCGTTGGTGGCCATCGTGAGGTGCGATGCAGTCAAGGCCGGAAATGAAGGGACGAACGACGAGCGAGATGGCGGGATGGCCCGCGTATGGACGCGTTTTATTCGTCGGCAGAGAGCCGTGTCAGGCAACACAGGGGAAGTCGAGATCGAGAGCCGGGAGCGTCCCAGGGTCTGTTGCCTGAAGCTGTCCCGCGATGATGCAGGGATGTTTTTGTTTGGTTTCGGTCGTCGGGTGGCAGGCCTTGGAGTGGGGCTGTTATCGCCTGTAAATTTGGGCCTGTTTTCTCTTATCGGCGCCCGTCTTTGGGCGGTTTAGTGTCTAGCACGTGCTATCGCGTTTGGCGTTGTGGGGCGTATCAGTACGGTGAGCCGCTCTGACGTCGACGCTCGTTCCTTTCCAATATTGCCAAGAGCAAAACCGTCTGTGTCTTCGCAAACCACTTTCATAACTACACATTACGATATGCTCTTCTCATGACCACCCATCACCTGGCATGGCTGTGCTGAATTCTACTGTCGACAACCCGGCGGACGCCACAAGTCTGGCCAGCAGCTATAGTACCGGCACCCTCCCAGGCGGCCATGCGGCGGGCACGGGCACGACCACCCACCACAGCTCGAACAACGTTCCCTCCAACCAGCCCTTTCCACAGCTGCGAGACAATGCCAGTGCCGATGTAGACAGTGACGGCGACCCGGAGCGGTCGGCCGAGACGGGGGCGTCGATTGCCAAGACGCTCAAGATGACCAAGGCGACGGACGCCGGCGCTGGTGCAGGCGACGATAACGACGACGACGAGGACCCGGCTGTGGCTCGGCCTTTTCTGCGAACCGCGAGTCCTGACAATGGCGGTGGAAGGGGTGGAGACAATGACGACGACGACTACGAGGAGGAGGGAGACGAAGGTGCGAGCGACGGCGAGGACAATGATGGCGACGGAGATGAGGCATTCACAGACGATGACGAAGACGCTGAGGAGACGCTGGGCGAAGAAGAGACAGCGCCCCAAAGCAGAGCGAGTCCGACTGAGGCAGAGGCAGGTGCTGATGGCGACGCTGCTCGACGGGCCGGTGCGTCCAGTCGTGCCGGCGGTGATCGTGCCCGACGGCGGGCGGGCCACGCTGCTCGCGCGGCCAAGGCTGCCCGAACAGCACGCGCAGCCGCCACGCACGAGCGCATGGGCCACAAGATGCACAAGTTCACGCTCTACGAGACGGCCAGCCGGTACTACATTGTCGGCGAGGATGTCACGGGGCGGCGGTTCCGTGTGCTCAAGATTGACCGCACGACGGCGGCTGACGACACCGAACTGGGCGTAACCGACGACAAGATCTTTTACAGCCAGAAAGAGATGGTGCAGCTACTGGACACAATCGACGACGGCAACCGCGGGACCGGCGGCATCAAGCTGCGCTGCACGACCTGGGGCCTGCTGGGCTTCATCCGGTTCACGGGGCCCTACTACATGATGCTCATCACAAAAAAGTCGACCGTGGCCGTCATTGGCGGCCACATCGTCTACCAGGTTGCCGGCACCGAGTTGATTCCATTGACACCCGGACGCGGGGCCAACACCAACACGAGCGTCGGCAGTGGCGGCGGGAGTGGTGGAGCCGGCGGAAGTACGGCGGCCGGGGGCGGTGGAGGCAGCAGCGGTGGCAATGATGGCGGCCACAGCACGGGCAGCCCCGGTGCCACACATGCCGATGAGGTGCGCTTCCTCAACATCCTCAACCACGTCAACCTGACGCAGTCGTTTTATTTCAGCTACTCGTACGACATTACGAACACCTTGCAGCACAACATCACACAGGAGCGTGCGGCGCTGGCGGCTGGCCGGCGCTGGTCCTGCGACGAGGCGCACAACACGATGTTCGTGTGGAACAGTCACCTGCTGCAACCGGCCGTCGACGCGCTTGCTTCGCCGTTTGACTGGTGCCGCCCCATCACACACGGCTATATTGACCAGGCGTCCATCTCCATCTATGGCCGCACCGCCTACGTGGCCATTATCGCGCGGCGGTCGCGCTACTTTGCCGGTGCCCGGTTCCTCAAGCGAGGCGCCAACGACCTGGGCTACGTGGCCAACGACGTCGAGACGGAGCAGATCGTGTCGGAGGCCAGCACCACGTCCTTTCACTCGCCGGGCCGTCGCCTGTTTGCCAACCCGCAGTACACCTCGTATGTGCAGCACCGCGGCAGCATTCCGCTGTACTGGACGCAGGAGAACACGGGCGTGACGCCGAAGCCGCCGATCGAGCTTAACCTGGTCGACCCATTCTATAGTGCGGCGGCCTTGCACTTTGACAACCTATTTGCGCGGTATGGCGGCCCCATCTACGTGCTGGACTTGGTCAAGTCGCGCGAGAGCACACCACGCGAGAGCAAGCTGCTTGTCGAGTTTACGCGCGCCATCCAATACCTCAACCAGTTCCTGCCGCAGGACAAGCACATCATCCACCACGCCTGGGACATGTCGCGCGCCAACAAGAGCCACGACGTCAACGTGATCCGCGTGCTGGAGGAGATTGCCGAGACGGTCGTGGCCACGACAGGCTTCTTCCGGAACGGCGAGGGCGATGGCACGAACATGCCTCCCCCGTCACCATCGGCAGGAACCGAAGACGGCGCCCTCAACTTCCCGCAACGAGCCCGCGTACAAAACGGCGTGGCACGCACCAACTGCATCGACTGCCTGGACCGCACCAACGCCGCCCAGTTTGTCATTGGCAAGTGCGCCCTCGGCCATCAGCTGCACGCCCTCGGCATCCTGGACGAGCCAACGGTCAACTGGGAGACCGACGCCGTCAACTTGTTCACGCACATGTACCATGACCACGGCGACACCATTGCCGTGCAGTACGGCGGGTCGCAGCTCGTCAACACCATGGAGACGTACCGCAAGATCAACCAGTGGACAAGCCACTCGCGCGACATGCTCGAGACATTCAAGCGCTACTACAACAACTCGTTCCTCGACGGCCAGCGCCAGGAAGCCTACAACCTGTTTCTCGGCAACTACATATACACACCGGGGCAGCCTATGCTGTGGGACCTGCCCACCGACTACCATCTGCACCATGCCGACCCGCGGCGCCGCCCAGCTGGGGCCGGTCGCGGCCGTGGCGGGCGCGACTACATCCACTGGTTCACCCCCGAGCATCTGAAACTGCGTACGCTGCCGCCCCTGCCGACTCTTCGGCCGCCCGCCGCCAACACACACGCGTACAATGTAGCCATGGCCCTGGCGGCGCGTAAAGTGAGCAGCCAGCCGCAGGTGAAGCGCAAACGCAGCGGCCAGCCCAGGTTCAGGCGCAACATGACCAGCCGCACGACCAACAGCTCGCTGCTGTCTGCGGGGCCCAACACCGCCAGCTTCGCCACGGACGACTACTGGCTCGAGTTCTACCGGCCGTACTTTTTGTCGTCGTTTGCCAAGATGTTTTCCTTCAAGATCAAGTCGACCATGAAGTATATTCCCATCCGCTCGTCGCGCGACGGCCAGTATGATCTGAGCCCGTTCAAGGTGCGCAGCGAGATTGGCAGCCAGTACGGTGGAGGTGGGAAAGACGGCGACGCCGATTCAGTGAGTAGTCGAAAGACCAACGGCCGGTGGCGTGGGAATGGCCACCGGAAAGAGGTTTCGTTTGTCACGCCGCAAGACGTGGCCAGAGCGCGTGTGTCCACGGGCAATACGGCCGACGACGCAGCCAGTATCGCCAGCGGTGCCAGCGGCGGCACGACGAGCGGGCTGCGCAACTGGCTGAGTCCGTCGTCTGGAAACGACCGTCCGTCCGACGCGTCGATTGCCAGCAGCATTCCCAGCGTGCAGCAGCAGCAGCAATACCTACAGCAGCAACAGAAAGGCGTCCATGGCCTCCTGAAAGAAGGCACCGTGGCGGGCAGCGGGGGAACGGGCGGATCGATGGCAGCCGCTACGACGGTAACAACCGCGGCGACCATTTTATCGTCACCGTCACGAGCCGGCGCCGCGAGTTTGCACAGAGACAGCACCGGCAACGGTAACGCCAACGGCCAGGGCTTCCCGTATGGCCGTGGCCATGTGCGCAACAGCAGCAGCATTGCCACGACGCTCGACACGACCATGGTCGCCAACGGCGGCCTTTTGTTCGAGCCCGACCCCCGCCAAAAGGCAAAGCAGTCGGCCGTGGACAAGGCACGCCAGGCCCAGCTCACGTTTGCCAAGATGGTCCAGGACTCGTTGAATCCGTCGGTGCAGGAGACCGAGGACTACGAACGATACATTAGCCACCCGCAGAATTTGCAGATTGTCGTCTCGACTGACGAGACCGTCATTGCTGGTGCTGCCCCTGCCGCCGGCCTGCCGGGCGGGCTCTCTCCCTCGGCTGGCATCAGCGCGGCCAGCAATGAAGAGTACCAGGAGTACGTCAATGGCAGCTGGAAGACGGACGGCCTGGGCATGAGTTTCTCGGAACCTGGACAGGTGCCCCGGTCAAACTCAGCCAACTTCCTGCCGGCGGCCGTGGCGTCCTCAATCCCTTCCATTCCTGGCCTGGACCAGGACCGCCCGGACGACGAGCTGGCCGTCTACGGTGAGCTCATACGCGTGCCCGAAAACCCATTGACAGTCACCGAGGGCGACGCGCAAAAGAAGCGCTACAAGGCGTACCGCAAGTGGCTGCGCGGCAAATCACTCTTTAAGCAGCAAATGGTGGACGCATAAAAGTCCGTTTGTGGGCAAACGTCTGCTACGACTACTCTATCCTGAACAAAGGCACGAGTCGGTTCTCGCTCTCAACCAGAGGCCTGACAGCGGCGTTTATATCCACACCGGCTGCCTTGAAGATGGCTAACAACGTGTTGGCGGCGCGCACGAGTTGCACCTTGAGACCGGCCGTCTCCTTTTTGTCATTGACCTTCGTCCCTTGGCCGTCTTCTTCTTCCACCACATGCAGCCAGCACAGCATCAGCATCTTGAGCGTCTCTTCTTGCCAGGGCGTCCTGACCAGTCGCGGCCAGCACATTGTGAGAGTCGTCTGCAGCGCGTCCAGGGTCGCAGCAACGGCCGGCTTGTAACGCATGGCAAAGGGGTCCGTGAGGACCGCGGCGTACATGGGCATGAGGTCCTTTGTGTGTGTCTGTTAGCATTGGCGTTGCCGTATATACATACTCTGTGTTAAATTAATGACAAATGACTGCAATTTTATGTACCTTTAAATGTTTCACAGCGTAGATGCCCATGGCCTCGACGATGCGTCCCGCCTGCCGCATGAGTTCCTCTACAATGTGGATGTGTTCGCTTGCATGAAAGTAGCCAGCGTAGATGCCTTCACGCAGAATGCGGTCCAGCAGGATTGCGGCGGCGTTGGGCGGTAGGCCCTTGTTTGCGACGGCCGTGCTTGTGTTTGAGCCAGCACCCGCTGCTTTTGCCAAACTGAGGAGGGCCGAATATGCCGGGCCCAACAGCTGCAGCGACTCGTTCTCCGGGGTCAATCGTGGCAGAAACAAAAGTGTCGGGAAGACGGCGTCGGCCAGCACGCTGTCCAGCCCGGTCGAATGCAGCAGTCCGCCGCCATCGGGCACCACCGCGACAAATTCTGTCAGAAGGCCCAATCCCCGCGCGCGCACAGGTGTGTCTGCGTCCTCGACAAGCGCGAGCAGCACCGGAACAAACAGTGGCCAGTTGGTGCGCACCAGCGCCCCGTCGGCTTCGTGAACGGCCCAGGCGAAAACGGAGATGGCGCGCATGTCCACGTACTTCCAGGGCTTGGCCTGGTGCGATTCCCGATTTGTCGTCGTGTCGTGCGGAGCGGTGCTGGTACTGCTGCCACCCGTATTGCTCGCGAACGCGGCCTTGCGCCCAGACTCGGTCACCGTGGCCGGCCGCGACCGTGCAAAGAGCGGCCGCAGATACTGCTTCAAGATGCCGTCGGCAATCCACTCGCTCTTTTTGCTGTCCGCATTAGCAAAATGATTGGTGAGTAGCCTCGATGCCATGGCAGCGGCAGTGTCTGTCGTCCAAGGCTGGCCAGCGTCGGCGAGTGCTGTAATCGTGTAGAGAGTTTGCGCATGGTCCTCGGCTGTATCGTCGCTCTTCTCATTTGCGTGCCCCGTCTCGTCCGCCAAAGGCAATCCGACACGCTCCAAGACGGCCAGCCCATCGTCGGCCACCGACTTACACCTGCGCGCTATTTGGTCTCGCTGGCCACTTGTGTGCTCGCCAGGCGTTAGTTCGGCGTCGTATGTGGCGTCGTCGATGGGCGTCAACATGCGCGCAAGAAACCGGCAAATCTGCCGGCGGGCTACAGCGTCCTTTGCGCTGTCCTTGCCAGACGGCTTTATTCGGCTTGGATCCGCCTCTAATGACGCCCTCAAAGCAAGTACATAGTGCGGTTTATCCTTCGATTGTCAGCTGTGTGGTTGTAACCTGTGTCACGTCGATGTGGTTCACCTACCTGGTCTTCTGGTTGCGCCAACTCTCTGGCAAGCTCACTCCATGTAAAAGACGGAGGCAAATCTACAAGTCATGTCAGATTTCAATTCTCATGCGTAAGGCAGCAGCAGAAGGGTGTTCAACGAACGTTGGGAGAGTGAGCTCAAGACTTTTGATGATGAGAGATTGCTGCCTTGGAGCTGGTCGGCGGCCCGTCGCAGGACATCGAACGACGGGGAGCCGCTGGACATTGTATTAAACTAGATGTAGAGCTATATCGACAACTCAAATCAGGCTATAAAGACGGTGGCAGACGTGTCGAGTGGTTCAACCGAGTCTGGATGTTGAGATAAATGCTGAACAGACTCGGTTAAGTGGGAAATCGTCACAAGGCTGTGGGCACATTGGCTAGCACCTTACAGCGGACATAAGCGTCGTTTACTATAATCGCCACTGCACCAGGGCTTGCAGCAGCGCTACGACATTCTCTATGAAATTTACAGCCCGTCACTAATTGTGTATGATATAATTTTCAAATTAAGAATTTCATGAACCTTTGAATGCCATGTCTTCTCTATGATGCGAGAACCCAAACCAAATAAATTTCAAGATCCCAGCGCCAACAAGAGTGAAGTCTACGGTAAAAAATCAAAGTAACGGCAAGGCAATATACAACGCCTCAGCCACTGTCTTCGGCCGAATCCTTGAGAGCGGCAACAATAACCTGGTCGGCCTGTCGTGCAGCGTGGAGCGCCTTGTCCAGCATCTTCAGGTGCAGCTCATCCCCGGCCGAGCCTGGCAAGTCGCCCTTGAGCCACAAGTTTGTCACTTCGTCGCGGTTCGGTAGATAGGCCACGCAACACGCGGCCACGATCCTGCCGTGCTCTGCCGGCACTGGATCAACTACAAGAACCGTCTCTTTTGTGTCTCTTGTTTCTGCCTCAACACCCTCTGTCGTTTCCACCACCGCCGCCACGCCGCCGGCGACAGTGTCGACGCAGTCTATGCCAGCATCTGCCAGCGCCGCCGACGCCACCGTGATGCACCCGCTCAGCACGCTCATCAGACCCCACAGCTCCTCATCCGGATCCACGGACGGCGCCGACCGGTCCTGGTCCGCCTCAATCACCGACACCACAATGTCCACACCACTCTTGGGCCATCGGTCGCCCAGAATCGCGCCACGCAGCGATGTCTCCAGATGCACGGCCAGGTCGCGCTCCGATGTGTCGCGGAGGTACCCGCGACGCTCCTTGGTGGCAAACGGCGCATACTTGACGTGCGTCGATAGGATCAGATGCGGCGAGAAGGGCGCCGACCGCGGCAGGGCGCGCGGGCCGTGGACTGTGCAGCTGAGTTTAAGGCCCGAGGTACTGGGGACCGCGCCGGAACTCAGCTCCAGGTAGGCCGAGCCAGACGCAGACGGCGTGACGCCCGTTTGGAGGTCTGTATCGAGGTCAGTTTTCCTGTGCTTTTTCTATATCTTTCTTCTTGAATACATGATTGAATCGTGGGCGCATACAAATCTTTCGTATTATGTCGTTGGGCCTTGATCTCTCGGGCACCTTGGCCACCTTGGCCTGCTCCTCCTTTGCAAACACCGGCGCAAACGTGGCCCCGACCGGTCCGTTTACTCGTCTCCGGTCAGCCATTCGGGACGAAAATGTGAATATGAAATGGAGAAGGAGTGGGAGTGTTGAATTTAGAGGCAATGCCTCACAAAGAAAATTGGGGCGGGTGAAGGTGCAGTGTTGGCGCCCGATGAGACCATAGACGATTGTGTTGTATTCTCAGTGAATATATGGACGAAGACGGTGAACTGAGTGTGAAATTGCAATGTGTATCCCATGTCATATCCAGTGGAAAAGCTTCGAAGCTTAAATGCCTTGCACTGAAGTTTTGGTAACAGCCTTTGAAGAATGCCCAGGATGGGACTAGCGCATTCTCCAGTGACAGCTCAAGCCACAATCTTCAGCCACTCGAATGGTTCCCCACCGCTGCAATAAAATCTCCTCTCGAAAAATTATTGGTGACTTTTTCGTAGCTTGTGTTCTCCCTCACAAAAAACTTTTTGCTAGCAATATTGACAATGCACGACCGCGTCCTCTGGGCCGTTGGGCTTTGGAATCGAGGCCGGTATAGGCTTGTTGATGTTGATTGATCTTACTATTGTTTCTTTCTTGATTTACTATATGGACCTGCCCTCGCGATCGACTGTAGAAAGTTGTACAGCACATCTCGGCCAATTCAAGCTTCAAAATGCTTCATTGGAGGCACAGCTAACCAAGGTAAGCAAGCTCGCATAGGACCGGCTCCCTCTGAACCCTCTTCCCAATAGCTAGTGATGATTCACTTTCCACAGTTCACGCGACTATCTGTGAGCGATCGAACAACATGCACTACCATCTGAAGCTCTTTATACCTATACACTTGCTTTCTCCTCAGATAAAGCTTGGACAGCTATGCTAACATTCCTGGAAGTCAGATCTCTTGCCAGTAGCAAGCAAACGGCACGCGACCCTATGTACTCACACCAATGTGTAAGTTCCGCACCGACATTGCCATTAGGCGTTTTAACATCTCAACATCGTCCCATGTTCATATGATGATACACATATTTAACAGTTCTGCTTCTGAACTTCTTGATGACAAACCTATACCACTTACCAAACATATCTGATCCACAAGAGACGATGTTGCTTTTCTTTACCTATACTCGTGTCAAATGTTGTTGGCGACGAGGCTAACATCCGTTGACAGATGATATACTCGGGCCAATACGAAGCGGATCGAAAGACAACCGCCGTAAGTTTCCAAATGGTTAGTTTGAGGAATCCCTTACCGCAAATTTCACATGCACTGCAACTACGACGACGGCGACGACGACAGCAAAGCACATGATGACACTCGCTTATCCATTCAATTATACCCGGAGCCGTGCTATCCTCCCACACTCGAGTAGCGGTTGTTCTTCGTTCTCTCCTTCGGGGGCGGTCGGGATGTGAGCGCTGCGAGGAACGGTGGTGGAGTCTTGCTTTCCGTCACTGGCAGCTCGTAATTTGGCTACAGAGCTGGGCCTCCGTGCACATCGTCTTGGTGTGCATGACGGGCCCGGCCGGCTTTGGGTAAAGGACTAAAACGGCTTGTCTGAACCTACTTTGACACTGTCGTCTGCTTTCTCTCCTTCACACGCCGCCTTTAAAATGGATAATGGTTGTCTCTTGAGAATCGTTAGCTAACAAGACGTCAAGATAGTAGGAGAAAATTGCCTTGTATTTCACTGTACACGGCATAACCATGCCTTGTGGGAAACAAGGTACTGACCACCGGTAAGATTCGACGAGCTGTCGAGATACACGATTTGAAATGGTCAGAGTCTCAGCTCCCTCTTTTGGCAATAAAAGATGACTGCGGAAGACTACAACATGTCGTAACGATTGCAAAATAGTCAAATGAAAATGAAGAATTATGAAACCCACTTCAGCCCTAGTTTCAGACGTGTTATATTGTACAATTCGATTTTCTTGTTCCAAGAAGACTCCACCTGCATCAAAACATGATGAAAACCGGGAAATTACTCTTTTGATACCAAGCTTTTCTTTTCGGCGGAATAGATTCAGATTGCGCCCTACGCCATTCGATATGAGAACACGTGACCATACCAGCCCCTAGAACTGTTGAAAAATAGGGGTCTTTCCAAGTCCAGGAACATACCTGTTGGCCGCTGTAAATCTAGGCTTTGGAATCCACAGCTCTTGATGGGTGCACTTAAGCGTATGATTGGGGGTTGCAGCGCTGCTATCAAGCGCTAAGAATAGGGGCGCGGCAATTAAGTTCTAAGGATCTCGCTCAACGAATTCCAGGTATCACGAGTATGAGAACTGTACGAGGACAGTTAGGTATCTACTCGTCGCGCCATGACGGAAAGAGCGCAACGTAGAGTTTTCGTGGAAGGCGCAATCCGGCGCAGAACACATCTAAGGAAGGAACGAAACAGGGGTTGTAGAATGACAGGCCCCCATTTGCAGGCAAGTGGGCATTCCAGCTGTGCCTTCCACTACAGCACAGCGAATCCCAATTTCGCGAGGCTGATGCAGCACGTCTTTCGTAGTACCTTTTTTTTTTTTTTTGAGACCCTATTTGCGCCCCCTGCTTGCCCAGGCCATCCTTCTGCTGAATACGTAGCGTCCGCACAACGCAACCGTAAATCGACACAACGTCCACCTATCCTTTTCGTGTCCCACGCAATACGACAACTCATACGACAATCGTAGCCACCACGACCAACCTGGCTTGGTCGCCAATTCACACATTTCAACCATCCCCAATTTACGCTCATGGTCCCCTCGAGCATCGACATCTTTTTTTCATACTCTTGTTTGGTCCCTCTGCATATGTTCTGCTGTTGACTGGCCTGAGTCTGCCTTTCATCTTTTCTTCTCTCGTTTTGTCTTTTACTTTTTTGTTGCATTTTCAGGCCCGCTTTCAATTCTATCCCTTCCTTTCTGGCACGTCCGCAGGCTTGCTGCCACCGACGCCCCCCTTTTTTACCCAGTGCCGCTGCTTGCTAGGTGTCCCGTTGTGGACGTGTGGGTTTTCTTGGATTAAATCCTCTTTAACTTTACTTTTCTACCTTTATCCGTCCCTCCCCTTTCGACGATACACCGACGGTTGAACTCCGAATCGAGTTATCGCCAATCCTGTTTTGCCGTCGACCATCCCGAGCCGGCTGTCGACATATCGCGACGGCGCCGCGAGACATCGAATCGAGACGCGCCCTGTTCCGATAGAGCGAGAGAGCAAGAGGCGCAAGACGCGGGACTCTCGACGACAGCAAGAGCTAGCTCTTCGTCCATCCCCTACGCATCCACGAGCCGTGCGTCAAGCTTTGTATGCGTGCCGCCCGCCTCCTATCACCACCATCTGTAACCACCGCATGCCATGCTGCCGTCCTACGCTGCTTCGGGGTCCAAGGTGACCCCAAGACACAATGCTGCCGCCGCCAGCTTCTCCAACGGCTACCCACGATCCTCCAACACATTAGAGTTTTCGCCGCATAGGTATGATGACTTCTCAACTGTCGACGTGTCGGCGTGTCGACTCGTCGTCTTGTCGTCTTGTTCATGTACTAATCACCGCCTTCTTCCAGGTTTCAACCACGCAATTCTCCTCCATCCCTTCGCCGGCGACGCAAGCTGCTCACACGACTCGCCATTGTTGTCGTCCTTGTTCTCTTCGGCGTCTTCGTCTGGCCCGCGGCGCCCGTCCTGTCTCTCTTTTCCTTGAACCTGTTCTCGTCCGGCGACTACATCGACCTCGAGACCGTCCGTTACTATGACCTGTCTAATGTCCAGGGCACCGCGCGCGGCTGGGAGCGCGAGGAGCGCATCCTGCTGTGCGTGCCTCTGCGCGACGCAGAGCCCCATCTGCCCATGTTCTTTTCGCACCTCCGCAACTTTACCTACCCGCACCACCTTATCGACCTTGCCTTTTTGGTCTCCGACTCCAAGGACCGCACCCTCGAGATGCTTGTCAAGAACCTCGAAACTATCCAGGCCGACACCGACCCTACCGAGCACTTTGGCGAGATCTCCATTCTGGAGAAGGACTTTGGCCAAAAGGTCAACCAGGACGTCGAAAGTCGCCACGGCTTCGCTGCCCAGGCCAGCCGCCGCAAGCTCATGGCCCAGGCCCGCAACTGGCTGCTCAGCGCCTCCCTGCGCCCCTACCACTCGTGGGTGTACTGGCGTGATGTAGACGTCGAGACGGCGCCCTTTACCATTCTGGAAGATCTCATGCGCCATAACAAAGATGTCATTGTGCCCAACGTCTGGCGCCCGCTCCCGGACTGGCTGGGCGGCGAGCAGCCGTACGATCTGAACTCCTGGCAGGAGTCCGAGACGGCCCTGACCCTCGCCGACACCCTGGACGAGGATGCCGTCATTGTCGAAGGCTACGCCGAGTACGCCACGTGGCGACCCCATCTTGCCTACCTGCGCGACCCCTACGGCGACCCGGATATGGAAATGGAGATTGATGGCGTGGGCGGCGTCAGTATTCTGGCCAAGGCCCTGGTCTTCCGTCATGGTGTGCACTTCCCTGCGTTCAGTTTCGAGAAGCACGCAGAGACCGAAGGTTTCGGCAAGGTTCGTTTTCTGTCGCCCGTGTCTTTGTCCAGGATTGTGTGCGTTGGTCAAAGTAAGCATATTAACATTGTCACAGATGTCCAAGCGTATGGGTTTCTCGGTGGTTGGTCTGCCACACTACACCATTTGGCATTTGTACGAGCCAAGTCTGGACGACATCCGGCACATGGAGGTGCGTACTTTCGCTCACATCTATTTTGTTACACGTAATTTGTATTCCCGCCGATACTAACAATCCTGTTCTCTAGGAAATGGAAGCCGAGCGCATTGCCCGCGAGCAAGAAGAAAAGGAAAAGGCTGAGAAGGCCGAGAGGATGAAGAAGACCTTTGGCGACGCCGGTGGCCAGTGGGAAAAGGACAAGGCTGCTCTGCAGGACATTGTCATTGAGGAACCCGCTGTTGCTGCCGGTGCTGGTGCCGCTGCTGGTGGTGCTGGTGGTGCCGGTGCCGCCGCTCCCGGTGCCGCTGGTGCCGCTGGTGCACCTGTTGCTGGCGCAGCTGCCGGTGGTGCCGCTCCGGCTGGTGCTGCTGGTGCAGCGGTTCCTGCTGCCGGCGCCGCCGGTGGTGCTGGTGCCGGCGATGCCGCTCCTGGTGCTGCTGCTGGCGCTCCTGGTGCTGGCGCTCCCGCTGGCGGCGCTCCCGCTGGTGGCGTTCCGGCGGCAGGCGTGCCGGCTGGTGGTGTTGCGGCCCTTGATGCCGCCGTTCCTAACAAAGCTGTCCCGGTCGTTGGCGAGAAAGTCGTCATCGCTGAGAACGCCCAGGACGCAGGCAAGGTCGTACTATAAACGGGCCTTCAACGAAGGCGCAATATATCCCGACCTTCCATCGCGTATTTGTCATCCTTGGGCTGCTTCATTTGTTCTGGCCCTCTCCTTTGTCCAGCTTTTATCCGGCAGTGCGCCATTCTATTATTCGCCACGGCGACCATACGATGCGACAGCGGCCATGACCACCGCGGCCAGACAATACCACCACTACAACGCCGTATCGAGCACAGCCCGTGGCGGCCCTTTCTTCTACCATTCCGCTTTTTCGCAACCACTTTCATCATCAAGACTTTCGGCCATGTGCTATTGGCGTTTTCCATATCATAACGACGGGGACGACGAAAGGCTCTATATACACAAACGCTGTCCATTATAAAACAGGAGGAGGAACACTGCTAATTTACTGTACAACTAGAGTGAGAGAGCCTTGAAGGTTGTAGAGAGGCCATGGACAAGGCGTTTGGTGTTTGTTACTTACCTTTAATCCGTCTCACTATGCTTGTTCCTTTTTTCTTTTACCATTTTTTTGCCTTTTGGCATTTTATTACCCTTTTCATTGTCATGTTTCCATACGTTTCTTTGAAATTGTTGGGTCTGTCCCAGATATTCAAACCTTTTGAAATGCAAGTATATGATCCTATTAGAAGTATGTGCTTTTGTTGTACATGTAGCTTTCATTTGCCGTGGCCACTTTCTGTTTGTTCTTGTGGCAGCCTTCTAATTGAACACTTTAGTCAGGGGTCAGTGGGGGCCACTTCATCCCCTGGAAGCTGAGTACCTTCAGGGCCTGTAGCAACTGTATTCCCAGCATCACAGCTCGTCTGGGAATCGACCCAGCACACTTGTTATCTAATCGCCGAAGCCGCTGATTGGCCACACTGCTCCTTCCATCCCAGTCCAGAGGCTCGTGACAATTGCAACGCTGGCAGCTTCGCTGTTTCCGTGCCTCTCCCTGCTGCCTTCCCCTGCCGAGACAGCTGTCATCTTGAACCTTTCTCGTCCTCCGCAGCCAAGCAGCGCAACAATCGCCTCAAAGAGACGATCTGGCTCCTTTTTTCTTTCTTTTCTTCGTTGCCTGCCGCACCAGGCTGTTTGTGTTTCCGCCACGTTCTACCGCCGTTGGCCAATTTCTCCTGGCCGTTGTTCAAAATATATAATCCGGCAACCACAGCCATTGGCCATTTTGGGTATATTTTGCCGTCAGGGTTTATTTTTCTTTCTGCATCCCCTTTCACCTTTGTCGATTCTTTGCTTCCCTTTCTCGCATACGGACTTTCTCGACCCAATCGACATCTGCGCCAAGGGCCCAGACACTTGGCCACTGGGATTGCCCGTCAATCGGATCTTCCCTCCTCGACAGGTGACCGTCATCTCGACCATCGTGCTTCTTTTGCGTGGCTTGCTTTTGAGCAGCATCCCATCTTGTTGACCTGCCATTTCCGCGTCGACCCAGCACCCGGCACTCCACGGCATCCTTCTCCTCCCTGCTGGACGCAATTCGCCCAGCATGAGCAGCGATGCGCGCGCGTCCGCGTCGGCCGCAGCAAATCCGGCTCCCATGGACGCATCCATCGACGAACTGCCTTTGACTGCCGGTTTGAACTCGCGCCCGTCTACCACGTCGGTACCCGTCAGACCTGCGAGCCAACACCACCATACGCACAACAACCTCTACCACTACAGCGCTGCCTTTCCCTCCACGGCAGTGTTGACGTCGGCCGCTGCCTCGTCGCGTATGCAGTACCGCAGCCGGCCCGTGTCCGTCGCCGTCGACCCCGTCTCGCTCGTGATCTCAGAGTGCATCAACATTACCTCGGCCATACAAAAGTATGCCCGCTCGCAGCACCTGTCCGTGTCGGCCATCCTCGGCGGCAGCGCGCCCAATACGACCGTGGCTCAGTCGTTCCGGCTCGGCGCAAACTCTGCAGAGACGGCCAGCCGTCGTGCAGGCGGCCGTCGGGGCGCAGCCGGTGCTCGCAGCCGGCCAGGCTCTGCTGGCGGCGGTGCCGACGGCGACTTTGGCCCGGCTAGCCGCTGGGGGCTGCGTGGCAAGAAGGGCAAGAGCATGGCCGACAACCCGCTGATCTCGGGTTTCGGCCGTTTGCGCCAAGAGTTGGCCGGTGTCGAAGGTAAGACGAATATGAAGAGCCAAGGACGGAGAGTCAACGTCTGGTGTGCAAGGGAAATGCTAACGGCACATGCAGACATCAACAGCTTCGACTCTCTCACTCTCCTCTATCCGTTCCTCCAAATCATCCAAGCAAAGGGCACAGCCGCCCCGATTACCATTCTCACGTTGCGCGCCGTTCGCAAGTTCCTCGCCTACGGCTTCATCAGCCCCGACTCCCCTCGCTTCCCGCTGGCCATGCAGGCGCTCTCTCAGGCTATTACGCATTGCCAGTTTGACATCAGTGACCACGCACAGGAGGAGGTTGTGCTCCTCATGATCCTCAATCTCATGGAGGACATGCTGTCGGGTCCGGGCGGTGACATTCTGAGCGACGAGAGTGTCTGCGACATGATGGGCCGCGGCTTGACAATATGCTCTCGTCCGCGTTACTCGGAGGTGCTTCGCCAAACGGCTGAGGCCACCATGGTGCGCATGTGCCAGATAATCTTTGAAGATCTCAAGCACCTGGAAGAGGAGGCCGGTGAGGAGGCGGATGCCCTGGACCGCCAGACCAACGCAGACATGGACAGTGTCAAGATGGTGCCAGGCGCCGAAACACACCCCTCTCCGCTACCGGGTGCGTCTTCTACGCCCACGGCCGTCCTAGCCTCCACCGGTGCGCTTGTACCATCTTCCAGCGAGGTCAAGAAACCAGTGGCCGAAAAGCCAGTCCAAAGAGGACGTACCAGCTCCAGCAGCGATGGTGATGGCACCGCCACTACCGGCTCAACTGGCGACGCTGAGGAAGTACAGCCCCTTCAGAAGCAGGCTGCTGACAGTGGTTCTGTAGGCATGGATGGCGCCGACCGTCCGTCCGTCGACACCCCCACAGATGATACGGAGGAAAAGAGCATGGTCTCGACTACGGAGGACTCCGAGTCTGTCGACCTGCGGCCCTACTCGCTGCCGTCTGTACGCGAACTGTTCCGCGTCCTGGTTGAGTTCCTCAACCCCAACCAGCGCAAGCAGCAGCCGGACACAATGATTGTCATGGCCCTCCGCATCATTCACGTGGCGCTCGAGGTAGCTGGCCCATCCATCGCCCGCCACCCTGCTCTGGCGTCGGTTGCCCAAGACCGCCTCTGTTGCTACCTCTTCCAGCTCGTGCGCTCCGATAACATGGCCATTCTGCAAGAGTCGCTTATTGTCGCCTCCACGCTGCTGTCTACCTGCCGCGGCGTCCTGAAGCTACAGCAGGAGCTCTACCTCTCCTACCTCATTAGCTGCCTCCACCCTGCTGTCGACATCCCTCGGGAAGCCAACATTGACCCGTCACTGTACGAAGGCATCCCACAGGCTCCGAAACTGGTGAAGCCACCGCCGTCGCAAGTGAGCAGCGGCCGCTCCACGCCAGTGCAAATCAAGGACCGCCAAAAGCTGGGTATGGAAGGGGGCATGCGGAAACCGGAGGCGCGCCAGGCCATGGTCGAAAACATTGGTGTCCTGGCACGGATGCCTACGTTTATGATTGAGTTGTTTGTCAACTACGACTGCGACACCGATCGCACCGACTTGTGTGAGGACATGATCGGCCTGTTGTCGCGCAATGCGCTGCCCGATTCGGCCACATGGAGCACCACCAGCGTCCCGCCCCTCTGCCTGGATGCCCTGCTGCGGTTCGTGCAGTTCATGGCTATGCGCCTCGAGCTGCCGCCCGTCTACGAGGGCCTGCCGGATCCTGCCAAGCTGCGCGAATCACGGGCCCGTAAGAAGATCATCATCCGCGGCACCAACAAGTTCAATGAGAACCCCAAGGGCGGCCTGGCCCTGCTCCAGGACAAGGGCATTATTGACGATGCGACCAACCCTATGTCTGTTGCCCGCTTCCTCAAGGGCACGTCTCGTATTTCCAAGAAGATGGTGGGCGAGTTCATCTCAAAGAAGGGCAACGACGCTGTCCTGGCTGCGTTTATGGACCAGTTCGACTTCAAAGACAAGCGCGTTGACGAGGCGCTGCGAATGATGCTGGAGGCATTCCGTCTGCCGGGCGAGTCGCCTTTGATTGAACGGATTGTTACTGCCTTTACCGAAAAATACTGCGCAGGCGAGATGCCCGAGGATGTGGCTGACAAGGATGCCGTCTATATTCTAACCTATGCCGTTATCATGCTCAACACGGACCAGCACAACCCCAATGTGTCCAAGACCCAGAAGCGCATGGCCGTCGGCGACTTTGCGCGCAATCTACGCGGCCAGAACGGCGGCAATGACTTTGCGACCGAGTACCTACAGGACATTTTCGACTCGATCCAGTCCAACGAGATCATCCTGCCCGAGGAGCACGACAACAAGCATGCCTTTGACTACGCATGGCGCGAGGTTCTGAGCAAGACGGATGCGGCTGGTCCCCTCATCATCCCCGACACCAACATTTACGACGCCGACATGTTTGCGACGACATGGCGGCCCATCGTTGCAACCCTCTCCTACGTATTCATGTCCGCCACCGACGACACGGTCTTTAGCCGCGTCATCCAGGGCTTCGACGAGTGCGCGCTAATTGCGGCCAAGTACGAGAACACCGAGGCCCTCGACCAGATCGTGTACTGCCTCAGCCACATGTCCACCCTCTCGCAGGTCGTACAGTCCAACACGAGCCTCAACACCGTGGTCCAAGTCGACAAGAGCAGTGTCATGGTCAGCGAGCTGGCCGTCAAGCTCGGCCGCAACTTCCGCGCCCAGTTGGCTGCTCTAGTGCTCTTCCGCGTCGTGTCGGACCACGAGCACATTCTGCGCAACAGCTGGAAGCATGTCATCCGCATCTGGCTCAACCTATTTGAAAACTCGTTGATTCCGGTCTTCTCCCTCAGCGATTCTGGCGTCAATGACCTGCCAACCATTCCACTACAGAGTCCTGGCCAGGTGATTGACCGTGGCACCAAGCAAAACGAGAGCGGCTTCTTTTCGGCATTTACGTCGTACATATCGAGCTACGCGGCCGACGACCCGCCCGAGCCGTCGGACGAAGAGCTCGAGAGCACGCTTAGTGCTATCGACTGCGTGAACTCGTGCCACGTCGACCACGTCTTTGCCAACGTTTCGTACGTCCTCCTCCGTTGTTTGTTTTTTTAATATATCGCGTTGGTTCGCGCGTGACATTGACTAACAATAAAATGAATCAGGAACCTGTCTGGCGACAGCTTGGAAGCGCTCGTGGATGCGCTCCTCGACCAGATCCCGGAGGATAATGCCGCTGGCGTCGTGATCAAGGTCAAGTCTGATAACGTCCCACCGACCTCGCCCGCCAATCCCAACAACAAGCCGCCCAATACGCCTCCCTACGAGCCCAGCCCCGTCTACATCCTCGAGCTCTGCACCGTGCTGGCACTCCGCAGCGAAGCGAGCGTCCAGCTCGTCGGTAAGCGCGTAGTCGACGCATTGCAGGGCATCCTGCGCGACGTGTCGCGCTTCCATCCCATCTTTATCGGCCGTGCCACGTACTACCTCTTTAGCCTCCTTCGCGCAAGCTACAACTTCGACTATGTCCGTGTGCCTATGTTGCTCCACGCCGTCTCCAGCTTCCACAAGGAGACGCTCAAGTCCACGGCCTCGGTAATCCTCAAGGGCCTCAAGCTCTGTATCGCGACGCCCGGCCCTCTACGGAGCGAGATCATGACGTCGCCTGACTTTTGGGCCGTGCTCGGGACGTTGTCGGGCTACGAAGAATCGGCCGCGACCGTTTTTGAGATTCTCGAGAGCGGCGTTAGTGGCTCACCGCCGGCCATTCTGGCTGACAACTATGAAGCCGCCATCATCCTGTGCAACGAGTTTGCCACGGCGGCCAGCATTGGCGCCGTGGCCGAGCAGCAGCTCGACCGTAAGAACCGTCGCGTGAGCCGGCCGCCCAGACAGGAGAAGGCGAGGTACGCTCTCCCCCATCCCACCTTTCCCTCCTCGGCCCTTGTTTGGAGATGTGACTAACATATCCTATAGCGACAATGCGGCTGTCCAACGGGGCATCAAAGCCATCAATATTATCTACAACATGACGTCGCGCATTCCCTACTTGATGAAGCAGTCGCACTTGGAAAGCAGCGAAGGTAAGAAGAGCTCTTGTCCATTTTTTTGCTTGTTTCGTGGCAGTTTTACTAACAAAACCAGCATGGTCTGCATACTGGCTGCCCATATTCCAGGCGCTCACCAACCAATGCACCAACCCATGCCGTGAAGTGCGGCACCTCGCCTTCTCGTCGCTGCAACGGTCCCTGCTGTCGCCCGAACTGACGTCAAGCGACCACCGCGAGTGGACCGCCATCTTCAGCGAGGTACTCTTCCCGCTCATCCTCAAGCTCTTGCTGCCCGAGGTCTACTCATCGGACCGTGATGGCATGAGCGAGACACGCGTCCAGGCGGCGTCGCTACTCTGCAAGGTGTTTTTGCAGTATCTTGTGTTGCTGTCAGCCTGGGACGGCATGCTGGATCTGTGGCTGAAGATTATTGATATTCTCGATCGCCTTATGAACAGCGGCCAAGGCGACAGTCTCGAGGAGGCCGTGCCCGAGAACCTCAAGAATGTGCTGCTGTTCATGGCGAGCAGCGGCTACCTGGTGGCGCCCAGCATCGACAAATCCAAGGAGGAGCTGTGGGTCGAGACGTGGAAGCGCATCGACCGATTCCTGCCGGACCTGAAGAGCGAACTCGCTCTCGACGGTACCAACGACAGCCAAGACGAGTCGCCACCGCCAGAGGAGACCACGGAAGGAGCTGTTGCCGATGGCGAGGAGAACGAAATGGATGATGAGGATCGGAAAATCGAGGAATCCACCGAGGTAGACGAAAAGGAAACAGACGCGACGTAAAAAATAACGCTCGGAACTGCGTTACGACGAACTGCTTTTACGAGTGTATTATCACTTAAATATGTATTTTGGGGTAAAAATATGGGAGCAGAGGAGACAAACAAAATCAACGGAAAGGTTTAATCCGTGTAATGGTATATAGACATTCACTGAATTAGAAGTTATCAAGTTTTACAAGAAATACGGTCTAACATGAATAGGGGATGAGGTGTGGCTTTCAGTGAAGCCTCGTTAGCCAATTACAGCGCTGCAGGCGCGCAAGGCTCAACCAGACACAACCCAAAATCCAAGAGCCAATGCGCGGAGTGGGAAACCTTTAAATCTCCACCATGCTTCAACCTTCACCTTTCCTTCCATTCGACAGCCTTCCAAACCGCAAACACCAGCCACCATGTCGAGCGACGCGCCTGTAGCCACGTACGTTGTGTCATTGCACAGAAAAACTGCATCTTCTCGCCTGTTTTTGCCCTTTTTCACCGACACTCCGCAGCGTTCCTACAGCGTCTCCCGGTTGCCACAATGAGGTACCAAAAGCGTCTTTCGTGATTGAACCGTGTTGGCTAACATGCACCGTCCCTTTGCCCAGGGTCTACGTGCGTAACCTTGAGGAGCGCATCAAGCCAGAGCCTCTGCGCGACGCCCTCGAGGTCATCTTCTCCGAGTTTGGCACCGTCATCGACATTGTTGCCAAGACGAACCTGCGTGCCAAGGGCCAGGCCTTTATTGCCTTTGACAACCCAGAGTCTGCTAAGCGCGCCGTCGAGGAAGCCCAGGGCTTCGTGCTGTTCGGCAAGCCCATGGTGCTTGCGATTGCGCGCATGCGCAGCGACGCTACCGTGCAACAAACGGGCACGCCGGAGGAGCTCGAGGCTCACAAGCGGCACCGAGTGGCCGAGAGGGGTAAGTCCATGCGCGGCCGGGATTCTTTGGGTACACGCGCATGGTCGCTAACACATACAGACAAGAAGCTTGCTTTGGAGACCGCCGAGGCCCAGAAGCGCCAGCTCCTGCGGCCCCAAGCAGACGCACTCGGCGGCGCGGCTCTTGGTGGTGCGGCTGCGCCTGCTGCCCCGGCCCAGATCCCCGACGAGTACCTACCACCCAACAAGACGCTCTTCGTGCAGCACCTTCCACGCGACATCGACTCCGACCGTCTCACCGAGATCTTCAGTCGCTTCGAGGGTTTCCGCGAAGTGCGCTTGGTGCCTGGCCGTGGCCTGGCGTTCGTGGAGTACGAGGCCGAGCAGGGCGCCATTGCGGCCAAGACGAGCACGGCCGGCATGCTGCTGGGCGAGGACAGCGACGAGGGCGGCAAGAAGTCGATCAAGGTGACTTACCAGCGGCAATAGACCAGCACATTCTTGTTATGGCTCTGTCTTAGGCTTCGAGGTTTGTTATTGCCTGCATTATACCACACTTTCTTTGTTTCCCTCTTTCAGCGTTCTTTGTACTGCACATGTTTCGGTCAACGGGGGTTCACACAAGGCTACAAATAGCTACTGCAAGTTTCCATTGCACTCCGGAAACTGGGCAATACCATATAACGAGTGAACGGAAAATAGAATAACAAAAGTCAAATGCAAGGATTTAGATCAATGATTTCCTGGCCGACTATGATATACCAAAAAGCGCAACGTTACAAATTACAACAGTGTGATGTGTGACGAAACAACAACGTACACACACCTATACTGGTCCACGTCCTCTCTGCACATAATTATAGGAACGCATGCTTTATGCTGCCAACCGCAATGCCATCTAGAAAATAACGTCGTCGTCGCCTTCGGCCAGCAGATCCGAGGGCTCGCCGTCTTCCTCCTTGCCGCCACCAGAAGCGCCCCTGGCTGCTTGCAAAGCCTCTTTCCGGGCCTTGAGCTCTTCATCCTCAGCGGCTGTGTCTCGCTGCTTCTTGCCGGCAACCTTCTTGAGTCGATAAAACTCTTCTCTGTCGAGCTCGTCCAGCTCAGAGTTGATGTCTGGGAGGCCGTGGTCAGCTTCCGGGACCATTCTCTGAAGGGGTGCGTGAAAACAAAGGTCTCTTACATTTGATCGTATTCTCAGTACGGGGAATGATAACGTGCTCGCTGCAACGGTTAGACGACTGTGCAAAATGGAGATGAGAAGAATAACAAGCCGGAAAACTAACATGGCGTTGACTACATAGAAAGTTAGCAAATGCATCAACGCACACTATACAAGTATTTGTCAGGGTAAACTCACCTCTTCGGTTGACCACCTTGATGACCTCGTCCAGAATAACAAACGCGGTCTGTAGTTGTCAGTAGTGGTTAGCAAACACCGCAACCCGCACCCTCACATCTCCCTAAATGCACACCAGGGGTGCCTACCTGTAGACTGGCCAGTTCAACGAGAGCTTCGACGGCCCTTGCATAGGTATCCCTAGACCGCTGCACCTGCTGGCCACCCTTGCCCAGGCCCGTCATGGCAAAGTCGTTATTGCCCTCAGTCTGGAAACTCTCAAACGCCGGTAGGAGCACACCAGAGACGTTCTCTTGCTTGGCGCGGATGCGGAACCGTGCAGACCGGGCCGACTCCTGCACCTGGTAGCCAATGTCGCCACCGACGGCGTACGTCACCTCCGCCAGCGAGAAGGCCGCAATCTGCATCACACGGCCCATCTTGCGCTTCGCCTCGTCAATTCGGCGGGTAATCTCTGTACAGGGAGAGAAATGTGTTGTTTAGCGATATGGACATCGAGGGAGAGTCGGAATAGCTGGCGTCGCATCATCAGACGTCATCGTAGGAACGGGAGTGTCAAAATACCTCGGAATCGCCTGTCAACACAATGGTCAGCCTTTGTCGCCAATACTGCAGCACCTGGTATCTCTCAAGTCACTTCTTATCATCACGCACTTTGTCAGAGCCTCACTCTTGCGCTTCAGCAAGTTGTGGCCTGTCTCGGCACCCTTGAGCTTGGCCTTCATTATGCCGAGCGACTGCCGGGTCGGGAAAACCGCCTCACGATCCTATCCACCCATTCAAGTCTTTGGTCAGTTCCTTATTCCTAACGTATTCCGTAGAATCGGCCGTCTTTGCCGTCATAACGTACAGCGGCTCCAGACATGATGAGCGCTTTTTGGTTGCCTGACAGAAGTCGCTGGCCGGCACGAGTTGGGATAAAGTAAACGAGTCGGACAAAGAAAGCCACACGGAGGCTCCGAGTCGTATGCGACGTTGTCGGTGGCTTCGCAATGTAAACGTGACGAAAGCACGTCGTGGGAGTGCGACAATGCTAAAGTTCGCAATGATGTTTCGTCGTCAATTTGGCTGACGAGGAGCTCCCATGTGTCTCTCAAAGAGGCCGAGTTACACAGATGAGATGTCCAGTGAAAGATAGGCCTATAGCTTGCCTGGGTCCTTTCCCCTCGATTAGCTTCGGGACTGGCTTCGGTCCTTAGTCATCATCAGTTCCTGCTCCATTGGTTCCTGGGTTGCATTGAATGGCGCTTTTCCCTTTTGGGACGCATGAACAAGGGCTGGCATTTTGGGCAACGACGCGGGAAAAAATAGAAGCAGGCTCCATCGGAAAACAGAGAAGGCAGGAGCGAGGAACGCAGACGACGACAACGGCAACAGCGACCGACAAGCCAGGACGACGAGAGTGAGGAATCGGACGAGACAGCCACAAAAGTCGACTTTGTAACGATACGCACAACGAAGCGATAGCTTCAACCGACGAATCGCGCCCGCGCTGCCCCAAGCCCAAGGGCGCATCCTCTTGCTGTCTGCTCGCGCCTCATTGGTGTGTTTTTCTCGCAGCTTTGGTTTCATCCAAGCAATGGCTGCGACCGTGATGGTGTGAGGACGCGCTCAAATCGAGTTTTCTTAGAAGCCTTTTCCCCTCCACTCTCCTTCACTCTCCGCCATCCCTCCTCGGCCGTCGTTCGACCTTCTTCGCGCTCTTCTCGACCTCCCCCTTTCGCACAAGGCGAACGTTAGCGTTCGTTCAAATTCTCGACTCTGCCGTCCCTCCGGAGTCCCAGCCGCTCGCTTCACGACCACCTACAAGCCCATAGCTCAAAATGGCAGCATCTGCTACTCCAGCTGTGGCCACCGCTCCCGGCCCAAGGCCAGACATTCATCTTCTGGTGAGCTCCCCTTTCATTCACCAACCGACAATATGCCACTCGTCCGCTAACTGATGCCTAGGCCGACGCCGATGCACCCTACGAACAAGACATATACCGCAACCAAGGCACAACACGGCCATGGCTTTCTTACATTCGACACAAAGTCCAGCATGGCACCGTTCAGGAGCAGGCTTACGTGATGGAACGGGCCTGCACACAACTGCCGCGCTCCTACAAGCTGTGGAAGATGGTAAGAGTCGCCCCCCAGCACCATCCATGCATCGTCCATGCTGACCAAACCCTTTGCAGTACCTCGTCTTCCGCACAAAACACGTATCCAAGCTCAATGCCGCCTCCTACGCTGCCGAGTACCGCAAGGTCAACGCGCTCTTTGAGCGTGCCATCATCCTCCTCAACAAGATGCCACGGATATGGGAACTCTACCTCAAGTTTCTTATGCAGCAGCCGCTCGTCACATTCACTCGCCGCACATTTGACCGCGCCCTGCGCGCCCTGCCAATTGCCCAACATAACCGAATATGGGCGCTGTACCGGCCCTTTGCCAACTCCGCCGGCGGCGAGACAGCGGTCCGCATCTGGCGGCGCTACATGCAAGTCCACCCGGAAGACGCCGAGGACTTTATTGAGCTCCTTACACAGTCCGGACTCTACACCGAGGCCGTGCGGACGTACATCAAGGTGCTCAACAACGCACGGTTCCGCAGCAAAAAGGCCAAGGGCCACTACGAGCTGTGGAGCGAGATGATCGACCTGCTCGTGGAGCATGCCAACGAGATCCAGACTGGCCAGGAGACGGGTATTGACGTCGAGCGCATCATCCGCAGTGGCATTGACCGGTATTCGGACCAGCGGGGCAAGCTGTGGTCGGGCCTGGCCGCGTACTGGACA